GGGTGGTCCAACAACTCGGGGGGGGGGGTGGCGCGCACCCCCCAAAAACGCCGTGTGGCGGGGGGGGCCCCCCCGGTGGCTTTTTTTTGGTTTAACACCCCCCCCCCCCCCCCCCCCCCCCCAAGTCCGATCTACGTCCAGCTACGGCGGCCACTAACAATGTGAAAGGCAAGAAAATACGACCAGGGGAGTGTTTGGCATTGAAGAGAATCTCATTCCAAAAGCTACCCCTGTATGCTCGATTGGTGGTTGACCACCGATCAGCCCCAAAGCCTTCTTGCACGAGACCGAATTCAAGGTCCCTGTTGATTCTAGAAAATATAGTAGAGCCCTCGCGGCCACTACTACTACTAGTAGGTGACAGACTGTAAACCGGCCAAAAGACAAGTGGTAGATGATCACGCTCCAATATCAAGCCGCTGTCTAATTTAAGTTGTCTCGTCTTCTCCATTCTGGTACGCTAAGAATAGGTGGCCCATATTGAGAGCTGGGCTCTAATTGCTTATTCAAAGGTCATTGTCGTCATCCTACTACGTACCTAACCTAACCTAGGTATCTATCTATACCAGCACTCAAGCAGTCAAGCCAGAAACCATCTTGAACGGAGGCTGTACTCTTTTTTGACATTGCGCTTCCCCCTCCTAGATCTGTCACACTGTTACGTGTAGGTACCTAGAGAACAAGCAGCAGCTTCGTATCAGCCTATGTATCTTCCTTAGGTACCTCACTTACTCGTTTCAACTTACAAACCATCGTCCCATAATAAGATCTTATATGGATATGTTTTTTCGTGGGCCTCTTTAACTCTACCTCACCTTCCTTTGGATATTAATCTGGCCTAACTCTAGACTTCTCGGTAAAAGAGAAGAATAGAGATAAAAGTAGGGGAAAGATCCGAGATCCTGGCCCCAATCATAAATTAGCACCACGCACCATTCTGCAACGGTGCACCACAGATTCGCCTAACCGGAAGCTTCCAATCAGCTGGTGTTGTCTCGATCAGAATCCGAGACACCTGGTGCATCTCCTAAGATCCTGTACCTGAGCCCGTCCATGAGATAGACGGCTACCCGCATGCAGCGCGCCATACCGAGCCTTCTCACCTAGTTCAGACGAACATCTTTACTTTCCCCACCATCGAGTCCCAGCTTCAAAAAATAGTTGCCCAACAACCTTTCAACTAGGTAAGCCTTTTGCCTACGGAATTGCCGGAAGCAACAAAGTGAAAGCTAGCTTGATAGCCGCGAAGATAGCATTCAACTACTTGCTTCGCCGTCGTTCAAAACTCCACCACAAGCCGGAGAACCTCGTTTTAATCTTACTCTTTCCATTCACTCGACCCCCGCTCAGACAGCCTCGTGTATTCGAGGGCTTCGTCCACCGTAGTCCTGGCGGCATACGACGTCGCTTCGTTGAACACCCTCGTAGTGGGCTACCCAACCGGCGCAGAAGCGCCATTGATGCACCACTATGCCGAGCAGTTCTCGCCGCCGTGTACCGTTAGTGGCGGCTTCTCAAACGACCAGTTTTATCTCCCTCCTTCGAAACGCCGAAGGCTCTCCGGTCTTGATCCATCCAGCTCGAAGAATATGTCAGATAAACCCGGCAAGGTTTCCAATATGACATCTCCCGATGTGATACCTGCCAAGAGCAGGAGGGTGAGGACGGGCTGCTTAACATGTAGAGAAAGACACCTCAAATGTGACGAAGGTACGCCAGACTGCCTAAATTGCCGGAAAAGCAATAGGGAGTGTAAACGAGGCGTACGGCTCAACTTCATCGATATGACTTGTAAAGAACCACCTTATATCCCTACAACAGAAGAATGGGCAGGTATGTTCACGTTTCATTATATGGGTTCCGAAGGGGTTCCGTAGAAGGCTAATTCCAAGTATAGTTCATTTTCAAGACGAGTCGCGCCTTATTGCTTCGGAATATAAAGGAGGATTGGGAAGATATGCCAACCTTGACAGTCGACCCCTCTCCCCTCCGCGAGAGTCTAACTTTAAAACCACATCTCAACTTCAGCCGAGCGTTGTTGAAAGCTTAGATCCTCAAGTTAAGGTGGAGAGTAGATCTACGACTGTAGTGTCTCCGCCGCATAACTATTATGGTGACCGCAGTCAGACACACCTGGATCTTATAACTGGCAACCATTTGCATTCGCGGAAGAGCAGTGAAGCTTCTTTCATGGCACCTCTAGGTCACGGGCGCTCAGCCGGGTATAGCAACATGATGTCAGATCCTTTCGGCTCTACCAAAATTGAAAGCAACCGCTCTGCATCACACAACGAGTACCGAAGCGATGATGTCTCGACAGCAGCCTCAGTGGCAGGATTCACTGGCGCTGGGCCACCGTCGACCTTTAGAGGAGGCTCGGGAGACAGCAATGTAGAACCGGATGCTGATGTAGGCATTATGACTCCTTCAAGCGAAAAGTCGGGGGAACGAGAGTATCTCAACTCACCCGAAGAGCTGCGGTTTATGCAGGTATTCGTCTCTGAAGTGGGCATTTGGATGGACAGCCTTGACAAGGAAAAGCATTTCTCACGCCAAATCCCTTATCATGCGCTCAAGTGCCCCATGCTGCTGAATGCACTCCTCGCATGCGGGGTGAAGCATCTGACTCTGACACAGCAATATGGCGATGATAAGGCACTCTTCTATTATGATACGGCGACGACCCAACTCCTGCGCAGCTTACAAAATCCCGAGCGTGACACTGCCGAATGTGCAACCACCGCCGTAGTGCTCAATGTATACGAAATCATGAGTGATAAGCCGACCAAACGGATGAGCCACATAGCGGGCGCACGGGCTCTCATTCGTGAATGCGGCTGGAATGCCAAAAGCAAGGGTCTGGGCGCTGCATGTTTTTGGTTAAACGTGGGCATGGAGCTTCTCTCATGTCTAGCATTCAACTGGCAGACAGCATGGGAACCAGAAAAATGGGGTCTCGATATGGACTTCAACACAGAGAAGGACACCGGGAACGAAGAGGTTTGGGTGCACCGAATCTTCTATATCGTAGCCAAGATCGCCAACTTCCGTGCCAGCATCCCCAAATTTCAAGAGCCCAGCCCTCACGACGAACAAGTTCGGCTACAGGCCAGGTACGCAGAGTGGCAGCGCCTCAAGAATATGTGCGACGACTGGAACAACTCGTGTCCTCGTCCTATGCACCCGTTTGGATACTTATATCCTTCTCAGCAAACGGGCGCAAATAACTCGTTGTTTCCTAATGTCTGGTATGTCGATCCTATTCTTTAATACTAGCCACACTCGTCATTGTCGACAGAGGCTTGGAGTGAGGTGGCTAACAACTTTCTAGGCTCATCAAACGTGCCGCTATTGTTGGCAGGCTCTATTACCATACGGCACAATGCTTGCTCGCGCAGATAAACCCAATTCTTCCTAAAAATTCCGAGGAAGCGCGCAGAGTCCAGCAACATCATGCTCACCAAGTCTGCGGTATCGTAGCGCACACCAAAGACCGCGGGGTTGCTAGCGTTTCGATTCGTTCCCTAGCTATTGTCGCAGAGATCTTGACCGATCTTGCCGAACAGCAGGAAGTAGTGGCAATATTAGAGAAAATCGATCACGAGACAGGCTGGAAGCTTTCAGGTGTCATCCAGGGCCTCAGAAAATCTTGGGGCTGGGAGAAGATGGGACAGAAGGGACTTGTAGCGCAATTCTTACCTCGAACTGGCAGTGGCAATAAGGCGGCGATGGGCCTAGAAGAACACTACCGGCAGATGGAGTCCATTCATGCCAGCCTAACTACTACTACACCTTCACAACATCAAATGATTCACACTGTTCCGCAGTCAGGGTCTCAGCAGTTAGCGGCGCCGCGGCCGATGCATGTCAATCCGTTGAGCTTTGCCGATTTCAGTCTCCCAAACCACCCTTACCAAAATTGGTATGAGCCACCCAGTCGGTCACACGCTTATAGTTCACAGAGCCTCCTCTGAGGCATATTTTGACATTCAAGAAGGGTATATGTCGACATAATTGTACATACATAATGATAAGTAAAAAAGGGCAGCAATATATTGCCGGGTTCGGATGTTGGGAAAATCATTGATACCTCCGAAAGGGCGACATGCGTTTTTTCTTTTCTTTTTCTTATATTGTTCGCCCCTCTCTGCTATAACAGCCCTTTACTGGGTGGAGCACGAACTTCACAGCACCGATACACGGTGTTTGGGAGGAGCTATATGTATGCAGAAAGGGTCAGAGCAAATCGGGTTGGGTCGGAAGCTTGGCATCAGCAACGGTTACTTTGGGAGGACTGGGGCATGGACGGGTCCAAGGTATGAAAAAAATCAGTGATATGCATTCTCCAACGAGACTCTCACTGTTGTAAAAGCACAACAGAGAAGCAATGAGACCTGTCAAATAGGACGGTCCACGTTCAAGCCAATAGTTAAGAAACATCTTTCCTAGTGACTCTTTCGATATTATGTTTAACCATGACCCATCACTCGAGGTCTCCTGTTAACCAAGTAATGCAAAGTAGAGAGAGCGATGCTACGGAGAACAGGGGGGTGGTAGCTTCTACTGTTTGTAAGTATACCTACCTGGCTCTCTTAGGAAAAACCCAGCTTGCTTGTCAGTAGACAGGGGCACACCAGCAACAAGGGACGTGTGATCCGGTCAATCTTGGCGCTAACCCACTACTACCTATATTCCAGCACACGCATATCAAGTAACCAAACGAAGCTTCACAAGCCAAGCAAGCAAGCACTTAAAGATATCCAAAGCTGTTTCATTCGTATGCATTAGATTGAGACTCCAACTGCAAGTCTATAAACCTACGTCTAGATAAGTGAAAGACATGGTGTCCCTAGGCAGGTTATAGGTGATTTAGCCGCCTGGCATATGCATGAACGCCTCCCGTAGAATAGTTGGAGTCGGATGCTAGTCTATATAGAAGCATGGAAGTTACCTTAGTAACAATAGTGTAGAAATTTACTTTCTCCAATGCAACTGATAGGCCCGAGAGAGCCTTCATTACAAATCAGTCATAATATAGGTCTGAAGATCGACATGTAAAAGGGGGAGTGAAGCAATTGTCAGTAAATTTACATGTTATTCCCGCAAGACTGGCACTTGAGGGGGTCGTCCTGAATCCTCGGGTCTGAGATTTTGTCCGCAAAGTAGGTAATTGCATTTGTATTTACATTGGATGAAGCCTTCAACATAAAGGGCCGTATTGTAAGTTTTTATCTCTCTTGATGTTCGTGACTCGAGGAATTATTCTATAATTCAACCCAAAGTTGAAATTAAATCCTATTCACTATTGACTCACAGCAAAGCAAGTGGGATTTGAACCCACGCTATTTCCAACCTCGACATCTCATTCAAGTTCATTGCTTGGAAGCGCATTATGATGGGAATATGCTGCCGCTGCACCACCAGGCCTTTATATTATTTGATGCTAGGTATCTTAAGTTACAATTATATGCTGCCTGGCTAGGTACCGGCACTATTCGAATGTTCTTATAATAATACAAGTAGCTACCTGTGTGCTTAGGGGCAATTGGCAAATCAGTTCGAGTTTAGTTATTTCTAGGAACTGGGAACTAAAACATCATTTATTTTGAAATTTTGCCTTCGTCATAATACCATTTGCTATCAAGTACGTATAAGTCATCTTATATCTGATTAGCACGTATATAAATAGGAATAGTAGTTTCGCGCTTTAGCTAGTATTATTTATATAAGCTAGTTGTATCTGTGAAAATAAGAACTTGGCATTAATAGTCTCCTATCTCATATACATATGGCCCGTGAGGTATCGGATATCAGGTATATACTGCTACACACTCCCTACTTCGACCGAGAAATAACAACCACATCTATGTTCTAACAATAGACTAGATCTTAGGCAACGTCGACATAATTAGTAACGTCCTTAAACGTCTCTAAAGCGTGCCCCAAGTACTGCTGCACAGCCTTTGCTCGAGCCGTCATATCAGAGCCCAGAAGGAGCAACGGCTCGGATTCGCGTCCAGCTCCAATGCCCTCTCCAACTACTACCTCGTAGACAGCTTTCATCCCCTTGTCCTTATCACCCAAGGAAAACTTTATGCCAGGCAGGTCTGCACCCGAGAGAATTTGTAACATCAAGTCGGAAACAGTGCCCTTATAGTCATCCGGAAACGGGTTCTTGCCAGGGGTGGTGACATTGGCTATATTGGTGTTGAATGCGCCCGGGACGACCGTCAGAGTTCGAATGTTGTACGGTGCAACCTCTTGTGCCAGGACCCTAGTTACACCTATAGATAGGTAAGAGGTATATTAGTAGAAATTCGAGAACATTAGGCGATCAATACTTAGGAAACTACATACCATCGAGACCAGCTTTAGCTCCAGCATAGGGGCCCATTGTATCTCTACCTTCGAGGGAAGCTCCGCTACTAATGTTCACGATGACACCATACCGCCTCTTGCGCAAATGCGGAACGACGGCTCGGATTAGGCGTAAGGGACCGAAGTACATGGATTCCATCTGGCCACGGATCTCGTCTTCAGTTGCGAGCTCGACAGGCGTCAGTATTGAATAACCGGCATTGTTCACCAGAACATCGATCTCTACTCCCGACCTCTCAAGCTTCTCTATGACTTCCGGGCTGTTGTGATCGTTTACGTCCAACTTTAGCCATCTACCCCCTTTGCTCTCGACCTCAGCCACTAGCTCGGGCGTGCGGGAAGGGTTTCGTGAAGTGGCAATGACGGTGTGACCTTTATCCAGGACTATACGTGTAAGAGAGAGACCAAACCCGGAAGAGCATCCCGTGATGAACCATGTCAACTTCTCCTTGGGCTTAGTAAACTTGAAGGCCATGGTTGCTACCTATTACTGAACAATTTGAAACAGAATAGTTTATAAATGGAGAAGAGAAGGTATTTGATAATCAAGAGAGGGCACCTAATATGCAAACCAGAAGGAGGGGAGGCTTCTTTACTTTATAGATCACAAGCTACGGCCGATTATTCTTAACCCGGACTATAGCAATATGTAAACCCGGTGAAAACGGAGAGATTATGGCGATGTGTTCAGTAAGTAAGGAGCTACCTACCTGGTAATAACCTGGTAATAACCTTCCGGGTTAAGATTTACGACTTATTCCTTGTATCCAATTGTTCAAATCCAACACTGCTTAGTGTCGTTCCTTACACTAACACCATGTAATTAATTACAGATGCGGTTAGGTGCTATTGATTAAAGTGGCTTAGGTGAATATATAAGAAACAATGTCAGTTGCTCACATGAGCATGAGGTTCGGTATGAATCAATACTACGTATCAAAGTGACATCACGTATCCCAAGTGATGTATCAGAGCCTCAATATCGCAATGTGCATAAGTATTAATAATGTAAGCTTACTCATAAGCCCCGGAAAGGAACCGCATTTGCATTAAAGAATTTGAGACTTCAACTCCTTCAGGCTTCCGTAGTCAATAATACCTCAGGGCATGTCCGATGGCGATAGCCTTCATGCCCAGCATTTACATAAGTCCTGCTTACTACAACTAGTGGTAGCACTAAAGGAGTCGACCCCGGAACTCAGTTCTCTCCTACCTAATGTTAGAGTGCCCCCACACTGAAGCATGCACTATCCGAGTAGGTATTCGAAAAATCTCGGCTGTTCTATGAGGGGAAATATGAAACGGTAACAGCTGCTGGCGCCAGCTTGACCTATCGGAGGCAAATCCATGGGCTCGTGTGATATGTAGGTAGGTAGTGATGATAGGCCACGCGGTGAATGGGACGAGAAAAATGGATCCTCGCGGAATAGGAGTTATACGGGGTTAGCAATTATAACTCTAAATCAACGGTGTTTTGGATCTATAGGCCAGTCACCAGTCACAATGGATTTATGCCGGGGGATTTTTTGTTTTGCTTTACGCCATATATATCCAGAAACACGGCAGAACACGCACGCCGATTATTTAATAGGAATGATAAGTCTCTTTAAAGAATTATATAAATATCTTTAACCAATTATATTGAAGGATTTTAATGGTTAATCCACGTACACCTCGGGAGATGGAAAATCCCGAGAATTATAATAAGCAAGCATGCATTCCTAGAGTTTATCATTAGTCCTCGTCACAAGAGAGGCTTGCGTTAATCTTTACGCGTATTATGTGAAGGAAGACGCTAGTGCTATACTCGAACAAACTTGAACTGATGGATATTTAAGGCATGGAGAGTAGATAAATGGCTTCGAAACAAGGCTCAGGTTACCGGCAACACCGATATGAGTTTTAGGTTATTTACGTAGACTCGGAAATTAACTCGAATAAATATTAGACTTATTTGAATTGAACATGTACAAATCTATCCGGATATATCTAGAAATGTCTATATTACACACATTCAACCTACACACAATCCCATTTTAATCTGCAAATTATAATTACCTATATACTGCAGTATAGCCTTACTAAGATAGCAACATATGGATGAAGCTCTACGTTGTGACACGTATTAGCAAGAATCCTACTCGCTGCCTTGAAAAGCTGAAAGACGGGAATGGGAACGATCGGCAGAACCCGTCTCACCACAAACGAAGGAAGCCAACCCCAGCTGTAAACTCGGTATAAAGACCTGGTATGGGGCAAGATGCACCTTCTCGGGCATAAAGGAAGATATCACACGTCGCAACGTGGCTGTAAAAGAACACGCGTATTATGCGATAAATCGCAATGTTTTCAAGGGTTATAAATCCCCCAAAGCCGTCTATTCCTTCGACGTCTATTCCTCCGATGAGCTGGATATAGCACGATTTGCACGATGATCTGCTACCTAACTATCATACTATCTAAATGTAGCATAGCTGGTTTAGTTTCAAGCAAGGTATACGTAACACGAATTTCTCTTCAGCTTTTCCTTAAGACAAGGTATGCCCAGTTGCTGAGGTTCATCGATTCCACATCATTCATTCATTCTTATACCTTTCACAAGTCCACAGGAACAGCAAGCTAAGACATAAGTCGCAATGTCAAACAGATGTTTCTCATATTACCATATATCACCTTTCGATAGCTGGTTTATATTTGTAACTGATAAACAACATGTCCTCGAAAGGGAAGCTCAGGCACAATTGCATTGTCTGTGTAACATCGAGCTGAGTCTAAGCCATAAATATTCACTTATATCGTCCGTTTTCGTTCTTATGAGGTAGTATCGGAACAAACATCCTGTGTCAAAATCAACGCAAGTACCTTTCTTCTATCGTGATGGACGGATGTCTGTCTAATGAAGGATACTGTTAGACTGATATATACCTAGGTAATATCCCTCAGATAAACTGGCATCACTATCATCGTATGTAGCATCTCTATCGGACAAAGGAAATATACAATGTCGATGTGGCCAAGTATAGTTACGCTTCCGCATATCTATAAAAAAAAACCCTTGAATCATAGGATAATGAAGTATATAGAAATACAGACTACCTATACAATATAAGCTTTGTGATAAGGTTAGAGACGGCTTAGAAGTACCCACAAGGCTTATCAGCACTGCAGCGGTAGTGACGTCGCGCTGATAAGCTTTAGCTATCTCAGATAAACACGGTGCGCCTTAGTGCGCCTCAGGCTTTCAATCCATCATTGACCATTGAAATCCCATATCCAGAGACAAAGTTGCTCGTCGTTGCCTGTTGGAATACCCCTGTAAGCTATGCGCTTCTGTATGTAGGCATTCACCGACATTTGAACGTCCATAGCGTATCTGACATTACAACCTCTTTTACCTACCCGGCGCTTCCAATGTTTAATTTACAAACATACCACCTGTAACCTGGAGGACAGTACACGTCATCAGTTGATTGCTATATCTCAGGGAATTCCCTATCTAATCTGACCTCATTATCACCATGAGTGAACTTTTAAACTATTTAGTGCAGAACGACGAGAATTTCCGGAGGTAAACCCATCTTTTACTTCCCTTACTACTAGAAATAATGGAAGAACCCCTATTCTGACTTATACCAGAGCCCGCCTTCCAGCCCTCTATTCCGACTTCCGATCTCAGCGAACCCTCAACCCGGATGGCTTCGCTGCCAACGTTGCAGCATGGAAGCGCGGACTCTCCTCCGCTGCCCTGGCCGGCCAAGCCCCATCCAAATCCGCAACGCATAACCACCTAAGCCTCGACCTCGAAAGCGATGCCCTCTTACGCTCCCTCGAAAGCAAGCAATTCGGGCGACCGCTCGCTCTAGGCACCGTATTACAAGAGGCTCTAACGAGCGGGGAGATGATGCCATTGCAGCAGTTTCTCAAGGCGAAGGAGAGCATATACCACCGATCGTGGAGTAGCCTTCCGTGGTCGGTCGTGTCGTGGGGACTTCGGCAGGTCGGGATCGGTGGGCCGGGAGATAACTTGCCCAAAGGCCAATTTGTTATATTGCACAACCTGGAAGTGGTATCAAAGACATTTGGCGAAGCGACCGCAGACCGCACATCACCTTTCGAGCGGACTTTTTCAAAAACACATTTCCAACGGACGTTTGCGGAGGGCCTGCTCGAGAAGCAGCAGCGGCTGTCGGAGATAGACCTGGAAGTACTAGTAACGTTTCTTTCGAGAGATAGGAATATGCTAGCTACAGACGGGAACACAGTCAAGATTCGAAGCGGTAGTGAGGATGTTGTCATCACTCAGGAGGATTCGGCGATCGCGTCCCTGAAGGAACTTATGGAGGACTTGACGCGGCAGACCGAGGTGCTGAGCCGGCGCATCGACGAGTTAAACGTCGCTGCCCAGGACGCTGTCCGGAGAAAGAACAAGATCGCTGCGCTTGCGGCCCTTAAGTCGAAGAAGTTGGCTGAGACGAACCTGTCGCGACGGCACGATACGCTTAGCCAGTTAGAAGATGTGGCGGCGAAGATCGAGCAGGCTGCTGACAATGTGCAGCTGGTGAAGGTGATGCAGTCGAGCACAGTAACTCTGCGCAGCCTGAACGCGCAAGTCGGCGGTGCCGACAAAGTCGACGAGGTACTAGAAAATCTACGCGAGCAGATGGGCGAAGTAGACGAGGTAGGCAATATCATCGCCGAGTCCGGTCCCGCAGCCACCGTCGACGAAGCAGAAGTCGATGACGAACTCGAGGCTATGCTGGCGGAGGAGCGGAAGAAAGACGAGGAAGCCGAGAGAACCAGGCGCGAAGCACAGGAGCAGAAGGAGGTCGAAGAGACGAGACGCAAGCTCGCCGAGCTGGAGAAACTGGGCCCTCTGCCTGTGCCAGGACAAGGAGAGAAAGCTTCGAGACCTCTTACGCCTATCACGGCTACGGCTAATGAGCTGGGAGACATGCAAATATGAAGCAATAGCAAGCCGGAAGAGGTAGCATCCGTATGTAATATTTACTCGCTAAGCGACCACCTGATATGATAGATCTTCCCTTGAATGTTCGAGGTAATATAATATTAGCAATTATATCACGATATCATGATATCACCGTCGTTCTAGACGACGCGTCTAGATCTACCCTTCCTTCTCCCCCATCTGAAAGCGCCGCAGCCGAGGTGTTAGAAGATGCGATTTCGCCTGTTAAATCGATTATCCCAGTCGCTTGTGTGACGGAATCAACTTGTTCCTGTGGTTCTGAGTGTTCTAACGATGCTATCATCTCCGAATCTGGCTGTGGAGTTGGTTCGCTCTCCTTATTTTTACCCTTGCTTTGCATCCCGCCTCCTACCTTCTCGTCTTCATGACTCTTCCCCCCCATCATTACCTTGTTCCGCCTAGCGTTAGCTATTAGATCTTTAAACGAGCTATCGTGCTTAGAAGCCCACGCCGCGCCGTCAAAGTCCTTGTCTTTGATCTGCGCGCCGAGGCTGAGCGTTCTTGAATTTGTGGGCGCGCGACTGCCTACCGTGCGCTCCCATACATCGAGGTCGTGTAGTAAATCCCCCTTCCGCCGCGGGTATTGCGAGTCGCAGTTTGCGTTCCATATTGTCGTCCACTCTTTATGTCTTTTCTCTAGCATCTGCCGACCTCCCGCTGCCGATAGCCCCTGCTCTTGTAGTTTTTTCCGTAGTTGAGGTTCTTTAAGCATGGAATAGTTTACTGCGGGCAAGCGCTCAAAATTTCTGGTTGGTGCCTTTTTAGGCGAGGATGAGGAGGAGAAGGTGTTTGGTATGCTTGTAGATCGGGATGGAGGCTTCAAGGGCGTTCTTTGTGGTTGTGGTTCGCCTGGGCATGAAGTATCCAGGTGTCTGTCGACTTGGAGCGGTTTCATGCGCAGCAAGCAGATGGGACATGCGACTAGGCCGTCGTCTGGCTCAAAGTCCGTGGGGTCTTGGTAGGGCACGTCGGCTTCTAGACGTGCCATCTCGGATGTCATCTCCATGCTTCTTGACTTGCTTAACCTTGTTGAAAATCGTAGTCTTTTCCCTGATCTTTGGCTTGCTGAATCTGAGTCCTCCGTCCCTCCTAATTTCCTCTTCCCTGGCTCAGCTATAGCATCGTGTGACCTCTTCGCGAAAAGTAGGACATCAGAACGTGTCTTCGTAAATGCGACAACGACCTCCTCCATGGTCCGATTGTTTCGTAGTTTCATCTCTTGCTCGGAAGTACGGCACAGAGGGCATTTCCCTTCATTAGAGAGCGCTCGGCGAATACATATCGAACAAAATGTGTGGTTACAGGATGTTAACATCGGCGTCTTGAAAAAATCCTTGCAGACTTGACAGCGTAGCGCCGCCTCGACAGCGGCGAGTCCAGAGAGAGGAGTTGATAGCCAGTCTGTCGAGTCGGAAACATCTTCGAAGGGTTCGAGAACGGTATTGTTATTCATTGCCGATGATTAGTTAGATGGGTCGGGCTAATTGGATATGGTGGCTCATTGGCGACCTCAATTCTTTATAAAATTCGAATATTTATAAGCAAAGACATATATGGACAGTTCTTTATGTATTTAAACAGAAACTAAGGAGTTGAGACAAGGAAAGTCGGCGTGGAAGTCGAGGCTCAAATATACAATGAGATCATTGGCAAATCTGAAATCGCGACTGCTCCTAGGAACGCGCTTACTACCTGAAATTCGAACCCCTGTCTAGTGGCTGCCCTGTAGGCTTGTATTGTACATAGTGTACCTACCTATGAGTTCCTAGCCCCACTACCACTTAACGCGTCTTTCCTTTTCAGACGCGACTACCAGCTTTAAAGTGGCATGCCACCTTTCTTACCTTCATAATTACTTTAGTTGTCTTTGAAGAGCAAACAACAAAATATTCTGTATTTCGTTCAGTTATGCTGCAAGCTAGACTATTTGATTATTCTTGAAATTTCCGGTCAATATGGACCCCCATATGCAGTATCTAGCCCAGAAGCTCCTCACTGAGGATCAGATCGTAAGTTATAAAATATCCATAACCAAAACTCACGACATCTTATTAACACACATATTTTAAAGGTAACTTATCGCCTCCTGAGCCGGGCATTGAAGGTTCACGTAAACACTGCCAAAGAGTAAGTACTTCACACAAAATTAAAGGAAGATCGAATGGTGCTAACGGTTTTTCATAGGATGCTTTATGATTTTCATAAATGGCAGAACGATAAACGCCCAGGATCTCTTCATGCCACATACCTCGTATACGGTACTAAGAAGGTAGCGGTAAAAACAGAAGAATCGGATGGCGATGTGAAGATGACCGATTCTCAAAGTTTGGGAGAGATGCATGTTCCTTTCTCAGATGAAGTTTCTACTTATACGCTCTCTATAGTTAAAGAGGAACAACTGCAAGGTTAGTAGTAGAATGCTTCGATTTTCCTTGTTAGGTCTAGCTAACGAGAGGCAGATCTACTAGCAGAGTATGATGAGGTTACCTCGATACACATCTACAGCTTAGCACTCCATCCCCTCAAAGACCTCCAGCTCTTGGCCGATACAGCTCGACAGGTCCTGGAGTTGTCCACAACAGGCGACGTTCCAGCTTCAAGCAAAACATTTGGTTCAATTGCCAATCACAATGTGCGTAGGAGGGAACGTCGTGGGCCAGCACCTAAGCCTGTTACTAGTACACCCACTTCCAAAGCTGCACCAAAGGCCGAAATCAAGCAAGAGGCACAACCTGCCGATGTTAAGGAGGAGCCTAAGGTAGCACCTCAAGCTAATGTTAAAGGATCAACTTCAGTTGCTACTACTAAGAAGCCTACTGCTGCTACTTCGTTGAAACGACAGAGTTCTTCTGGAATTGGGCAAATGTTTGCTAAGGCAGCTGCTAAACCTAAGAAAACTGCAGCGAGTGCTGCCGAGGAGGACCAAAAGATGGCCTTGTCTGATGATGGAGAGGACGACGTCGTGCCGATGCCGGAGGTTAAGCAAGAGTCGGAGAGTGCTAGGCAACTGAGGAAGAATCGCCAAGCCGAACTGCGTCGCATGATGGAAGAGAGCGAAGAAGAGGAAGATGAAAAAGCGGAGAGTCCTACTGAGGAGCCTATGGAGGAAGAAGAGGAGGTGCCTTCACCCGAACCGGAACCTAAGGAAGAAGAACCCGCCGAAGTAGTATCGAGCACAGGCGATGGTAAACGTAGGGGAAGACGACGAGTCACGCGCAAGAAGCAGGTTATGGATGACAAGGGATATTTGGTTACAATACAGGAACAGGGTTGGGAATCATTTTCCGAGGACGAAGCTCCGCTGCCGCTTAAACAGAAGCCTCAACCAGCCAAGACAGAACCTGCTGCAAAGCCCAAGAAGGCGACAGGCAAGGGCCAGGGTAATATTATGTCCTTCTTTTCAAAGAAGTGAGGTCGTTGCTATATACTCGGAGGGTTGTGGACTAGAGCCGGTCGTGGGAAAGATTAACTGAATAACCTAGGAGATTCCCTTATTATAAGAAGGGCTTAATTGTCTTGAGCTAATCGTAGTGAAGCAGGAGTCTTGCCATCTTCGACAGAAATTTACAACATGTTACTACATTAAAAGATGACATTTCTCCTCGGTTGTGAAGTTTCAATCCTTTATCTACCTAAAACTCAACACCTACCCCCGATGCATACTCTCTAATTATAAACTCCTACGAAATAAAACTTACTAGGAATGGTTTCATGAGATCTGCCATTTAGTTATACGTATGTGACTTGTAGCGGTGCTAGCCTATATGGCTAACTTTCGTTTCTCTTTGGCCGTGTTCTGATTGAACTATATTTCTATTACAAACTGCTGTGAACAGGGACGAATATATTGTCAATGTCTTTCCCTGCCTTTAACAATGTAACCTAGATGCAATGTTTAAAGAGGAAGTAATTAAGCCAATGCAAATATTTTGGCCCAGGTGCATATAACTCCGAGATAATTATTTTCATCGCAGACGAATTGTCTCGCCTCTAGTATGATATGATAATATCTTGAATAGAATAGAGGAGCGAGGCTACAAAACTCGCGGTTTCAACTCGAGTTGAACCGGCATCAATTGTCAAGAACGTAAAGATCCCGAAATCCTTACAAGCCGGCGGCGTCCACCGCAAGTGCTCATTGCTTGGTTCAGATATGTACACGATCGACGATTTACGACGTATGAATCCGCCTATATGAGCGATCGAACGGAAACACTACTGAGAATCAAGCCATCACGTCTCAGTTGCAGTGCAGCGGAGTGCTGCATATGAGTCATGCAAACTGCTTACACATAGGCATAGGCGTGGGTGTGGGTGATGTTAGTAAACAGGGCAATAAACAGGGCAATAAACAGGGCAATGCTTTTCGACTAGGAGCGATTGCCGTAGGCTATTTGTGTATGTAGAATACACACGTGCGCACTAAGATGAGGTTAGAAGATCGAGAATAATACTTTGCACACAGTCCCAAGCGTTTCAGGTAGGAAATTACATACGAATACGGGCAATAAGGAGCCGGAGAGCCACGAAAGAGAAAACGATTCGGGAGTTTACGTAAGCGGCGAAAATGGATGGACAACGGGGAGACTATCGAAGCCGACGGCGGGACGGGGATAGGGTTCGGGGCTCGGATGATGAGAATCGGGGGTTGCAAGGTTTCATAGGACAAGCGAGAAAGCGTCGCGGAGCATTTTCGTAGCAGGGAAGCTTAAGAGAATGGAGTTGGGTCCCGTGAGCCGTTTTTCTGCATCTTCGCACATGGCAAATCCTTTGATTTTCAAGCTCCCCTTCTACCTGCCCACTTAGGGTCTTGACGCGGCTGAATGGATGGATGGATGGATGGATGGATATCGGTTGTCGAAATTGTTAGTGGGTAACTTCGAGATAACATCGAGTAACTTAAGTTACCTACATAGTAACGACTTGGTTATTATGTCGCGTGTGCTTAAGCAGCTTCGGTGAGTTGAAGTTGACCGGAAAGTGATAAAATAAGAATACCATGTAATTGGTGGAATTAATGGGACGCTCTAGGTTTAGAGCGTTTGTTCCTTTATTTTTCTTGTTTCTGTCCAATCCTCCTATTAAGATCCGCGGCTTATTAGCTTGACTATTATAATACCGGCAATAGACAAACAGGCAGGCTTTTGGAATTGAGGGAACGATATTTCTCGCCACCGCCAAGTCTCATTGCCGGTCCCTTAACGAATAAATCCGGGGAACCAAGCTCGATATCATGAACTACCCCTCCGTAATAGCTTCATGCGTTTGCGGTGCGTAGCGAGTGCCGCAGCTGTAGGTAAAGCTGTATGATGATGCACGGGACAATACATAGACCTTCCTCGGATCCCGACAGACTGGGATCGAGATTCCGGCTTCACCCACCCTCAAGGATAGTAGCGTTGCCTCATTGGGCATGTCGGCCACGCGCGAACGAATCACGGCTCCGATCTCCAGGACCGGGGGTCCTACACGCGTCCTAATCTTCCCGATCTGCTTTCTTAACTTGAACGAAGAAAAATTGCTTCCGAACGTGCCGTACGCTAATCTACCCTCCATACTATTCTCAGCTGTAGCCTGGCATCCATGATCTCCAGGCAATAACAAAGCTTCGTCATTATATCAGACAGCTATGTAGGGACAATCTGGCCTCTAACTGATCTGCTACGGGGCAGTACGCAATCTGCATGTATAGGTATTTAGGATTGCCTTAAAAATGAATGACGAATTTGAGATCTGATTACCTATCTGCTTATTGTTCGTACGGAGGTTATTTGGCTGCCTGGGAGCTTAGGTAGGTGGTTACCTCCGTCACAAGGCGTTTGCCTGCAGTAAATTAACCTGTGACCATCCGGACGTGCAGGTATTTGTGTACTTTGCATTGAGCCTTTTAAGTTACTTTCTATGAAGTTGTGTTGCTTGCCACTATTTTGAGCTTGAACACAATAGTACCTAAGCTTATGTTTTCTTCTTAACAATATGCATTTTCAACGCCCGGACTATAGTGTGTCATTTGAAAATGCACTGGCCGAGTCACACCAAACATGAATTCAATCCAAATAAAAATAAAAATTATAGAGGGGTGAGGGGTACCTAAAAACTAGTGGTCGAGGCTGCATTAGACGAATTGTTTAGGTAGTTCGCATACTGTATTACATACCTAGGTCTACACACCTAATGATAGCGAAAGCACTAACTGGCTTCCCGGATCCTTCCTTCTTAGCCCCGGGCTCCACTGTGTTAATTGGAAGTTTGTAGAAATGTAACCCCAAAAGGCCAACTGGAAGAGGTTGTCAGCGATAGAAAGAACCGGAGAAGATATTAGCATAGGGCTAATGTGCGCAACACACCCTTGTTCTTTCCTTCTAGGTCCCTACACTCCTACCCTGGTCCCCTGCAACTGACTGTGTAAGTTTGCAAAGCCAAAAAAATACCATATCTCAAATTTTATTGTACCGCAAATTTCCAATATCATCTACCAAATCCCATCCACACCAACCCATTCACTTTGATGAGATTCTTCTCTTCTCTCTCTATTCGCTTCTTTTCAACCAATTCATATCATTTCTTATTATAAAATTGGCGCGTTTGTTTGACGGCTACAGTGCTGTCAAATGAACCTGCAACTACCGATTTTATCTTTTCTCTATGTAAGTCGTCATCGATTTGGTTATGTTCTTTGCTAGCTCTTTCGCGACGGCGAAAGAAAATTTTTTATCTTATTTTTATTTTTATTAAATTTCGTACCTGAGATAACTCGCCGAGATTAGGTCACGCGCGCACATAACATTCTTTTTATATCGTCTTTACTTCTCTTCAAATATTAGAAATCTGCTTGAATTATACTAACTAGATCTCCTTCTGTCTTCTCTAGTCCCCCTCCCCTCCTGGTGTCATCTAAATGCCCACCATCTATTCATCCTTGTACCAAAATTTCATCCGTCAAGGATTTGCGAAATCTTTCACCCACGGCTACGCGCAATCTGTCGTAGCTGCTACACATCCCCATGTTCTAAACTCGCAGAACCGTCCGTCGTTTGCTCGACGTAACAGTCAGCGCGTCGGACGCCTCACTAGTCTCCAGCTTCAAAATGCCTTCCATAGCTCGAATCCGAATGCTCGACATGAGCTTCGCCACGAGAAAGATGGGAACCATGGAAACCTGGATGCCTACTTTGAGGCACTGAGAAAACAACAGGACAATGGCGACATTGAGAAAGAGTGGACTCAATTTCAGTTTCCCAAGCCCATCGAGTGGAAGCCGAATGCCTCGTCTGTCCTCGAGGATCCCGAGTCCAATGCGCTCGATGTCGATGCTCTCGAGGCTGCCGAAGCTAGTCAGAATGCCGGCGAGGATCTACCGGTTCCTGTCGACATAGATGTTGCATTGGCGCATATCGACGCCGCTATTGAGAAGGAGATTGAAGCTCGCGAATTACGAGAAGCTTTAGAAAGCCCCGCGCGTTCTTTAAGAGCATCGACCCCTTCTATCGCGAGTGGCGTTCAGTCCCGAGCTAGGTCCCCCGTTCACGAAAGGCCAGCAACACCTAGTATCTCTCGCACAGTAACACCGCCGGTTGATCCCCAGTCCAAGAGCTACGCGGACCATCTAACGAAACTTTCTGAAGATGGCCGATATGCTGAGATTCCTGCTGTTTTTGAGGCTATGCTTGTTACCGACATCAAACCTACGGCCGCATCCTACAATGCCCTGCTGGTCGCCGCTATTCACATCCCTACCGAAAAGATCGAGGTGGTCTCCAAGGCCTTGGATGTCTATGCCGACATGATGCGACGGAAGATCACACCAGACAGCGACACGTACAACATTCTAGTTGGTCTGTTAGCCGCTCGATGTCTGGAGGTATTCACCCTCAAGAAGGGCTTAGAGGATAAGCGCCTACGTTTTGGTGGTATGGATGAGCCTGGGAAGTTCATGTTCGCCTCGAATGAGCTGGAACACGCCATTCTGTCGGAAGACGACAGGCTCGACCTTGCCGTCAAGCTTTTTGAGACCTCTGTCTTAACAAACAAGGCTAACTACTCATCTGAAACTTATCATCAACTCATCTCGGCGTGTGCTCAGGCTGGACGAGTCTCTGATATGCTGCACCTATTTGAGCATATGGAGTTGAGTGGTTCTATCCCCTATGCGGCTACCTTCCCTTCCATGATTACTGCATTTGCCAACACTGGTGATTTAGCCAGTGCTGTTGAGTGCTATAATGAGTACAAGGATCTTGCTGTCGCCCATGACAACGGTAACTACACGCTAAATGATCGATTGGATTCACAGGTTTACGCTTCGGTAATCAATGCATACGTCATCAACGACAAGCTTGACGGTGCTATGAACTTCTACGAGAAGATCGTCAAGTCGTACGGAGTTGGTGCTGCGGAAATTCAGGACGCCATAATCAGCGGTGGATTCGTGAAAGGGTTTGCTAAAAGGGGAATCTACCACGAAGCGCTTCAATGGGCACAGGCTATTGAGAGTGAGGCTCGCTTAAGCGCTCTGGCGGATATTGCTACTGCTGCTGCCGATTTTGGCGACCGACATACCGCAACTGCTGCGTTCGCCCACATCCCTACAGTGTTCCAGGGTATTGCAACTCCGGCGATGGCCTTGCTTGCCCTCAGTGTTCGTCATGGTGATGTCCCAGCTGCCGCTCGATATTGGCACATCCTCAATAGCCCTGAGATCAAGGTTAACTCATCTTTTATCGAACCGGCAGCTATGTATGCGGTTGCGATGATCGGTTCTGGTCAGGTTGCTGAAGGTTTAGCCCAGTCCGAAATGATGTTCCAACGAATTCGAGCTGCCGAAACCGACGCAAGGCCGAACCTCGCCGACGAATTGGAAGAAAGCGCCGAATTCATATCTCGGTTCATGGCTATCCGTGGTGTTGTGGATCCTCGTGAAGTCGCTACTCCAGTCAGCTTTGAGCAACAAGTCTTCACTGCATCGCCTTACCCTTCAACGCCCACCGTCTCGAGCTATGAGGATAACTTCGACCCGTACGCGCATAACACCGATTTCAAGGGTTCATCTATTATCTCGGATGAACTCGAGGGTGCACATGGACGCAAGGGACCCCGACTCCATGAGGCGCTAACGCGTTTCCGCAACATGCGACGTGCAGGACGTCACCCCAGATACATCACTTACGCTAAGATGATTTCTGCCGCGGCGCGAGACGGCAAGATAGACCTGTGTCACGAAGTCCTAGCGACAGCACGAACCGATGTCCCTTTTCTTCCTCAATACTCTGTCGTCCGTTATGGTTGGTCTTCTATTCTCGATGCTATGGTTGGAGCTTGCTTGACCCTTGGCGACCGTGTCCTGGCAGAGCAGTACCATCTTGAGCTTCTCGAGATGGGAGCTGCTCCCTCGGCAAATACCTTTGGTCTCTACATTACTACCCTCAAGGAATCCACCAAGACCTTCGACGAAGCCTCGGAAGCTGTCAAGATTTTCCACCGAGCTAAGGCTGAGGGTGTCGAGCCTTCATCCTTCCTGTACAACGCCCTGATTGGTAAGCTTGGCAAGGCCCGCCGCATCGATGACTGCCTTTTTTACTTCGCCGAAATGCGTTCCCTCGGTATCAAGCCAACTAGTGTCACTTATGGAACGATTGTAAACGCCCTGTGCCGTGTTAGCGACGAGAAGTTCGCCGAGGAGCTTTTCGATGAGATGGAGTCGATGCCCAACTACAAAGCTCGTCCAGCCCCGTACAATAGTATGATGCAGTTCTTCCTCACTACCAAACGCGACAAGACTAAGGTCCTTGCATACTACGACCGAATGCAAGCAAAGGGAATTGCACCAACTGCTCACACGTATAAGCTTCTCGTTGATACTCACGCTACTCTCGAACCTGTGAACATGACCGCCGCTGAAGTTGTCTTGGATATGATTCGTGCTTCTGGCCAGAAGCCCGAACCGGTACACTACGCTTCACTCATTCATGCTCGCGGCTGTGTCCTCCATGACATGCAGGGCGCCAGGAATATCTTTGACTCGGTTATGAGTGACCCCAGCATTCACCCCAATGCCTGCCTTTTCCAGGCATTATTTGAGGCTATGGTTGCTAACCATCAAGTCGCGGATACTGAGGCGCTCTTATCCGTAATGAAACAGAAGCGCGTGGAACTTACACCTTACATCGCGAACACTCTCATCCACGGCTGGGCTGGCGAGAAGAACATTGACAAAGCCTCTTCAGTTTACAGCAGCGTCGGCCGTGAGAAGCGCGAACCTAGTACATATGAGGCAATGACTCGGGCATTCCTTGCCGTAGAAGACCGCGAGCGCGCCAAGTCAGTAGTAGGCGAGATGCTTTCGAGAGGATACCCCAGCGCCGTGGTTAACAAGGTCCTCGAGCTCCTCGGTGGTGGCAACGGTGAAGAATCTGTTGTCGTCTAAGAAGCATCCGTGAAATGGGCGTTACCTAGATTTTCTATTTTCTGCCTTTCCTTTGTTCTTTGCTTTATACGCGATACCCCCCGTGTTGTGCAGCAAGAGGTTGAGATGAATTTTCTTCCGGGGGTGGTCGGCTGAAGCAAAGGGCACGGTCGTCACAAGTGGGCCAGGCGTTTTACGGAACTTGCATATAAAACGGTTATTACGGACACCAGGTACTACACCCTTACCGGGAAAAGGGGGGCGGGCATCGGCTGGCATGTCGATTTTATTATAGACAAATCTCCACTCTGCATATATCACGAACGAAGGAACTTCCATAGAAGGATCGAGTCGAGGGATCCTGAGGTTTTGTTTGGGCAGGTTTAGCCCTCGAGATATACACATTTACGGTTGGGATCTCAGTCGGTTAATGGCATGGCATGGCATGGCATATGGATTCACAGGCTTGTGTTACTACCGCGTGCATATTTTGGTGCGGTGGTATATGATTCATGATGAACTCATATGGAGTAACACGGCGTGGTATGGTATGGTATGGTATGATATGACACGGTAATCCTGCCCTGTATGATAGAACCAATACCATGGAAGTTCGTTCTAATGATTGCGTGTTTAAATTGTGCTATGTAGTGCTGTATATTATTTGACATTGTAATGGTGAGAGCTGTTTGATTGTTTTGTCTTGAATATTCTCTGGTCGTTCTATGTGATGAAGAAATGAATATAACACTCTTCACTGCTTGCGCTTTTGACTTGTAAGATGTTAAATCATATCTCAGTTGTTACAAATCTGAGTTGTGAGAACTGAACGGTACGGTACTTGATATAGGGATGAGAGCCCCGTCATATATATCGTGATAATAGCTTTATATCTATATCAGTCGTTTTCTTATTGCATAACTGATTTCATCGTCACGTATTAGCTCAACTACAGAAAATATCAATCGCAATATATAAAAATCGTAGTAGCTTTTTATACGAACTAGTCAATCCGTATTATATCAACTACAACGACGATACTCCTCAAACGTCCGTATAAAGCATTCCCAGAATGAATAATAATTACCGCAGACACTCATGCGCTCGTAACTCTTTTTTATCTATACCGTCGCGATAAACTTCATGTTAACAATGCAACCGACCTCTCTTCCCCATAACATAACCTACCCCTACTACCATAACCCCCCTCCAAAAAGCCACCTCACCCAATATTAAACTCCCCGGCCGCACTCATAACCTGCTTCATCTTCATCCTCATCCTCCTCGCCGCATCCTCGTCCGCCGCACCCACACCATCCTCCCCATCACCATCATTGCCCCTCTTCTGCCCACCAGCACCAGTCTTCTTCTGCTGACTCGGCTTAAACGTGCGCCTCGACGGCCCGCCTCCAATCCCTCCCGGCGCCTCGCGTAAACCAAAGCTCTTGGCCGTGTGGCCCAGGTGCAACTGCGTGATGTCGAAGTATCCGCGCTCGTCGCGCACGTGTGTCGCGTACGCACGGATATGCGAGCGGAAGGCCTGGCGCGCCGCATCCAAGAGCTTCGAGTTACTACCTTCTTTTGCGGAGGCTAGGAGGCGTTGTTCGAAGTGTAGTTGGAGGGCTTCCGCGCGGGAGTTAGGAGTTTGGCGGTCTGATACTAGAGTCTGGGGCTCGGAGGTTTGGTCTTGTTTGGGTAGGGATATGGGTGTTACGAAGCCCTTTTGGAGAGTCGATTCGTAAGACTGGGGTATGAGAGCTGAGGCGGATTTGAGAAGTTCAACGTAGCCTTCCTCGCAGCCTGGTTGGAGGAAGAGTGTCGCTTTGCCGGGTCGGCCCGCTCGCGCGGTTCGACCGATGCGATGGACATGGTCTTCGACGCTGAAGGCTGGATCGTACTCGATGACAAGATCCACAGCGGGCACATCGAGACCACGCGATGCGATATCGGTGGTAATGAGAACACAAGGATTCTGCGAGGTGTGGAAGGCGGCAAGCGTGGACGTGCGAACAGGCTGCTGGAGGGAGCCATGAAGCTTTAGAAGAGTTATATCAGGGTTTGCTGGCGATGTGATATAGGCAGCATCGGCAACAGTATCCTTTGTCAGGGGTGATTCGTCGGGTGAGAGTTGGGATGATGCAGAACGGAGTAAATCGAAATGGAAATCGACCGAGTCGGCGCAAGATATGAAAACAATGGCTTTCATGACGGACCCTTTGCGGGCAAATGTTGATTTGAGTAGTGATATCAGTGTTACCAATCGCAGTTTAGCTGGAACAACGGCATATGATTGCTTAAGTTGAGATGGCGCACTGAAGGTAGCGTCGTTGGCCGCGGCCACGGTATCGCCCTCGTCCTCAGACTTAGAGGATGTGACGTGGATAGCGTCTTGCAAACTAATCTCGCCCAGCCTTTGCACATTCATCTTCATCGTCGCCGAACAGAGAACGGTGACACGACGTTGCGGCAGGGCGGCGAGGGACACACCCTCTTTATTGGACTCTTTTAATTCTTCTCTTCGAATTTTTCCCACAATGCTCTTCAACTCTTCTTCGAATCCCATCTCCATTAGCCTGTCGCCTTCATCGAGAACAAGCCATCTTACAGTGCCGACGTCGAGCACCTTAGTATTATCCAGATGATCAACGAGACGACCAGGAGTAGCGATCAATATGTTGACACCCTTCCTCAAGCGAGCCTTTTCGGATTTCTTACTCTCTCCACCTATCACGGTAGTGCTTACGATCCAGGGAGCGCAACGTAGAAGTTTCTCTAAAACGGTAGCGATTTGCTTGCACAGCTCCCTCGTCGGTGCTAAGACAAGAGCAAATAGGCCTGAATCGCGATGCATACGGGTTCCGGTGGTAGAGCCGTCGTCATGGTGACTTAGATTCATGATTCGCTGTACGATAGGAAGTAGATAAGCCAAAGTCTTTCCTGAACCTGTCTCGGCCTGTAAGAAAGCATCGCTATCGTCCTTTATTAGCGGCGGGATGCTATTCTTTTGTATTGAAGTCGGGGCCTTCATCTCCAGCTTTGACGACAGGTGTTGGGCAATGCGCGGCGACAAGCCAAGAGCGCGGAAGTTTTCGGCTTCATCAGATAATGGGGCATTGGATGGCTTTGTAGGTTCGACATCATCAACTGGATCATCGAAGACTGTTGTGGGTGTTGGGTTAGATGTGAATAACCTGGACGTGATGCCGCCAGGTTTGTTGGATGTGCCGCCGAACCTAGCACCCGTATTAGATGTATTATCTAATTGTCCGTTTTGGGGATCGGATGTCTTCTGGCGCTTCGCTGGCCTTTCGTTTTGATCGTGAAATTGTCGAAAATCTCGTCGGTCGTTGGACAGCGGGGTGGAATTGACTGAGCTCGCAGGTCCATCTAAAGACCCATCGCGATTCTTCCTGGCGCTTCGCTGAGCATGGACACGATCTCTCCATCGACCACCTGTGAATTTAACCTGCTTCTTTAGTGGCGCATCACCAAGATCGAAATTTAAAAGTAAGCCGCTGTCAGCCATGGCGATTATGTATGTGTGGTCGCGAATATTGAAGCAGTGAAAAGCGACAGAATCGTCTGAGACTTTTTAGTGGAGTACTCGACGTTATACTACTTAGCGCATACATATGTGTAATAGCATATCGTTATCATATCGATAAGATATACCGAGTATACTGGAACCATATGGACGTTATCCATTTATCTCAGCCTTGTAAGACGAGTTTATTATTTTGATACATTTCAGCATTACAAATGAAGTTACTCAATAAACGTTCACGTAAAGAAAACTTACCTAATACTATCGCGCGTATTTCTTAGAGAAAGCTATCCATATATGCTCCTTTAAGTATAAAGTGACAACTTACAAGTAGCAAGTTATTGGTCTGTTGAAAGTTGAGGAAATCTTCTATTGGATCAAACGTGAGACTACGATGGCAAGCCTAGGCCAATAGTAGTCCACCTAGGAACTTCACATTATCATATTCCTACTGAACGCAGAGGTAACCTCCGCTTATCTAGGTACGAGGACACAAGGCTGCGAGATATAATTCAGGTCTATTTCAGCTGTGGTGGAACCCTGTAACAAGGTCTATATGGTTTGGAACGTATATTCAATTTACTAATAAATCTCAAAGGTCTCAAGGTCCTTGTCCTCCTCCTTCTTCAAAGGGGCGGGCCCAAGGCCTTTTGTAAACAATCTAAGGCACGTATCTTGGGACCTAATCCAAGATACCAAATACATGTTGGCTGTCCTTGCATATTCCTGCATGTCCTCGTGATAAGTCTCATCCAATGATCCTAATATTGGTTATCCTAACCGCCTGGCTGGCGCTTAGCCATCTCATATTACGGCCAACACCCTCTTGGCGGTGTTGTCCATGTGACAAACCCTGCTTCATTAAAAATTGCCAGTATTTCGTAGCCAACTGATATCATGGATTGCATATCAGCTCCTGCATAGCTATTGATGAAGCTGACACTCTGCTTTTGCTGAGATAAGTGTGGGTGGAATGGCGTGATGTTTTGTAAGTCGAAATGGTAGACACGAGCTTCTCGCCGTCTGTATAAGAGTCGCCATTACATGTCACTACCTAGGTAATTGATATTTTCTACCTCTTTCCTATAACCTCTAGATACTCTTTAGACGAAAACACAACTGCGTATTCTGAAGCCTATCTTTCAATTAGTCACTACCTACGCCACCTGAAAGTTCTGGATTCGATCATGGCCGTAGACAGTCAAACGATAACGAAGCAGATCCTAGATCTCAAATCGCTTCTCAATGGTATGAATGATGACGAGGACAATAAAAATAAGTTCAAGGACAAGCTGGACTCGTTGGCACAGGCCTATATCAACTCTCACATAGATGATTACTTTCACGAAACCCTCTTGCATATTGCAGCTCGGCAAGGCCATGTATGGGCGGCTAAAACTCTCCTCGGAGCAGGAGCGTCTGTCTCAGGGCAGGATTACATGAAATGCCAGCCATTGCACAGAGCCTGCGAGATAGGCAATCGTCCACTGGCGCAAAAGTCGACGTAAAAGAAAGCAATGGATGAACTCCATTAATGGCAGCGACGAAAGGGGAAGAGCTAATTAGCATGAATATGTTACTAGACGAGCATGGATACGACCAAGCGTGTATCCGGGACAATGAAGGTAAAACACCATTCTTAGTGGCGATTGAAGATAACAATTTGGCGGGTGCACATATATTGTTGGATCATATGCCCGATGAAAAGAAGTATGATCCCGGCGTATACCAAAGGCTCCTCTTATATGAATCGCCAAATTCGGAGGAAGAAGAACTGTAAATACAAAGGTGCATGCAACAGTCAATCTTAGAAGCTCTGACGAAGAACCGGGAAATTTTCGACGAGGCTCTTCTCTGGGTGGCAGCAAATTTTGAGAGGCACAAAATTGCGAAGAAGCTTCTTATCCAGAACACGGATCTAGAGACGAATACGTCCAGCGTTATCGAGTTGGCTTCTCGACAAAAATTCCCAGACGCACTCTGGTGACTCATTGCAACTTCCCCACGCGACGATGAAATCACCGAAAACATCAAGTCGGCGTTATCCGAAGCCAACACGCAAAATACTCAGCAAGAACTAGAAAGTACCGCCAACAGAAGACTGGGAGGCAAGCGCGCAAACAAGAGTAAATCTGAAGAAGATATATACGGTGCTACAGCCCTCGCGGATGGGAACCAGCCTATCGTTTGGAGGCATATGATAGACATCTTGGAAGATCCTCAAATTGCGCAGGTTTATGACGATAGTGCCAAATTGGCGCCACTGTCACGAGGCGGAACTAAACAGCAAATAATACTATGGAGAAGAGCCTCGATGATAAGGATTCCGATGCCACATCTTCTCGACTTCAAAATACATACGGCGAAGATAACTTGAGGTTTACTCACATCCACTTACCAGCTACAAATATATGTATCCCCGAACGTCCTAACTAGGTAGTCATGACTAACCAAGGATATATTAGTTGGATGAAGGTAGTAGAAATAGTTCCCAAATACCAATTTCTTACATCTCTACTTTCGAAGATCGTAGAAGTTGCTAATGGCTTTCATAGGACTTATTGTTGAGAATCATGGTCGATGAAGAGATGGAAAGCACTGTGAGATACCCTGAGGTTAGCTCATTTTTGAAGAGTACTTGGTGTGAAATCCCAGATCGGACTTCTGAGTCACGGTTTATGAGGCCGCAGTTTGCAGAGAAGGTACCAATTGCATCCACTAGAAAGAGACAAGATGAAAAACATAGAGGGACAGCTGCAAATAACTTTTACTCTTACTCAGACTTTGATCTAAATAATTATAGATGCCATTCATATAGTTTGCAACACAAACCGAAGACCTTAACATTTCTCGCCAGGGGCCAGCTGGGAAATCCAGAAGACTAATAGAAGCTTATAAAGGTTCAGTCGTCCATAGCTCTGTGACCCTTGATGAGGCGTACTATCACTTCGGCTCAGAAGATGAGTTAGCCCAGAAGGACAGAGGCGAACGTAATCGCGCTCAAGTTGTTACTAAAAAAATTGTAGCAGAATGCCAAAAAGTCGGAAGGGGACCAACAGCCTAGCAATGGCCAATTACCTGAAACCAAATAGAAGCTGAAGGGGCTCGGTCTCAGCCGGGATCTATTAAAGATATGATGAAAGCGATGGTAAACTATTGCATTGGGTTCTACGAGAGGAGGCGAGCTTACCGAGGTCTCAATGATAGTTTGCAAACCGGCCTGTCAATTCGCCAACTCTTTTCGGATTATGTTAATTATATTGTATGCCGGGTTCCATTCAAATGTGGTGCATTGATGTCAATCTTTTGGTAGGGATGAAAAGAGACCGCCCTTTTCACCAATGTTCGAAAGCTCGAAAATGGATCAAATACTTCCGAGCGTGAAGGGAAATTCAAAGAAGCTACCATCGAAGCCGAAGAGCTATTCGGCGAGATTAAGGATGTCCGCGATGAATTGTGTATTATCAAATCAATCGTGAAGTATCAAAGCATTGTCGAGCGGAAACTCTATGGCAAAGACCTACCATATTTCGACCTTACTACAAGCTACATCCTCAACGATACCGCCGAAATGGAGAGACTTGCAAATAGGATTCAGTCTGCCGCAAGCCTTCCGTTTATTGAAGATTGATTACAATGGTCACTTATATGCAATGAATTTAGGTCACTTCGACACTCTCATTACTACAAAGCGAGATGGCAAACCAGAGCAATCCGTAAAACAAGGTGATAGTATGATGGCGTTCACACTGATTACTATTATATTTGTAGGTCTTATTCTCCTGTTTAAAAGTCCTCCCTAATTCTACGGTTTTCTAACTCCCATTAGCTGCCGCTGTCATTCCTTAGCTCTTTATTCGCACTTGACGTTGAGTCGTTCCAAAAAGCTCCTGCCTGGACTTTTGGGATCATTTGTAAGTACTTCTAAGTAAACATGACGTCTTATCAACTTCTAGTCTACTCATTAACATTGGTTCAGTCGGGGTTTCTTTGGAATTTACCGCCCTTACGATCTACGCCCTTTACTTAAATCGGTATGTAGTTGCAATAGCCAAATCCATCTGCATGTATATCAAAAAACATACCAAGAAGCAACACAGCGATATACAGGAGCAGTTCGGCAGGAATGTCGAAAATCACCATGGTAAATTCCACATATTGAAAGATTTAGTTATATCTTAACGTTAAGGAAGTGAATGTGCTTCAGATATATTTCACGATGCTAACGTGTATAAATGTCGTGGAGAAGAAGAAGAAGAAGAAGAAGAAGAAGAACGGTTGAATGATCCAATAATGACAGAAGAACAGAGGGAAAGGACGCTGTTTGGATCAGTGTTTGCCCGCCGGCACCGCAACCACCATCAATCAGGTGATGTCTAGTTTATTTATGGGAGAGTACCATGGATCACGAGTTTTCTAAATCTTGCGCTGGCAGCATCTTGACACGCACATTGTCTTTTCTAACATCCGATGGATCTACTTCCTAAGACCAGAATCGGATTACAATAGGCTATTGTTTCTCCTTCACGATAGGCGGTACTATGCCTGTTGTGTTGTCTATTTGATCTCGTAGTAATAGTTATTATGTAAAGAATGTTGAAGTTGAAATTAGATTCTTACCTGGACTTGCAACGTTGTTGAATTCTGCAGGCGGTGAAGTGAAGATCAGTGGTGACCCATGTATATTCATGACTTCTAGTCGGTATTCATGCACTAAACCTCCACTTATATCAGGAGACGTCTAGTTCGCGTTCGAGGAGACAGATGATATTCCCCCTTGATTGTGCATCTACATACACGTGTAGTTTGATGCAGGATACAAGCCTCACTGCCGCTCATTAACGTGTTTGGAAATATCCCTGTGGAAAATCATTAAATTTGATAATATATTTGATCGGATAGCCTATCTAATATTTGCATGAGCTGTCAAATTTCAGTTATCTGAATCTGGCGTTAGGTACCTTAGGTACTTTCTATAATATAGTATAATATAGTGCAACGTTAGGAAGACGTCCGTGGAAATACAAACTGAATAATTAGTTTACTAGTTACCTAGTTATGTAACTATTTAAAGTAAGGAACATTCTGTTTCAATGAAGCATGTTCATAGCACTAATTCTACCTATCCCAATGACTCCTGGTAAACATACTAGCTATATCTGTACTTACCTATGTAACGAGATATTGTTGAGGTAGCTGAGTGAAGATCCTAAGAGGGCTGAGTGAAACACCAGCTCCTTGGGCATAGTACCACTTATATAGACTTAGTTGACGGTGATTGGCTCCGGGTTAGAGCTAAGCTAGGTAGTAACACCTCGTATTCAGCTGCCGGTAGTTACCCCGGCCGTTGCAGACGCCAACTCCGGGGTATCGGCTAAGAAAGAGAAATGACGTGGTTAAGTTGCATGCGGCAATTTTCACTTTACCAGAGATTAATCTTCTAGAACCAATGTAACCATGCTAAGCAGTAGTTCAAAGGCATCCCCGACAATCTCCTCGTTGTGTACTAGCCCTACGACAAAACCCTGCATATTCCAACCTTGCAAATTTACGTAACGTTGACAGCAAATGTAAACATCCAGCATCATGGAATCCAAAGAACCGGCATCGCCTACTAGGGTGTATACAAAAGTTGGTGAGGCTAGTACATAGAAATTAGGTTAAGGAGTTATATGGAAAGGGGGGCAACGTTGTCGTGATCCCCGCCCAATACGAGCTGGAGTTCATGCCCTATCGTCGTTGTGACCGCCGATCAAGCTGGTTTTGCTCCACTCGCCATGATGAGACTCACCCCAGATAGAATTTAGTATAAAGACCCTTCGTGCGTCCGACTATGTTCCTTCCTTTTCAGCCTCACCACCACGCACTCACATTCAGTCATTCTCTAATAGTCTATTCATCAACCTAATCAACTCACTTCACTTTCGTTCACCCGAAACAAACATTCAAAATGAAGTTCTCCGTCGCTACCCTCTTCGCCGCTACCGCTGCTGCCGTCACTGTCGGCAAGCGTGACACCGTCTTCTCAGTCTCCGAGTTCTCGGCTGGCTGCGTCAGCCACAGCACCCAGTGCGTGTAAGTATTATTCTCGATCCATATACACTACCGTACATAGCAATGTACTAATAAATCTCCAGGTACTCCTTCACTGTCATCCAGCCCGGCACCATGGAGAAGACTGGCGTCAAGTGCTCGGCTTCCGCCACCGCCGGTACCAACGGCGAGCTCCCCGAGGTCAAGAATGCTTCTTGCGAGCAGTCGTCCAGGACATTCAGCGTGACCAAGAGTGCCAGCGGCCTGACCCTCACCGTCACTCAGCCGGTCACTCCCGTCAGCAACCAGTCCGGCTCCCACCTCATCCCCAACGCCCAGCTCAAGACCACCAACGAGCCCAACGCTGTTGTCCAGAGCTACACCGGCCCTGCTAGCTTCAACCTCGAGTAACTTGTCGGCCTCGATACGAATTGACGGATTTGAGTTCTTCTAGCAAGCTTGCAGCGTTTTAGAATTTGGCGGGGGCTTTCGTGACCAGACTGTGGTTGATGTTCCCAAATAGATATTAGATTAGATAGAATTGTGCGTGTTGAATATACATATCGCATCATTTTCACGGCTGCTTGACTGTTTGTGGTGTCTATTGGTTTACAGTGCGTTATCTTCCCTCACCAAGGAGCGAATTATTACTCAGTAATATATAATCGTAACATTCGGGTTTAATTCATCGATTATCGCGTAATATTTCTTCAATTGGCAGTGAGCTGTATCTCACCTTTGCGATTGGTCCTCAGTTATATGTAGATAGCAAATATGACTGATCGATCTGATCCTACACGGTCTTTTCTAACCAATCATTAAGCATTGATACTGAATACATGTACCTAATTAACTCTCTGACTAGGGACTTGGTACATAGGTAGCAACTCAGTCCTAGTATTATTACATGTGTTCTATCAGAGCCTGCCGCTGCTACAAGGCACGACTTCGAATTTGGTTGGCCTACAAATTGGGTCGCTACTACGTTGCTGATGTGGAAGTTGGTTCGAGTTTCCCTATCTTAAAAGATGCTTAACCCCCCTTTCTTATCCTTTTTTCTTTTTTTCTTTCTTTTCCATACCATCTCCAAATATTGCACAAACTGCCTCGTGTATCCAAAATGCGGCTCTTAAACGTCGCATCCTTTCGCCTAGAAGAGTTCATAGGCGAAAAGAGGCCCAGATATGCTATTCTCTCCCATACTTGGGGTGACGAGGAAGTTCTGTTTCAAGATATTCAAAATCATGAGGTAGATATACATATAGCCCTATATCTAGCAGACAACACGCACTCCCAATTATCTATCCACTAACTCGGCTTAACATCGAGTGTTCGATGTGGAAACAGAAACGAGGATTTAAAAAGGTCGAAGACAGCTGTCGTCGGGCCAAATTAGATAGATATGAATATATCTGGATCGATACGTGCTGTATAGACAAGAGCAGTAGTGCCGAGCTTTCCGAAGCTATAAACTCCATGTTTGCGTGGTATGAGTCTTCATGCGTTTGCTACGCATTTATAGAAGACATTCAAGACCCTGCCGACCTTCCTAAAAGCCGATGGTTTACCCGTGGATGGACATTGCAGGAGTTAATTGCGCCACATGATGTTCGTTTCTACAGCAAGAGCTGGGAGTTACTGGGTGACCGTTATACGCTTTCTTCACAAATCGCAGGTTAGCATTCATCCCTGTACTAAATCTGGTATTTTCCTAACTACCTACTTATACATTAGAACGAACTGGAATCAACATACCTGTCCTGACGTTGAATCGTATCGTTAACAATGCGCCACGGGAACAACACACAGGCTGGCATTCAGGATGCATTGGTTGCGGTGATCGGGTTCGTTATACCAGTAATATAGTCAAAAATTACTGTGTAGCACAGAAAATGAACTGGGCTTCCTCAAGACAAACAACTCGAGCAGAAGATATGGCATACTGTCTACTCGGTATTTTTGGTATCCATATGACCTTAATATACGGAGAGGGCTTAGAAGGAGCTTTTCGCCGACTACAGGAGGAAATCCTCAAGCGGTCGGATGATCATTCAATACTAGCTTGGCGCGACGATAGTCCTGATTACTCTAGCGTAGAAAACGAAGACATCCTGGCGACCACTCTGTTACAGTTCCGACTTGGCAACGACTATGTTCAATCAATGCAGCTACCCTATGGACAGCCCAACCGCAAACTGCAAATGGAATCAAATGGGTTGTTCCTAACAGCAATTTTATGTCCTGCCCCTCCTGAATGGAGAAGGCACCCGGATAATGAAACTTGGACGCTCGCAGTTCTAGACTGCGTCATGGGAAACGACTTAAGTTCCAGACCTGCCCTTCTCTTAATGAAATTCCCTAACGATGAAAACATGTTCTACCGAATTCATCCGAAATTCGTTTGCATTATCGAACCCTCTGGTGACTTGAGAGTTATTTCCTCTGATGGTAGCGAGAAGATTGAATATTTTGGTAATAACAGAAAATGACACATTTCTATAAGTTTCCAGTTCGCTGATCACTTCTAGATAATCCCATCCTCGAAAACCCCTCGACCGAGAAGATCCACATTTTACCTAAGAGGTACTATCCTACACACATCTCCGGCAGCGAGCCCTTGAGGCCGTCGAGGATCTCGCAATTCAATCAAAATAACATGGATGGCTTCCAATACAGAATCGTAGACTCTGTACCGCAATGGACTGATAGTCAGCATCGGACTTTACCAGGTGAATACTCACATATGGTAGCTTTCGAGAACGAATCTTCTGCCTTCTTCTTATTATGGAACAATGTGAGGGAACTCGAATATGCTATAGTATCTCTAGTTGACATGATCCGCCACCTCGAAGATTACCCCAAATATTACCCAGGGAGTCCTCCATTTAACTATACAGTCGCGGATATTATGGCGATTCGAAAAATGATCGGTCATGTCGACTTCGAGAAAAGCTTTTCAACACTAGTCACTAACCGCCCGTTGATAATATATGGTCCTGATTCGCACCGATTTGAAGTCTCAGCTAACATTAAATGTACTTCTTTTTTGGGTTCCAACGTTATTGAAGTCGAAGTGAACATAAAAGGACTCTAGGAGGAAAACTGACGGCTGTTAAAGGTTGGAGATCTTGTTCTCTTCCTCGAGAATATGGAGGAAGTCTTAGGTGTTGATGTTAGCTGGCGAGAAACTGTCCATATAGGTGCCTCCCTTATATTTACAGTTATGAGGAATCATATCATTGGATGGGTCTATTGGCTTTCTTTCTAAATCCGCACTTGGACCTATGTAGCCACTCATTCAATGAGACCTATATAACCAACATAAGTTGTTATAACTTATGGTTTCATTTTATTATAACTATCCGTTTGATTCATTATAGACAGACAAACTCGTGATTAGAACATGTTGACATATACCATCTTGCTCCACCCCGTAATAAATCCATCGAATCTACAAATGCATAAGTCTACAGCACAATAAAACCCCTATCTTATATTCGCAACACGCCCTCACGAAACATGTCAAACCGAAAAAGCATTCATTACAACGGAAGTAATCATTCCCCTAATTACCCTCATACAAATAAATAGCTATATCAATAATCTTCAAGAACCCCCTTCCTCTAAGATATACCACGTCGCCCCGTCTAACCATCTGGGTACCTAACCAAAATCGTCCTTAACATCGCCTGTATCCTGTTCCTCGGACGCATCAAGCTGCGCTTTCAGCGGCGCCGTCTCCAAGCCCGCCCCGGTCGTGCCCCCGGGAAGTCCCAGCGTACTAATGCGCCTTCCCCTCATATCTAGGGCTTCGCTTTCCTCATCCACAACATCGCTCTCGTCACCACTATCTGCGTCGTCGTCCTGGTCATCCGATTCGAGATTGTCGTTAAGCTGCTTTCCAATGCCAAGCAGAAACGCGCTGGCATAATTGAACTTATCAATGCCGTTTCCGCTCGGGAGGTCCGAGTATGTCTTACGCGCCTCGTTGAGACACCGTTGCGCCTGAATATATTTCGACTGCACCAGCCATGCCTCAGCGCCAAGCGCACTCCACAGCGCCGACTTCCTCCGCCTGCCACCCCAGAGATGTGTTCCCATGCCCTGCTTAGATGCATAACAAATCGCCAATCGCTCCTTAATCAGCGCGTCTCCTACGGGGCCTAGTATCTTAGTCTCTAATAGGCGAATCCCCCATTTCGCGGCACTATCAACGTTCGAACCACCACGTAGGCGTAAGAGCTCCAGACCAAGAGCGAGACATCGTAGCGCCCCGTATGGCGCGCTGCAACGTGTGATATACGAATAACAAGCTGCTTCAAATGCGGTGTCTATTGTTTCTGCTCTTGATCTAGCCGATAGGTTTTGAGGCATGATGAGGAGACTGATGGCAGACATTTCGCTTGCCGCCGCGTGATATTTCCATGCTTTATCATTATTGAAATCAGTACGGAGAAGCTCGTACGTGGAATGGGCTAGCTTCCAATCTCGTAGCATAAAGGCGTAGTCGGCCAACTTCCGCATTATGGCTTCGGCGGCGTCTTGGCGATAGAATCCGAGTAAATCATAATTACTCCCCGAGCTCTGCCCCAAGACTGATGACCTAGGATTGTTTCCAAAACCCCATCGTTTGGTCAAGCCAACAAATCGGCCTGCAAGCCCCCTTCGGCGCGAGGCTACTTGGTCATTCCATACAGACACGTGACGTTCCATCGTAGGTATTATAGATTGCGTAACCATTTCGCGGATAAAGGTGCGGATTGCAGTCGCGTCTGACTCAAATATGTACCTCGTCGGATCTTCGAAGTCCTCCTGGTCTTCGCTCCTTCGAAGATCGGCTAATTCTTCTGCGGCCGACATCCACTCGCTCCGGGGAAGGGGTATGCTGTCATCGTCGGTAGCAGCACTTTGCGTTCCCCTTATCCGAAGCAAATGACAGTGGAGGCCGAGACTGCGCTTCATCTGGTCAAAAAGTGCCATAGATCTCGTTATATCATCTCTCTCTTCCTCGTGGACAAGGACGTAGTAACGTAAGAACTCGGCATCAACCCAGTTGGGTAAGCGTCTGTCACCCGTGCTAGACTCAGTGTATAACCGTCTCAGAGTTTCGATTGGAGTCGGATTCCGGGAGCTTATTGCGATGACGCAAGCAACCGGATGCGCGAATGTTTCGTGCGGTGCCAGGGGCAGGCCCGAGAGCAATCTACGTAAGTATAAAGCGTAATACGGTGAGGTTATGTCGATATCTAGACCGTTATTGGTAGGGCTCTGGGGTAAGCTAAAGAATGATTGTTCGGCATAGCTCAGGTGGCGATCTACGACGGCCTCGACATCCGGGATCGTGATCCCCTGCCCCCTCCCGGGGCCGCTGGACTTCTCCGAAGCTCCATTTGTTCTCGGGGCTGACGCAGGTCTTAAACCGGTTGTCACGGGGTCCGGGTGCACAATACCCTCTCCAAAGCGGACAAGGTGTATTGAGTAGTCTTCGTATGTCCTGCTTGACCCGTTGCTATCCCGTATTATAACTTTTCCTTGGACACGCTCTCCAAAGGGTCTAAGTAGTTCCCACAGACCGCGGTTAAACCCCTTCTCTTTTAACAAGACATCGGTATCTTCGGAGGTATATACCGCGACATGCGGTACGAATGCCCCAAGAATAAGGTTGAGCGGATCACCCGGGCTGTCCCCTGCGCCAGAAGCGAGTGCGAGGCCGTTATTCGGAGCTGCGCCAAATATAGAACCAGCGGCTATTCGCGACGGTGGGCGACCGACGGGCGACTGGGAGCGAGAAGCGGGGGGCGATAGAGTAGATGCGTAGAGCGAGGCAGCGGAGGGATGAGACCGTCGGTAAGGGAGACTGAATTCGGAGCGGAAGAGAGATGGCGAGACATCGTTAAGAGTATGACGGGCTTTCTGAACCCTCGAGATGGAGGCTGCTACGGGGGATGCAGGGAGTGATCCACTCCCATCCTGCGAATCATAATCGGAAGGCGGCATCAAGTTGGACAGGTATGCCTACGGTACTCTGGCCCTCGAAACGACTCGACCGCCGAGTGTCGCATCTGTATATGACGATCTAAGACGAATGTAAGGAGGACGGCGATGGTGGATATTGCAGAGCGGTGAGATGTTTGCAGCGCTGCAAGGTGATACAGTTTGTTGTAATTTCATAGAGGTTAGACAAGCAAATCCTGTGTTCCGAATTGCGCATCTGGGTTCGACATTGGCGATGTCAAGTTTCCCATTCAAACATTCAATTAAACAAAATTGGGTACAACGAGGTAGTCAGCCAGAAAGTTAGTCAGAATTAAGGTCCCGGCTGGGTATCCGTTATCCGATAGCAGAGCCACAATTTACCCCCATCAGCCCTCAGTTATGGAAGTCAAACGGTAATTTGAGGCTGATGCAAACTTAAATTGTGGGTCACAGGGCATGAAAGTCAGGTAGGTAATCCTCAATCCTTTAAACTTGTGCAATCATAATTGTTTAAAGTTGGAATATATTAAGAAAAACAACTTGAATTGATGAAGTCTTTGTTCTATATACGTCCTTAAACCTCAGCAAGACGCCGGTTTAAATTAGTAACCAACTCGACTGACGAGTCTACAGCTCATCCCAAAGTCATCCTTGACCATCAACCCAAAGTCTAACCCGATTTGGCAAAAGCTGGGACCTTGGATCCAACATTCTGATTGGTTGCATTTGACGGGGTCCGCTTTGGGGTGAGCTTTGTACGACTTTGGGGTAAGTTTTTGGCGTTTTTAATTGCTAGAATAAGGTTAAATGCCCTATAAATACAGCGCATTATAACCACTAAATTCCTTATATTATAGCGCGTTTTATCTAATCAATTCCTAATCGATTAGGAATTAATTAGATATGCGCTTACCTATTTTTTATTTTTTACTTATTTTAAAATAAACTTTTTATATTTAAATAAAATAAAATAAAAATCAATAGTTAATCGATTAATAATTAATTATCAATCGATTATATTAAATTTGTTTATATTTCATTAAGTCTTATAATGCTGTATAAAAGCGTATATTTATATAAATATAATGTTAGTGAAATGGTAGTTGAGTTTTGGGTGCGCTAGTACTATTATGGTGTAAAATGGTCCACATATGCCTGATTGGGTTAGACTTTGGGTTGATGGTCAAGGATAACTTTGGGATGAGCTGCGCCCTCCTCGACTGACCGAGTGACTTTTAATGACTATAAAAGCGAAAGCGACAAGGCACACTTCCTAAGCCTTGGAGAGACGTAGGGAATCATTAGAGATATCCTATTGAACCATTTTTTTCGGTGCACTTATGAGTTGTACTTATCGCGCTGAGTACCTGTTAACCTGTTATAGAAAGCCCATTAGTAACGCATTATAATATTCAACTTAACAAGCTCTACAAGATCATTCCTTACAAATATCAAAAATCAACGTATCCTCCATGAAAGCATCAACCCGCCCAACAGAATAGCAACGCGCAATTGTTTCCATTTGGTGTTACGTGAGGTGGGACGTTGCATCTGTCTAGTAGAAGCAATTCAGCGAATGCGTCTTACGCGTCCGTCATTCACCCGTAATTTACCAGTACCTAGCTTCCCTAGTCTTTCTGTTCCTAGCCTTAGTACGTTCCTAGTTACAGTAGATCCGGCAGTTGGACGTTGGATATTGCTGTGTGTCTACCCGCTGATCAAAAGACAATTTTACACATTTCGCTCGCTGCCTTACCACGGTTCTACGGGTCAGGTTATTAAACTATTGGGCTGTTGACCAACTTGAAAGACCTAACAGGTAATTATCTCCAAGTTGGCTCCCTGGCTAGGATATGAGGAAGCTGATTGGCTTATACTGTACCAGTTGACCGAAAAGGGTAATCATTAAGATTTTGTAACGCGATGATTACTTGATTACTTACAGGATACCTTAAACAATAGAGCTCTTGTTAGCAGAGGAAGATTTTTAAAAAGGTGGCTTATTAAAGGGAGGGAATAACATGACCCAGGTATTAATAATCGAGATCTAAGCTCGGACGGGATCGTAAGAGATCTAGACCCAATCTCATCCTGTAAGCTGCCGGTCACGAATTTGGCCACACATATCAAATACCTAAGAGCAAAGTAATAGAAAAAAAAGTATTGCTATCGAGAACGCAACTGGGTTACGGATTATTTGATCAAAAGGGAATTACAATGTGTAATATAACCTCAAACAAGGTGTCTGCGACTTTTGCCAAGGCGGCTGAACATGCAATAGGATAAATTGGCAATACCGGTTGCAGCAGGGCTCGCGTTTACTGTCTGCAGTGTTACCCTACATTTCTGCCCGTCTGCCGTCTTACACCTTTTAACAAGACAAGCTCTGCTAGTAAGCGAACCGACCCGCTCGGGCACCGCGCACGCACATACAAACACGCAGAGAGATGCCGTATATATTCTTCCCCCCTGCTGCATATGTACCGACCGATTCGCGATAATCGAGCCATCTTCCCTCATACGTGTATATTGAGCTGACGAGGCCTCGTCCGCTTGGTCCACCGTCGATGCTCCCGGCTTATAAGCGTTTCTAGCGCGAACTCGAATGCTGACCGGTGGCAGCGTGCTAGCCCTAACCCCTAACGGTTGGCTGGCTGGCTGGCTGGCTGGCTAGCTGCAAGACGCTTTCTAATGTCCTATGCCGGCGCTATGGACGCCATTCTGCCATTCTATTTATTCTCCTCTTGGCATTTTGCCGACCGGCTTATTATATGCATCCGTACTCGGCTAGGCTCATTATTGAATGCAAGCCACCTCGTATATCTCGCAGGAGCACAATTAGTATCATGATAAGTCGAATGACTTTATAGGGGTCGGAGTTGAGGTCTGATGTTATGTGTAAGTTTACCTCAGCAAATAAGCTGAGAAGTTACAACATTAATGTGCATCTGTAGTGTAGCAACAACGATAGATGGTACCCTCTATAACTATGTAGCGAGCCCAGATCTGACATATTGACAGGAAAACAAGAAGGGGAAATCTCCTCAAAGCCTCCAAAATGCCGGTCCGGGTATTCCGCCAGTCATAACTCCGGACTCTTATATTAATTTGCTCGTGTTCCTGACTGCTGTATAACCCATAAGATCGAGAGTGTGGAGAACCCTGTCTGGGACATGCATTCGCAATCTTGGGTTCAGCCAATATTGCTCGAGAGCAGAGCTCATTTAGCCATTCCAATGCACCCCTACGATCCCATCCACATGTAACCTTGGATCTTGTCTACTGAAAAGAGAAAAATTCTCCTGCTAAGCGAGGATAACCCCTGACTAGACCTGTCAATATAAGTCTGGATCATGCTGCCAGACGACTTGAATCTTGGACGATCGTCCAGCCTTGAACCATCCAGGGACTCATCATGAGGTTCACTAAGGTTATTGGCGGCATCACCGCCGCCTTACTCGTGAGCGGCGTATCAGGTGCCAAGCTGCCCGAGAGACAGGATGCTTCTTCAGTTTCCTCTGAGACACCTGCTCCTCCCGCTCCTCCTGCGTCGACCGAAACACCGGTCCCACCACCACCGCCTGCTTCTACGGAGGCCCCGGCACCTCCAACTTCTTCGGCACCCCCGGCTCCGGTCGAGACATGCGCGGCGCATTTGCTAGTAGACGACTTCTCTCAATGGGAGACCGGCGAGAACTCCCTGAAGGGAGCTACGAGCGGTAAGATTGTTCTACCGATTTTTATAGGGCTAAGTGCTGAACCCCTCAACAGATGACCAGACTATGAACGCCACCAGCACTGATGGCGGCATCCTAACATTCACACCCAAGAACATCGATGTATCGTATATCTACGAACAGTTTGACTGTCTAGACACCGTAGCGCTCGGATACGACTCCATATCATTTAACATCAAGGGTCCTGAGGCGGCTTCCGTCTCAATTGAGCTCCAAACCGTCGCCGAATGCTCAAGCACTGAGTATCAGAGCTCCTACTACACCCTTGACGGCCTTAGCGGTTCTATACAAACAATTAATATCCCGCTAAACAGCTGGGAGGGAGCTGGCCTGGACGGGGTCGTTGGTGTCCTATGGTACGGCTTCTCGGCTGGCTTGACTGGCACCGACAACGTGTGGCAGCTGGATAACGTACAGTTCCTGTGCGCTAGCATTCCGCCGCCCAAAAACCCCGAACCACCTGTAGTCACACCGGTGCCCACTACCGTGCCCACTACCGACCCTACTGATCCCGAGCCGCCAGCCACCGTCACAACTACAATCTTCGTGACTCTGCCCGGTGGTGATGTCACTACGACGACAGAGACCACTACGGGAAGCTGGAGCACGCCCGGCAAATCGACTACCACGAAGCGCTCAGGATGGCCTACTACTACTACCCGTCCTATCGAGCCGACCGAGCCTCCATGGTGGGATGACCCATGGGATGACCCGTGGGAAGGCTGGCCCGACAGCCAAGCCGCGCCACAGCAAGTCACCGCCACCGCTGCCGCCGGCCCTACACCGACAGCTTCGGTAGCGATGGTGGTCCAGCCGATCGTAGCTCGCGCAGAAGCTGCCCAGTGCGACCATCTTCTCGTCGACGACTTCGTATCCCAATCTCTCTTGACCTTTCTCTACTACAACGCCTTGCTGAAGTCGAGTAGCGACGACGGCACTATGAAATCCGTTGTGGTCAAGAACAATAGGGTGACTTTCACACCCGTCGATACTGACTCGTACTGGTACACTCAGCTCGGCTGCATCGATGCGGAACAATACGGGGGAATCTCGCTTCGCATCTCAGCTGCTGCTGGCACAACCTTCGACGTCCAGCTTTCTTCTACAAAAGGCCAGTGCGGCACCGAGAGCACCAACGATGTTGGGATGACGTCAAAACAACTCGGCTGGACTTTCAACGGAAAGGAGCAGCTATACTCTATCCCCTTCTCCAAGTTTAAGGGGCTTGACCTAACCAAGTTGGAAACAATCTTCATTTCCAACTTGGTAAAACCTGTTACCTTTGGGCCTTTGGCTTTGTACTGTGGAGACGAGGTTGTCGAATATGTCCCCCCTGCAGTTGTCGAACCATCCACTCCTACCGAAACGGTGCCAGCACCCCCGAGCAAAGCTACTAACCTTGTGATCGACAAGTTCGCCAACTCGGAAACAAATGCTTTGCAACAATGGCACGGAGCGGACGAGGGGATGACTGTGACTTTCAAGAAAAACACCATGACGCTGCAGACCAACGACTCGGATCTGATGTGGGTTACGCAAGTGTCCGAGACCTGCAAGGACTTAACCGAGTTCGACGGGTCTTACCTCCACGTCGCTTACACGGGAAGCAACCTATTTACCATCGCCCTCCAACAGCACAACGAGAAGTGTAACAACGACATCTACCCCTACCCCGAGACCTGGGACTCCCTCGAAGCCTCGCGGTACAGCACCAAGACCGACATCTGGATCCCGCTGAACCACTTCAACGTCGACCGCAAGCGGGCCATCGGCTTCGCATTCAAGGGCTTCTACAGCACCACCGCAACCGTCTTCTCCAAGATCGAGATCGTCAACGAGGTTCCCGAGGACTTCCAAGTCCCAGAGAAACTACCCTCCGGCCAGTTTGTCTTCGCCTGCAAGCGACCCAACTCCTTCGCCTTCGCCATCGACGACGGCGACCCAGTGTTCGCGCAACAGGTCATGAAGACGATCGACGACGAGAACATCACCGTGACATTCTTCACCGTGGGCGCGCCCCTGCGGGACCCGACCACGAACCTAAGCGCCATCTACAACGAGATGGCCTCTAAGGGACACCAGATCGCGCTGCACAGCTACACGCACCCGCCTCTAGAAGGCCTCGCAGACGACGCGTCGATCGACTGGGAGTACACGAACGACATTGAAGCGGTCAAGGAAACGTTCAACGGGCTGACGCCCAAGTACTTCCGTCCCCCGTTCGGCACCGAAGGCGCGCGTATGCGACAGCGTCTCGCGGCGCTCATCGAAGACCCGTATATCGTGCAATGGAGCGTCGACGTGGAAGACTGGCTGTGGGCTGAATCTAGTACCCCCGAGAAGCAGCTCGATGCGTTCAAGCGAGACGTCGCGGCCGGCGGCGACATCGTCGTCATGCATTACTTGTACAACAGCACCGTCAGCTACCTCAAGGAGTTCATCCAGATCGCCAAGGCGACTGGCAAGCAGCTAATGCGCGTGGATCAGTGCATGATGGACCCGAATGCGCCGCCGCTGCCGGGTGAGGAGGAATAGGGGGGTATGGTTGTTACAGGGGTACGATGTATATAAAATTGGCTTGTTGCTGTTGTGTGGTTAGTGCTTAATAAAAACATCATCGGTTTTGACTTGTTCGTATAACAGCTGAATTAGGAAGATTTTGATTCGATGTGATGTAGTGGCCTTAGTAATCGCCCTGGTAGATATCCACTTCACGAAGGAAGTTATCGTCAAAGAGTTTCTTTGAAGGTATATGGATATAGTGGAATGAGATTGATTCGACAGTTACATGTCTAATAATAGTAGATATATAATAACTTATATAATAACTCTCTACATAATAATGTTGATACTGTCACGACCGTTTAGACTATCATCGTGTGAAGTGTTCACCAAGTTACATGCTTACATCTTGCACTTAGAGCTGGGGTAGATCTTAATGCAACCACATGTATGCATGTAATATACTACGTATGGAGGGATGTCGCCATGGTGGGAAGAATGGTGAACATCCAATGGTAAGTTGTTGATTAATCAGATCCTTCTCAGGGGAGCAGTATATATGAGAACCTTGAGGCACAGAGCCTTGAGTTAATACGTCAAAAAGGATATCATCTTTAATAATTCCTGCCAGAATTAAGAATCAAGTCTAACATTCCAAGTGAAACCCAAGAAGACCCTTGTTACAAAGCGTTTACAGCTATGCCTCTCCCGTCCGATGAAAATGTCGTCCAGACCAGCAGTGCCATAGTCAGTACACTACATGGAATCTTTGGACCCCATCCCGGATTTCGACCCGGTATGCTCTATTAATCTAGTATCTACATGTTATAAGATATACTAACAAGACCCCTTAGCCCATGCAAAAGGTGTCCTGCTAAAAGGAACCTTTACTCCCACCGCAGAAGCGGAAACACTCTCAAAAGCACCTCACTTCAACAATCCTTCAACTCCCATCATAGCACGATTCTCCAGCTCGACCGGAATACCAGAACTCCCAGACACCGATCCCAACGGCAACCCCCGCGGCTTTGCTATCCGCTTCGTACTAGCCGAGGCTCCTCGCCGCGTACACACGGACATCATCACCCACTCCGTCGACGGCTTCCCAGGCTCAAACGGCCAAGATGCCCTCGAATTCTTCACAGCAGTTAAAGACGACTCGATCGGCGAATACCTAGCCTCCCACCCGAAAGCACTAGCTTTCGTCCAAGCCCCGAAGCCAACACCAGCCAGTTTCGGCAAAGAGAGGTACTTCGGCGTCAACGCGTTCAAGTTCATCGCAGCAGACGGCAAGGAGACATTCATCCGGTACCGCATCAACCCCTCAGCCGGAGAAGTGTATCTCGACGAAGCCGCGCTAAAAGACAAAACGCCATCTTTCCTCTACGACGGCGTGCCAGAGCTCCTTGAATCCGGACCGATCGCGTTCAAGCTCAAAGCACAGGTCGCAGAAGACGGGGACGTGACAGACGATAACACGGCAAAGTGGCCGGAAGAACGGCGGGTCGTCGAGCTCGGCACGATCGAACTGCAGTCTGTGGCAGACGACCAGGCCGCGCAGCAGAAGAGGATAATCTTCGATCCGATCCCTAGGGTTGAAGGGGTCGAGGCTTCGGCCGATCCGCTGCTGGAGGTTCGCGCGGGGATTTATCTTATAAGTGGTCGTGAGAGGCGTGAGGCTTGATGATGGAAACAGTCAAGTGCTATTATATTTGAGTACAAAAAATAACCTAGGTTGATTTTGATAAATTAAGTATCTTCTTAGAAGCCAGGAAACCTCGTGCATCGCACACGTACCTGTCTATATAATAAATACTCGAGCTACGAATATCAGAATATATTCTATCTCAAGTTGCGTGCGCTGCAGATTTGATCGAGAAGAAATAAATAAATAAAAACAACCAAAAAGAAAAACAAAATGCACTTCCTCAAAAAAGAAACCTGAAAAGGAATTACCAAAAAAGCTCAGCCCCAGGTTCGAATCCCCTCGGATAGGGGCAGGGGATTCGAACCCAAGACCTACGAAAAACCGGCTTCGTTAAGCATCTGCTGTCAAGTCACATTCTTTCTTTTGGAAGAATGGTCCAGCATAAGACACCACAGTGGGGTTTTCTCTAACCTCAAGTCGCCCAAGCGAGGGGCGTCGGTTGAGGGATTGTTTGTAATTTAGATATATAACCTTTGCTTCGTGGGTAGGTAGGTACTTAGGGGCATGTATCTATCTCGTTGCCTGGGTTTCTGCCACCTGAAATCTTTTTAGGTACCGCCAGCTTACTTGGAGATATGCTCATTAGTGCACGGTCGAATCGAGATGGTTCGTTCACATGATCTAGACACTGGAGGATAGTTGGTATGCTACTTGTATGCTTATTTTAGGATACTGATCTATACGACTGACTGTGTGGATGGTTTTATATCAAAGATATGGAATATAAGATAGCCTCACATATAAAGTTTACACACAAGATTGTATTCCTTCATCACTAAGCTCAAGTCAAAACATTCGATACACCTCCAAGCTGGTACTAAGTAAACTGACTCAACGATATTGCGCTTTTCCAGTATAACCATATGCATCTAGATAAAATACGCTTCAGCGTGGCATGTCTCATATATATACCTACGAAGCCATTATAAACAGTACTTCTCGTTACAACGTGGCAGAAATACGGCAAGACTACAGTGCTCTTCCAACTTCTATCTACCGATAAAATCATATTTCATAAGGCAGTGCGGGTGCTTTGAAAATCAAGTGCGGTTTCCTCTTGGCTAAGTCGAGAATCGTTTCCGCAAATACGCCATTTGCCCCTATAGCTTTGTTAGCAAACCTTATAGTGTGATCTTCGGAGTCCGGTTCTTCAATCTAAATCTTACAAGCAAACCAGCTTCCTAATAATCATGGTCAGTAACGCAGTCCAAAAAAATGGCCTGTGGAAACTCACTTGTATAAGAGCTATAAAAATTGACGTCGACGCTTTCGTGTATCAAGCCGAGTTTTCCCGATTTAAGAACCAGATCCAGGCATTCAGTTATTTCTTCATCGTCGTCAGACGTTTGAGCCTGAATGAGAAGACTCATAGGCCAGGCATTTGAGAGGCCGATATGAGGACCTAAGGTAAATCAGCATGGGCCTAGACGTAGATGATCGGGGAAGTAGCTAACCTCCGATGCCTTTGAACTCTCTTCCGGTGAGGTAATAAGGGTTTGATCCTTTCGCAAGTAACATACGTCGCGTATTTTGGTAGGTTTCATCGCTCGCCTTCAGAAAGCCCATGAGGGGTAAAGCTAGAAGAGACGGGTAGTTCGCATCATCCATTAGAATCGACGACCCATACCCGTCTACCTCGTATGCGAAGACCTCACCGAACTCCTTATGTTGAACAGTTCCGTGATCCCAAACGCCGTCGTTGATGGTTTGGCTCCACGTCTCGACCGTCTGGGCCAAAGCGTTTTTGCCGACACTCCTGAGGACATTGGCAGTTCGTTTCAGTTCCACCGCTATCATCGCATTTGCTGGAATAAAGAAGCCCAGTATGGTAGCGTCGTCGCTTGGTCTGAACGCGGACCGTACAAGACCGGTACCGTTGTTGAGAGGGTTTCCTACACCATTGAGGTTGAGTGTCTCAGTTCCCGTGTTCGTGTTGCGGTTGAAGGTGTACTCATTGCGCCGATAGTGGCCGGTCTCCGGGTCAAAAGTAGACTTGGACTGCTGCTCGAGTACATTCAATAAAGTCTCCAATGCCAAGTACCAACGCGACGTCATATACTCAGTAGATCCCGTATGGTCATTGAAATCGTTTGCTAGGGCGAGGAAATGCGCAAGCGAGTCCAACTCGTACTTGCATTCGAAGACAAACGAAGGCTCATATGCAGGATGGACAACGTCGTCCTGACCGTTATGCGACACGGACAACCCGCTGATTGGGGGTGGCTGAAAAGCATTGCAATATGGTGATTCAATGACATACTCGGATTGGGTGTTGATTGCGCCTAGAATCAAGTCGTGTATAGCCGGGTCCTTCTTTGCTAAAGGCTGGTACGGGGAAAGTTGGTTTGTTGAGTCCCTAAGCCATTCGGCAATGATATCCCCTGTGATGACAAAAGAATGCGGTCCCTCCCACTTTCCTTCGTCATACGAATCTTTCCATGCTTTCTTTTTATTGTTAGAACCTTTCGTGTGGAACTTGACGGTTGTATCTGTCGTGGACTGCGATCGTTTGTCTCGGTCAGTTGTATCCGTTGTAAAAGTCGTACAAGTACGACAATAGGAAGATTATAAGTCGGACTAACAGGAAAGGCGTTCTCGAAGAGACGCGCTAGATCGGGGTCTTTCATGCGAGATGTCACATCCTTTATAACTTGCTCAATGGCGTCCGACTGAAAGGTGCGACATCGAGGATCGGGCCTTTGGAAAGGTAGCTCAAGAGGACCCTCGCTAAGAGGCCGATGCGGATATGTCGAATACTGTGTATAATCAGGACAAGCTTCTTCGTATTCGAACTTGTCTAAAGGAAGCTGTTCCTGGCCATAGGGTTGATGTCCCGATCCCGATGCCAAAGTTGAATATAAGGTCGCTAGCAGCAAGCTTGCGCCTATTGAATTCGTGGAACCAATCATTTATGCGGCGCGAGCTGTAGCAGCTCTATACAAGCAGACAGGTCATGAAGTTTTCATAGGAAAAGGAAGATGCAAGTTGTAAGTTGAGCTAAAGATTTATACGGAATGGGCAACTTCCAAAAAAAAATCGATATTAGAAGTCGGGTCGGAACAGTACCGCAATCTGCAGGGTCCCACGCCGTTCCTTACTACAAAAGGGACACGACACGCTGACAGTTGCCCGATATGACGGTAAAACCTTAGTGGATGGGAAACACCCCGCAGAACTGCGGAACTGGAAGCTCCCGTCAACTTTCATCTTCACCTTCCAACCCCGCTAACGTCATATTAAGCTCAATAAGCTCAATAAAATTAATTAGTGCGTAAGTGGGGCTAGTGGGGTATCTTATCAACAGTCTTATCTTCTTATCGCGTCCATATGTAGGTACCTTAATCAGCTTTAACTTTCTCAAGAGCTTCAACAAATCCCGGCCTCAGATGTCCGCAGCAGAAACCATCACGTTTTCCACCTCAGTTGCTTGACTTTTCCATCGAGTCACTGCGATGGCTTACGATGTCTCAAAAATTACCTCACCGCGTCCCCATTAACCGTCGCTACTAGATTTTCTTAGAATACCTTACTACCTGACTATGCTGGCTCTCTCGGTACGTGGGTTTATAGCCTCGCATCCGCTTAACCGACAGACTATCCGAACGATGGCTACCGCGCGGCGTCAAGCTTTCGAAACCATCCCATCTTCTCCTATTCGAGTTATGCGTACGGTTGATGCGGTCAGAAGATGGAGGAAGCCTCAGTACCTCGACCACAGGATCGTTTCACTCGTACCTACGATGGGAGCTTTGCATCAAGGTCATCTTTCTCTTATCCGCAGCGCAGCTCGCGAGAGCCATCACGTCGTCGTTAGCATATATGTGAACCCGGCCCAATTCGGGATCAAGGAAGATCTAGCTTCTTACCCTGTGACTTGGGAGTCGGACTGTAAGATCCTAGCTGATTTAGATCGTGAATTGGCCGACGATGGTGGGAATCTAGGCCGCATCAGCGCTATTTTTGCGCCAACTACCCCCGAGATGTATCCCTCAGGTTTTCCAGGCCAAGAAGTAAACTCTAAAGGGAGTTTTGTGGTCATAACGCCAATAAGTGAGATTCTTGAGGGTGGTACTAGACCAACCTTTTTCAGAGGCGTCGCCACTGTCTGCATGAAACTTTTTAACATCGTACAACCTGAAAAGGTGTACTTTGGCCAAAAGGATGTCCAGCAGACCGTATTGATCCAAAAGATGGTCAAGGACTTTATGCTGCCAACCGAGGTTATTATTGGTCCTACCATCCGGGAGTCCGACGGACTTGCTCTAAGCTCCAGAAATGTTTACCTCGGCGAGAGGCGACGTGAAGTCGCCCCCGTGCTAAATCGCGCGCTCAAGGCTGCTGAGGCCCAGTACCTAAACGGGGCTCTGGATCGAAAGCAGCTCATGAATGCCGCTAATGCTATAATTTTAAATGATTTAAACAAACAGTCGGCATTACCTCCCGAGAAGAGGGTAATGTTTGAGGTGGACTACATCTCACTTGCGGATCCTTTTTCCATGGAGGAGCTGACTGCAATCGACCCAGAGAAGGGTGGTATACTGAGTGGTGCAGTAAAGATGCTACCGGTAGAATCACCGCAACCAGGCGAAGATCTGGGACATAGCGGAGGACCAACAGTCCGCCTCATAGACAACATTATTTTGAAGCCATCTACGGATATCTAGAGTAATTTTTTGAATATACCCAGACAGTCTATGTCCGTTGATAACCAAACGACCGGCATTTGAAGGACGCGTAAACCGGAATTATTTGCATCGCTCTCTATCAACCGCATATTTTGTCTTTTGATCAGCCCCTAGGTAATATTATTGGTCTATTGCCATATAATTATAATCATGAGACATCATGATGGTATTGGCTACGTTGATATTGTCGGACTTTTAAATTATTTAGCAAGTGTATTTTCTGCTGTGTCATTGCAGCAGAACACAGGCTACAAGTTCCATACATGCGCCTGACTGGGATTCCGTTACAACAACCGCATGGCTTCTCCACGTGCAGAGCGAGGTACATAATGTCAAGGTAAGGGAGGCAAGTTAGATGGAGAGTTCCAATTTCCCGCCCCCGGTCCCCGCAGTAAATTAGAAAAAGGTTAGGCCATTCCTGTCCCGTCTTTTAAAAGTTCAAACTTGCACAACGGCCCCCCCTATTATTAACGTTGGAGATATCCTAACCTAAACTCCAACTCGCGGTAAGTTCATTCATAGCATTTATAACACAAGCTGAATTGCTGAACTTATTAATAATAAAAAGCGGGTTCTAATCGACCAGTTCCCCTGTCGATCGTTAGGTACTTCACTTCTATCTAATTGATTTATATACGGAGAACACGCGGGGTAGACTTTCCAGATGCCGAACACGACGGCTATTTCCGCTCCGGGCAAGGTGCTCCTGGCCGGAGGCTTCTTAGTCCTCGACCGTCAGCATACGGGGCTCGTATTTGGCTTGAGTGCTCGCATCAATGTCATTGCCCAGGAGATCAAAACAAGCGAGGGTGTTCAGTTGAGCGAGATCGTCGTTGAAAGCCCTCAATTCCTCGAAGCTCAATGGCGTTACGGGTACCACCTAGCTCCCGAGGATGGCGGAATTAAGCTAACTCAGCTTCAAGTGTAAGTACTGTCTTTTGTTTCTTTCCGGTTCTTTCTTACAAGATTTCCATATGTTTGCTAGGGGTTTCAATACAATTGTGCCTATCTTTACGAGGTTGTAACTAGGGATAACGCACTCATATAATTACATACCCCCCATCCTTGGATCGCCATCCTAGTCTTATATTTACCTTATTACACTACAAATATTCTCATATGGTTATATTATATACTTACAAGTTGACCAAACAGCGGTTCGAATATAAATCCTAATCACTTTGTTGAGGTCACATTGGCCTACGCTCTCACTTACATCCAAACGGTTGGCCATGCCGCGTCATCATACACCTTTAAGCCCGTACAGCTAATCATTTTGGCCGACAACGACTACTACTCACAATCTCATTCGCACCACCATCACCATCAGCACCACTCACACTCAGGCGCGGCAGGTCGCTTCGCCAAGTTTCCCACAAAGCTCAAGGATGCTCACAAGACTGGGCTTGGATCCTCTGCGGCCCTTGTTACGGCACTTACCGCTGCTTTACTGACGCACTACCTTCCCAAATCTGCCTTCGATGTAGACTCAGCAGAAGGCAAACGTACGCTACACAACCTAGCGCAGGCAGCCCACTCCGCCGCCCAAGGTAAAGTAGGTTCTGGCTTCGATGTCGCGGCCGCCGTGTACGGCAGCTGCGTATACCGGCGTTTCTCCCCATCTCTCCTACGCGACGTCCCCGAGATCGGCGCTCCGGGCTTCGCTCCCGCGCTAGCAGCGTGCGTGGCGCGCGAGTGGGACGCCGAGTTTCGCAAGGACAACGCGCGCATACCGCCGGGCGTCACGCTGCGCATGTGCGACGTCGACTGCGGTAGCCAGACCGTCGGCATGGTCAAGCAAGTCCTCAAATGGCGCGATCAGACCGACCCAGCCGGCGCCAAGACCCTATGGGGCAATCTACAGGCGCGCAACGAGGCGCTCGGCGCGGCGCTAAGCAGTGATCGCAAGGACGAGATTAGAAAGGCCGTGGAGGAAATACGCGTCCTAGTACGGGAGATGAGCGCCGCAAGTGGCGTGCCAATCGAGCCGGAGAGCCAGACCGCGCTGCTGGACGCGCTGGCACGCGTGGAGGGTGTATATGAGGGAGTGGCGCCGGGGGCGGGGGGATACGATGCTCTGGCTTTGTTGGTTAGGGACGACGGGGAGACGGAGGATCGGATCAGGGAGTTTTTGAAGGGGTGGAGTCAGGAGAAGGGCGTTAAGGTTAAGCTGTTGGGCGTGAAGGGGGAGATGGAGGGGGTGAAGAGGGAGGGGCTGGAGCAGTATAATGGATGGTTAGGGCTTGTCTGAGGGAGAGGATAAATAAATAAAAGGGCGAAGGCAAGAGTTTTAGAGCCCACATAGTATTTAGACACGTCAGGGGGATTTGGAAAGATGGACAGGTAGCTATTTTATAGAAGCTCGGCTATGAATCAGGTAGCTAGTCGGGGAATAGATAAGATTCTGAATTAGATCTAGTTTACCTGGATTGAATGTCAACCTGTGACGTCTGCTGATAGAGAACGGATGAATACTATATGTTGATGATTTAATATTTCGAATAGATGTATAGACTATAGGCAGAGCAGATATTACCCAAATCATGCCATGGTCTCGTAGGTTACCCATATTACCTAGGTACCTACCTTAAATATATCATTACTGCCTCTTGCCCCTCCCTAAACCACCTACCTACATCAGTAGAATGAGGTTACTAGAGATACATACTCTGGGCAACACGACGTGGTGTAAAGTATTCATACTATAACTCTAATACACCTTCCACCGCGCCAACAATCTGCCTATGCAGTCGTGCCGGCAGACACCGGGACAGGGTTTTTGGCGAATTCATGCGAGGCCGAGTGTTTAAGTCCTCGGAGTTGATCTTCCTTCCACCTCCTTGCCTACCTAGGTACCTAGATAGATATCGGCTCGTTTTGCCGAAGTATACAAGGTCTATAAATAGAAGTGTTTGCTAGGAGGCTTAAAGCAGTAAGTTACCTATGGGATGGACGAACTAAGTATCAACAGCCGAGATCTAACCAAGAAAAAAAAGGATGAAATAACTTTGCGATGGAGAACCCTATTGGTAACGTTGGGTAACGAGATTTGTATATCATGCACCCAAATCTACCACCTACCATTTTATTTGTTTGTCCTCGCACAACTCTAGGAAGTACGAGATGGCAATACATCCGGTGCCACCGCATCTCGAGTTCGATCGCTCCAACGGCAAGAAGCCGTTACGTCTGAAATACCTGGCAAGTCGAGTTATTTGCTCCCGTGCGTCGTCTCACGAAATCTAGCATGGGCGAGGCAGCTCATTCTGTCAAAATAACATTGGTATGTATGTATCAAGTACAAGACACCGCATACACCAGGTACCTAAACTCGCCGAGAAACCAGTTCTGCAGTTTCATGTATTCATGTTACGTACGCCAATACAACAACCTTCCTCTTTCAAACGCCGCCTCCATTAAGCCACCGATGCCAGGGAATCAATAAATCAGCCAGTGAATTAATGTCCGTCGCCCTCCCAAACCTAACGCCCGAATGGATGGATGGGTGAATTGCTTATAAGAGAAATGAAAAGTAAAGTCTAATGCAGCACACTTGGTATCCTACACACCAAGCCCCCTGTGCTGTATTGCCGTGTTCCGTGTTCGTGAATTCGTTCGTCGGGTGACCGCCTATTATGTGAAGTGTCGAGGAAGCTAAGAGACCCGCGCATAGTATAAAGCCGTACAATGCTCTCCGCTACGAGGCAGATAGTAAAAGCTACAGTCACGTCTGATATCTATTCCCTCCATTTCGAAAAAATGACCTAGAGAAGAAATCCCTCATCTAGCTTTAGATGAGGTTTTCGATAGGGGTGATAGGGGTGCTTGGCGTCACCTAGCATTCGTCAGTCACAATAACCCTACAGAAGAACCGAGTGATTCAAACTAACCTTCAGCACAGGCGTGACGGGACGTAACGACGAAGGCGGAGGCGGGGCCCTGCGCGGAGTGCCGAAGGACGACGAGTCGGCGGTTCCAAAGCGGGATGAGGCTGCTTGCTCCTTCAGTATGGCGATCCTATATCCCCAAAAATACATTAGCCAAGATTGTAGATACCCGAAAGGATTGCGGCGAAGTAAAAGGTGCCAACAGCCGATTGGGCATAATACGAGCGACGGAGAGTGAAATAGGAGAAAAGAGGAAGAGCTTACTCATCTTCCGACACACCCGGCAATGAGAGCGTCTCGTGCTTGAAGTTGAACGGTGCTGACTGTAAGAAAAAACCATGTTAGCGACAGTAGACGGTCGAATACTATTATTAGATGAGGCATATCGGATATCCAGAGTAGGCAATCCACGATGTATATACAGTAGGTGAAGATGACAAAGATGCCAAAGAACAGACTTACAATCTGCAGCGCCGGTTTCTCAGAAACCGGTTTAGAGGACTTGACACCAATGAGTTTTTGTAATCTTGCCGTAAAGGCGCGGAAACCACCAATGCAGCTCGTCATTTTGTGTCGTAGTACCGGTTGGATTTAAGAAATTTTATTTTCGGACAGCAAAATAAACAAGATAGGGCAAGATGAGACGGAGCAGAATGTGTGTGCAACAAGATGACGAGCGGAAGAAGTTGGCAGTCGGTCTTACACAAAGGAGTCGGATGTAAAGAAATTGTTGGCAGCAAGTGACAAGCTGAATACCAAGTGGATGCAAAAGATAATTTAACAAGTATACGAGTATACGAGATCTGTGCCTGGAAACGACGTTAGGCCCCAGTGTCGTAGTAACGGATCCGAGTATAATCGAGGTTTTCAGGTGCCAAAAAAAGAGGATATTCGATGTGATGCGATGCGATGCGGTGCGGTGCGATGCGGTAGCAGAGGTAGAGTAGAATTATGATTGATCCAGTGTTGCCCCCCTCAATGCGATATATGCGCGAGCAATATAGCGGAAGCTGCAGATACGAAACAAAACAAAATGTATGTACGTTGTATGTACGCTTCTGCGTAGGAGAGTCATATAAGAGTAGATGTATCAATATGTAGGTTATACCAGGTCAGGCACCTGACTCTATCGAGGCAGCCGGTGATTGATCAACAATCATGCAAGACAAGACAAGAGCAAGAAAACCAAGCGGTAGGGAGTTTCAAAAGGATGGCAAAAAAAAAAAAAAAAAAAAAAAAAAGAGCGGAACCCCTTTGCTAAAAAGGAATAAGAGTGAGTTGTTGGACTACGGTGAGCGTTATCTTTTGAATGCCTGCCTTATACGGATGTTATGTAAGGGTAGGATGAGATGGATGGGACGGCGAAGGATGCTGGTGCTGATGCTGATGCTGATGGTGACGATGACGACGACGGGGAAATAATAACGATAAATCGTCTGGGTCTCCGGACAAGGCTTCTTTTGCGTTTATGAGCGAAACTGATGATCAAAAAAACTTGGTGGGCTCGGTGGCTGTAAGTCTGACAGATCGACGGGAGCGGGGGAAGCGAGAGCTGAAAGAAAAAGGCTGCAAGCTAAACCCTACGAGCGCAGGGTCCTCACGAAACGGGTTATAAAGTGTTAAAAGAGTGTGTTATGCCAGCTACGGTTTAGCTGAACAGGCTGAGCAGTTGGCCAAGGGTTGGTTGGTTGGTTGGTTGATGATGGCGAATTGGAAAGGCCCAGTCTGGTCTTATCAAGCAGGGCGCAATAGTAGCAATATAACAACAATGGCAACAATAAGACGGATTTAAACGAAAGAGAGATACGAAGTAGATATCACAAAGAAACGAACGTGTGTGCTGCGTATTGCAGGGAACTCGGTTTTAAAAACAAGGAGAGACGACGGTAATAACGAAAGACATAGGGAATTCAATACACCAAGAACCAGCCAGTCGGTGTAAGGTCAAGTACAAGCAAGTATGCCCAAGAAATAGTCTATGTAGAAAAATAATAGAATACATAATAAGATAATATGTGGAAGCAATAACATAAGGTAATAGTTGGTATCGTCGGTCAAATTAAAAGTTGGCACGCCCCGGAATGTGGAATGTGGCAATTCTCTAGTGACAAGGGGTCAAAACAAGGGGACCAGGGGACCAGGGGGGGTCCTCAATTAAACGCCAAGCTAGAATATCCTGAAACAAATATCGGCTTAGTCATTTGAGTCAGGTGATTTCGTAAGTCTGTAGGTTACCTATTACGTGTTCAAGGCTTCCAAGACTTCCAATTCCACCACGGTTACGTACATTAGTTACATTAATAACACTAGTAACACTACATAGGTACACAGGTTAGTAACATCGACTAGCAGCCAATAATATATAAATTTGTATAACCTCCTTGAAGGCAATGTCACACTTTTACCAACTCTTTTATACATCTTAGGATAAAGACGAACTAAGCAATTCTCGCCCTCTCCGTGAAGACATTCGATCTAGATATCTGTCCTATCTAAATGACATTTATTATGTAGTGACACTAACCAAGTCACCTGCAGCCTGCAGGTTCCCGTTGTCGATGCCGTAATGTGGGGTCGAGACTGTCTCGCCGGCATTCACTTATATAGCCTCCAACCTGCCTGTTTGCAGGTAAACATTAAAAGTTATTTTGACGAGGAGTGATATCTAGTACCCCGCGAAACAGCACAAAGTCTTATACATATATTGTTCCCTTCGTCTTTACATGTACCTAATAGCTATCATGAATTCCGAAGCCTGTCAACAAGAACCGTCTCCTGATCTTTGTCTGTCGTCCACCAGGATCAGATTCTATATATAGCTGAAGTATACGGGCCGATGGCCGATTTCTTTTACTTGTACGATAATCAGCAAGTACTTATTCTAGAGACTTAGTCAACACTCAGGAACCACGCGGTCTTTCTCGTTAACATAATGCCGTATCTTACCCATATCTATGTTATGTGAAGGGACGTCATTCCGAAATCAGGAACAAAAACAAAAACAGAGCAACCTCGCTACTGGTTAAGATTAGTCTCAGCTTTGAGCCTATTTGATTTCGAAGTTCCGAACAGCCATCTTTCGGATCCAATAATATGCGGCAACCGATAGGCTAATGCGTATCGTGTCTAGCCTCGAGCAATTCAAGGCTAAAGACAAGTTCTAGCAATACAGTGAATGCCTCTCATCGATGATAATGTTTGAAAGAAAATAAATATGTGTATGCACCTACCTATGTAGGTAGTTGGTGTGTAATGTTTTCAAAGAGCGAAGAAGCAATAGGTAGTTACCGTCAATACTTGTAGCTAATTAGGAACCTACACGTGTAATCCGTACCTAATATCATATATACCTGTTTAACTCGCATAATATTATCCCTGGTCTGACGACACATGAAACAGGCACGCAGATCACCAAAACGGCATAGCTTTCCACCCGCGATCTTCCGATAGGCTCACACAACCCCCCCGTCCAAATAGCCCAAGGAAAATAAATGGCGCGATATGTAATTCTAGAACGATTCTCTAACCCCTGCTTATGATTGATTCTCATTTCCATTCTATTTTGGGTAGTCCTTCAAATGATAGCTCTTCAGCTTCACAAACTGGTCGAACCCAAATCTGCTTAGAGTCACACCCTTGCCCGAGTTCTTCCAACCCGTCCAGGCCAGATCCTAAAGTTATCATGTTAGCATGCTATAATTTATCGGATCCATCCGCGTAAAAACTTACGGGGCTGGGGTAGTCTGCGCGGTTGACAAAGACGGTTCCCGCTTCGACTTGCTCCGCCAACTCATAGCCCTTGGCCGTATCCTTGGTCCATATGCTAGCTGTGAGGCCAAATTCGCTATCATTCATCAATGACACAGCCTCTTCATCAGACTTGACTTTCATGATGGAAATAACGGGCCCAAACGTCTCTTCCGTCATAACTGTCATGCTATGGTTGACATCGATAAGGAGGGTGGGTTTGACAAAGTTTCCTTTCGATGGGAGACTCGAAAATGTCGGGTTCTCCGGCGTTGCGTCCTTCGCACCTTTGCTCAAAGCGTCCTTTATGTGAGTCTCGATGGCCTCCTTTGACCGCTTCGAAATGACCGGTCCGATCTGAGTCTCCTTTTCAAGAGGATCGCCAACCTTGTAGTCCTTCAAAACCTTTTGGGCTGCTTCGATGAATGAATCGTAAATATTCTCGTCGACGTAAACACGTTCAATGGCACAGCAACTTTGCCCCGAGTTGAAAATGGATCCGTCGACAATCTCAGCAGCTGCCCAGTCCAAGTCTACATCTCCCCTGACATATGCGGGATCTTTACCGCCGAGCTCTAGGCCAACATTGACGATTCGATCAGAGGCGGCCTTTTGGACCGACAAGCCTCCCGCCACCGAACCGGTGAAGCAGATTAGAGATACCTTCGGATCCCGTACCACTGACTCCATGATCAGCGGCGACCCGCAGTGGAAATACTGCAAGACACCGGCGGGTAGTCCCGCCTCCGCAAAGACCTTGGCGATCTGCTCTACAATCGTAGGGGTCTGTGGGGAAGGCTTGAGAATGACGGTATTGCCAGCAAGTAAAGCGGGAATAAGCGAGTTGACAAGGATTAGGTAAGGGTACTGAGACGGAAATCAGCTGGATTCAAGAATATAGTCAAGTGTATTTGATTGTCTCACATTCCAGGCGAAGATTATGAGGACAGGGCCAACGGGAACTTTCCGAATGAATCGCTTGAATCCCTTCTCCGCCTCTCCGTCGGTATCTTTCAGTGTTTCTTCACTGATCTTGATGAGGTAGTCTGCACGTTTGATGGCCGTTGTGACTAATGTAGAGTTAGCCTGAATGGCCATTTACTAACTATTAGTTAAAGGGGGCAAAGTGATGAGCTTTACTTTCAACACCAGTGTAAGCAATAGGTCGTCCCATTTGGACGGTAAGCTCCTCAGCAAGATCATCCTTTTTCTTCTCCAGTAGTTTTAACGCTTTCTTAATTATGATCTGGCGGTCCGTCAACGAGGTCTGACGCCAACTCTGGAATTTCTCGGCGGCAATCTTAGGGATTTCTTCCAATTCAGCAACCGTAACGCCATTGCGAGTCAATATCGGCTCGTTTGTAGTAGGCGAGATGGTTGTGAGGACTTCGACAGACATTTTGTCGGTATGGTACACTATAATGGGAATATACTTAAAAGAGAGAGATATGCAGATTTAATAGAGGGCTGCTTATGATTGCGATATAATGAAAACTGACTTATATATCAACTCAGATTCCAATCTAGTTCGATTATCTTGAACTAAACGGAAATTAAACGATCCGTTGGAGATAAACGTCACTGATTAAAATCAATGGTAGCGGGGGATCGGCGACCCCTCAAAAGATCCCGATAAGTAAATGTTATTCGTAATTGAATCCACTCTCTCCCTCTTTCTCTCTCTAACTGTATCTTATCAGCGAGTCTTATCGAGAACTCTCCATTTTATTTTATTTTCTTTAGATTTACGAAGTAGTCTTTGCTAGTAACCAAACACTAGCTAGTCGACCATCCAATTTGCCAATTACCCTTCCAAAACCAGGCTATAGGACTGTATATACTAGCCAATAATTAATTTCACCAAACAACATGCCCCCGGAGAAGAGGAATACATTTCTAGACGCAGATGAGAGCGACGACGACGATAGCCAGGGCTACAACTCCGAGGCGGAAGAATTACAGAAAGGTGGTCGAATCGCAAAGCGTCGCAAATTAAGTGAAGATGCTGCTAGTGATGATGACATCGAAGAAGTCAGCGCCGGAGAGGAATCCGAGCATGAAGATACCATAAAACGAGACCATTCGCAACGAGAAACCTCAGATGCGAAAGCAGACGGAGACAAGTTAAAAAACAAGCTAGACGCCCTGCCAGAATTACCAGATGTTTCGCGTCCCTTGACCAAAAAGAACCTGGTAGCTACGGAGACAGCCGTAAAGAAATCCGGTCTCGTCTACCTCTCTCGCGTACCGCCCTTCATGAAACCCGCCAAGCTACGATCGCTCCTAGAGCCATACGGCAAGATCAACAGGATATTCCTCACGCCCGAGGATCCCCAAGAGCGCTCTCGACGGGTCCGACAGGGCGGGAATAAGAAGCACATGTACACGGACGGCTGGGTAGAATTCGTGCGCAAGGAAGACGCCAAGAAAGCCGTCGACCTCCTGAATGCTCGGACGATAGGCGGGAAGAAGAATACCTACTACCGAGATGATATCTGGAGCCTGCTCTACCTCAAGGGCTTCAAATGGCACAACCTGACCGAGCAGATCAACTCGGAAATGGCGGAGCGGACGAGCAGGATGAGGGCGGAAATCAGCAAGTCGACCAAGGAGAACAAGGAGTTCGTGCGGAACATCGAGAGAGCTAAGATGTTGGAAGGCATGCAGACCAAAGCGGCAGCAAAGAGGAGCAGGGAAGAGAAGGGCGACAGTGCTGGCTCTGCTGCAGCAAGTAAATCGGAGGATAAGAGTATTCGGAAGTTCAAGCAAGCTACCGTGGCGAAGAAGGCAGTAGACCTAGCCCCCGAGGAGGCTAAACGAGTCCTGAGCAAGCTTTTTTGATTCTAAAAATCATGATACCCGGCATTTTGCATGTCCCCGAGCTTGAAGTAATAGGGTGCGTGTGTTGATATGTAATTTCAATTTTACCGTACTGAATCTCTATGGTAAGCAAGAGTTTCCCCGAGAGACCGAAGCCAGGCACAGACGCTTAAAAACAATGTGACATCGCTGACAAGCCGAGTACGTGTAAATAGAGGACTCCCAACATTCTGAATATATCAAGTATAGCAAGCTTAGCTTAGTTTTATATACCAACATATTAAAAAAGAGTAAATACGTCAACGCAGCCCACCTCAAGCGTGAGACTACCTCCTACATTGAATAATATGCCCGTCAATCTACGATACCACCCTTATAATTCAGATCAAGCATGTGTACATGTATAGTTCGTGAAATTTTTATATATCATTTAGCCTAAGCGTAGGTATACCTACTAGATATACTGGGCTATCTGCCCTTTGCCTTGGGCTGCCCGTAGTAGGTCAATAATATCTTCTTTATAGCCGGACTCCAGACGCCTGCTGCTATTCCATTTCGCTCATCCTTTCTTAGGAGTATTCTTCGACATGAAACGTTTACCTACATCCCGTCATACAACGTCAACAAGTCTATCTCATCTCCGGCATTAAGCTTCGTGCGCATGCAAATAGTACATATGTTTTACTTTACGTGTATCCCATCTCCTAGTACTCTTCTATGGCGCAGTTAGGATGTAGGACATATACGACCTTCTGCGAAGGCGCAGGCCCGCCATCTGCGGGGGCGGCCGGATCGCCCTCCTCAGTTAGGCCCTCGCCGCGTACCGCCATCAGAATGTTGTCCTATTTGCTTCCGTTAGCATCGAGTCAAGTAACATAACCACAAAAAAAGTCTAGTGACCGTGAGTATTGCGAAAAAATAGAAAAACTTACCTTGACCATCTTCTTCAGCACCATCTTCGCAACATCCTTCTCTCGATGATAATCTTCCTCACCCTCTAGCTCATCCTCCTTCTGCTCGAGGTACCACTCCACCAGCGCTTCACCATCCACGCCCTCTCCAGATCCTGACGCTTCGTCTTCGTTCACTCGCGACACGATGATATTCACCATGTTGATATACTTCTCATACGTAATCGCCGTCTTCTTCTTTGCCGGTGCTGCGGAGCTAGGTTCCCTACTACCTTGTGCATCCGCACCCGCATTCTCGCCATCATCCATGGGAGAATCACCCTCCTCATCCTGGCCCTGCGCGACTGAAGAAGCACGTGTAGCTTGGTCCGCGGCAGCAACAAGCGTTGCCGAGTCCTCAGGTGTCTCATCCTCGTCTTCATCCATCTCAACATCGTCGTGTTCGACAGATATAATACTCTGGCGAAGAAGATTGGCCGCCTCGTCTACAAACTCAGGCGTGATCTCCTCGATACAATTCGCCTTGGCGATAGCCTCCGACAGCCGAATTAGGGATTCGAGCTGACGGACGGTGATACGGTAGCTGTTCTTGCCCACGCCGCCCTGGGCATCGTCGGCACGTAGCTCCTTGTACTTCTCGACGAGACGTTCCTTAGCCTCAGGCGTGAACTCAGGCCGGAAGGTGCGCGCGAACCGGATGTATCGCTGTAAGCACTCGGTGCTGAATTCTGGTTCAATAGCGCTGTCGCGTAGTGCGTGTATGCCTACGATATGCTCTGCTAGGTGACGGTCCACTGTCTCATTACACTCGTCAAGGATGACGAAGAAGAGATCAAAACGGGACATGATAGGTGCTGACATATTGATGTTGGCTCGCAGCGTGGTCTTACGGTTGTACCGTCCACCAACCGGATTTGCGGCGGCAAGAATAGATGTCCGCGCGTTGAGGGTAGCTTGGATACCGGCTTTGGCGATGGAGATCGTCTGCTGTTCCATAGCTTCGTGGATAGCAACTTGATCTGCTATATCCATCTTGTCGAATTCGTCGATGCAGCAAATGCCGTTATCAGCCAGCATGAGAGCACCAGCCTCGATAGTGAATTCGCCCGTCTCTTCGTCTTTGACTACCGCAGCTGTGAGACCAGCAGCTGAGGAGGCTTTGCCAGACGTGTAGACTGCACGCGGTGCAAAGGAGCAGACATATTTCAAGAATTGAGACTTCGAGGTAGATGGGTCACCCACAACACAGATGTTAATATCACCTCGAAGGGCCATGCCTTCAGCTGTAGTCTTATGGACACCAGACATCAACTGTAGGAGGAGACCCTTCTTGACGATTTCGTGGCCGTATACCGTAGGCGCGAGTGATTGCACAAGGCGGTGGTAGATGTGGTCACTATGGACCATCTCACGGAGCTCGTCGATCTCGCTGGGCGTCATAGAGTTTAGCACAGCTGTTTGTGCCTCTTCGACTGTTTCGGCCGTGTCGGTGGAGGTTTGAGTTAAGGAATTGATAATATCGTGAACTTGACGAGAAGCAGACTGGCCAGGTGTAGATGTATCAGGGGTGACCATATTAGCTAGAAAAGCCAACCGGTAAGTTAGGTCGCGAACACCCAGAGACTTTAGGCCTGACACTCCATTACCACCAACGTCGTTGCCGCGCGGCGCATTGCGGTCATCTCGCATCACCGTAGGCCTTACACCTGGAAGTCCTAACTGACTTATATCGGGCACCACAATTAATGCACCAGTAAAGATACACTTCTCGCCTGCCTTTGCACGGTCCACCATCTCACCTCGCAGGATGACGTCCATCGTCCTCGGCATACTCCCCGTAGGAATTTCAGAACTGTTCTCTTGAATGCGGACCTTTTGCCAATCGACAAAAGTACTTTGTCGGATGTCGAGTTGCCATGCCAGACGGTTTCCGCATTGGATATTAGGGCATTGTGTAGGTTCGGTATACCGGAACGTCTGCTCAACATTTGGAATAACCGAACGGCATGTCTCGCAGTTAAAAGTTGCAAGGGAGAGTTCTGGTCGGACCTCAGAGGTACGTGTGACGGTTCCAGATATAGAAAGGAGCTGACCAATGTTCTTGGCACGTAAACTACGAACTCGGGAGACAAGGGGGAGGTTGTAGAAAGCAATAGCGAATAGTTTATCCGTCTGCTGGTTTGCCGTCTTGCTGCCCTGCAGCTCGGATTGGCTTCCAGAGCCAATATTACTTCCGCCTGATGTTGTTTGGTTACTAGAAGTAGTCGCCTGTCGATGCTCGCGGAAGTACTGGGGTTCGTACTTGGCGATCATATTGTGGAGGGCATTGGTGAGGAAAGGGAGAAATCGGTAGTATTGAGTATTGATGGCATTGGCTAGACCGCCATTTTGGTAGCTAGCAACGTGATTGTAGTTGACGTAAAAGGTTGATAGTTGGTAGATTCGCATGCCATGGATCTGGGCGACGTAGAATTTGTCTGTAGTGACAGCACTGGACGTTGGCGCACCGGATGATACAGGGTCGTCGATAAATCTAGTCCTTCTGTTAACTAATTATGTGCTATACGCTATTAGGAAGATAAAGCCTACTCTTCTATAAAGGTTTCAAAATGCTCTTGGACGGTAATACCAATCCTATCTTCTACTCGAGGAATAGTAGCAGGGTCTCGTTGTCTTGAGCGGCCGGGAATCTGATCATCAGCAAATCCTTCGGCCTCATCGTCACTATGGGCGGCTAGACTTTCGGAGGGAGGCCCTCGAGGTCGTGCCGAAGAACCTCTGTTAAACTGTCTCGGTCTGGGAGTTGCCGCAGCCCTGGATGGAGCATCAGACATGAGTATTCCGGCGTCACTTGGGGTCGCCATTATGAAGGTATATGATCCGTGCCGATATTAAGAAGGCGTGTGGGTTTCGGTGTTGAGATATATCGGGATTGGTATTATCGCAATCACAAGCACACAAGAATTCACCTCGATAGAAAAGTTAAGGAGTAGAGGGGCAGAAATGCAGAAATGCAGAAATGGGACTCAGACGCGTCGCGCCTTATGAAATTGGGGGACGCGATTTTAGGCCCAACCAATTAAATTGTAGAACTTTAAGTGCTTGCAGATGCCAAGACATATGGGTCTTTGCTCTAGTGAGGTATATGGTTTATGTGAATATCTCATGCATATATGAGGGATTAGGATTAAAGCCAGCACAGTAACGGAAGAATCAGAAAATTGAAACTTCTATCAGTTGTCGCAACTTCAAAGTACAACCATGGAATCCCAAATTTAAATCAAGATTTCCGTCTACAAATTAAATCTGTATTTTACATGATATATATATTCGATAATTTCTTCGGTAATCCCGCATAGTAATTCAGACTGCAATCAAATACATTATTCATGCGCTGGTACGATAACTCCTCAACCCAACATTCATTCATATATAATGATCTTCACTGCGCGGTGACACTGAAACCATGGCGCAAGAATTGTCATCCAACTGGAAGAAGTTACAAGGAAAGATAAAGGCCGAGTCTACCGCAACTTCTTCATCGGCGACAAAAGCTACAGTTAAGCGGAAAGCCGACGAGGGAGCCCCGTCTAAATCTCAGCCAAAACGGCAGAAGCTACAGAACCCATCCAAACAGCGGCGGGAGCAGCGGCCATTATCAAACACATCTAATAAGTCTTCTCGTAAGCCCACTTATACACATCCATTAAAGAAACCAATGGGCGTCGCCCAATCCTCTGCCATTGCCAAAGGCACACCAGCAACTATCACGCCTTCACTCGCTCTCTGGGCCGAGGACAATGACATATCGCCAGAGGACTTGGCTGAGGCCTACAACCTGGGCGTCAAAAACAATGCCTCCCTTATGGCCGCCGAGCCGGCCCGTGTCAACGAGGGACTGGCGCCCGGAGTCGACGTCGGCAAGTACATAGCGTTAGACTGTGAGATGGTTGGTATAGGACCCGAGGGGCGGGAATCGGTGCTAGCACGTGTCAGCGTTGTCGATTTCCACGGACGACAGGTGTACGACTCGTTCGTGCGGCCACGCGAGCCTGTGACCGACTGGAGAACTCATATAACGGGTCTGACTCCGCGCATATTATTACCCGTCGCACGCAGCTTCGACGAGGTGCAAGAAGCTGTCGCGGTGCTCATGCGTGGACGCATTATCGTCGGCCACGATATCCGGCACGACCTAGCCGTGCTACAGCTAGACCATCCCTCGGGGCAGATCCGGGACACTGCACGGTTCGCCGGGTATAGGCAATACGGGCACGGACCCAAACCGGCGCTCAGGGTCCTGGCGCGCGAGGTATTAGGAGTTGAGATTCAGACTGGCCATCATTCGAGTATCGAGGACGCGCGAGTCGCCATGCTGCTCTTCCGGAAACGAAAGTCCGATTTTGACGTCCAACACGCGGGTAAGTACGGCTTGCCTACGGAGAAAACGATAGCGAGCGAGAAGGTAGGTGTAGATGGTAGTAAAGGGCAAGAAGCAAAGTCAAAGAAAGGAACGGGGAAGAAGAAAAAGAAGCGGCATTGATGCAGACGAAATAGGTGAAATAAAAGGAAGTATGCTCTTGAATGATCTTATACTAGCTCTTCGCGGGTTTAAGACTATAGTAACCTCATCAGTACCTAATACCTAATTGTTACTTTCTTATTCCCAGTTGCCAGCGTTACTAGGTGAACATCTCCTATTAGCACTCTATAGAGCTGTACTCCTATTCTATATCTCTCTCTAGAACACACAATCGTAATACCCTCTATTCCAAATCCAGGTGTATGCCACACCGTGCAATCGTACAAAAGGGTAATATAATCGTCTCTAAAAAGGGAACTATCTTCTATACGTCCCTTCGACCACGCCCTCTATTTTTATTAAACAGGAATATCTTCCATCAATTCCATCGCTCCCTCCCTTCCAACCGTGATGATGACGTCGCCCAAGGTCTTTGTCACGAACCCAGCTTCGCAGTAGGCGAAATAGTACTATAGAGATGTTAGCAAATCTGCATCGTGTACGTATTCTTTTTCATAGTGTTAGGGTTATATAGAGGGAATAGTAAAAGTTCATACCTCCCACTTCCGTCTAAACACGTCTACCTCCCGCGCTGACATACGCGGATGCTCCGCCTCCAACGCCGGTCGAATCTTGGACTCGAAGTTGAGCATGAAATTCTCCCTCCAGAGACGCAGCGTCTTCGCGTAGTGGCCTCCGATGTTCTCAACCCGCTCTATGATTAGCGTTCCCTTGGACTCCTTCGAGATGTGGTTAAGGAGTTGGATGGTGGACGGAAGATAGCCGCCGGGGAAAATGTGTTTGTTTATGAAACTACCGAGGCGGTTAGCATGTGGCTTTCACCATGTAGGGTCATTAGCATGGGTACGAAAGGGGCAAATGGTTATCTCACTCTTCGGACTTGGAATAGGCCTCGTGTCTCCCTTCTGGCATCGTAATGCACTGAAATATGGCAATGCCGCCTTTCTTCTTCAACAGCCGATCGACACATGCGAAATACGTACTCATGTATTCCTGGCCGACGTTTTCTAACATCTCTATAGAGACAATCTTGTCAAAAACCGCCGTATCCGGTAAGCTACGGTAGTCGAGTAGTTGCACATCTATCCGACCTGAAAATCCTGCCTCATCGATCCGCTGTTCTGCTAGTTTCTTTTGCTCTTTTGACAATGTTAGACTTGTTACCCGGCAGCTAGTCTTTCTAACGGCCTCGATAGCGAAAGACCCCCAACCTGTCCCGATCTCTAAAACATGATCGGTAGACTTGATCTTGGCGCCGTCGATGAACCGTCTCAATTTGGTCATCTGTGCCTCCTCAAGAGTTTCTTCGGGGTTTTTATAAGACGCCTCTCGAGTCTGCCAAATAGGGCATGAATAAGTCATATCCTCCGAGAGGAAAGCCGCAAACATGTCATTACTAATATCATAGTGAGCGGAGACATTCAAAAGCGCATTCGACAGCGTATTTGTAGTTCGGGCAATACTCGATACCGCTCCAGATATCGAGGAGAATATCGTAGTGCCATTGCTTAACTGATCTCGGTTTGCAATAAAAAGCTATAAAAAGTTCCATGTCAGCCGTGATATATTGGCAAGAGAGGCAAGCGAGGCAAGCTTCAAACCTGAAAGAATGCTGTCAAATCGACACACTCAAATTCACCCAGCATATATGATTCCGCAAACCCCATATCGGCAAAGAGAAGCAGTCTCATCCAGAAAGCATCGTCTTTCACTCTAATTTCAACCCGGGGGATTATGTCTGCTTTCCGGGCTGGGCGTTCTCCATTGACGGGTTTGGGGCCCTTCGAGGAAAGCCTTTGCCCATACACCATTCTTGTCCCCGTAGGCTCGTCAACTAATAGCAGGGTGCCAATCTCGAGCCTAGAGAAGACAGAAAGCACAGCCGGCTTAGCTATTGCCAAGGCCGGTCCCCAGGTTAAGCTTCCTAAAACTCCGCGGACTAGATCGGCGCCCCGGGTGAGCGGCTGGGCAATGACTGATGGGATTGGTGGGATCATGGTTATGTAGGGTAGTTACAAGAACACTAAGGGGTAACAAGACTTTTCTGGGGTATATTTGATGGTTTCTTAAATAACTTTCTTAAATAACTGAGCATATCAGGGCACTTCCAAGACTTATAATATATTAGAAGTGAAAAACATAAAGTGAAAAACATAAAGTGAAAAACATATGGACAAGACTAACCTAAGACAAAGGGAAGAAAGTGAGACGACACTAGGGAGACTCCAGGTCACCCATGTCACGTAAAAGCAATAGTGTCCACTCGTCACTAGTATGCGGTCTAAATCGCCTATCTAGGTATGTACGTGGACTGTTGCATTCACCCCATCTTTTGCTCCGCTGCTGTGTGAGGGCAGAAACGATAATATGAAAATACCATGTTTCTTTCGACGGAGGAGCCGACTCGTTCAGGTTCGGACAGGGGTATGCAAGACAAGAAAAAGACGAACTGGCCCCAACCTGTTTCAGGATGCACATCATCTACTCGGTCCTACAAGCTTTGCTGTAACCGGAAGTAGATCATATGTGACGCCGGAATAGCAGAAACATGGAAGCTTAGTACCTAGGTTAGATTATAAGCATTGACATTTGAGGCTCCATACCGCGATAGAATGGTCAAATGATATGTTCGTATCACGACATCTCGCGGCATTACCCTAGATTGGGACTGGAAGAGTAATGGTAATTTTTACATTTTGAAAGTAAAGATGCTATTAGTTGCTCATACTTGAGTTTGTTGGGTAGATGTTTTATTGCTTTCTGTTTTATCGCTTTTGGGGCAGTGAAAGACATGTGGCGGTCAGTACCGCTGCTTCCATGAATAGTGTTACGAGAGAAACTACCTAACCTAGGTTAATGATATCTCGGAATCTTTATCTTCCCCCCCGGTCATAATAATGAGATAGGTAGGACGTCTATCGAAACACTAGGGAGTTATCTATCTATAACTAACTAGTTATAGCCTAACTATACTATATTCACATAAAGAAAGCTTGAGGGGATTTGGTGAACTGGTGCTGGGGTATCAGGTGACCTTGACGCTGATCATGTGATCATATTTTAGTATAAGTACCATTTATGGTCGCACACACCTATTTTACATAGTATCATCCACTTTCAATACAAGTCATTCCTTTTCCTTCATTCATTATATCATCATCTAAAAGTCCTTGATATCAGGTCTAATAGGGCTTGATCCAAGGCCAGGACTTCTAAGTCTTGTTCATTGGTAACGAAAATAGCATTTGGTAATTGAGGAGGGTAGTAAATAAGAGGGATAACTAATAGACAATAGGGATATGTAATAAGGCAATGAATTCGATCGATGAGGTCTTTATTAACTCCTTTTTGAGGCGAAATACGCCTTGGCGATATGCTAAAGCCTGTATATTGAATATATCCAATTAATGCATAAACTGGCTTGCATATATCGAGGCACTTACAAACGCAACGCGCTCTTTAATTGATTTATTAGTTGTTACGCGTCGTAAAGCTTTATTCCCATACCGCAAATAACCACTTAAACTTCTCGATAGTACTAAGCAAAAAACACCAAGATGGCGCACCCCGTTTTCACCGTCGACTCTCAGGAGAATATCCAGAAAAAGGCCCAAATCCACTTACTACCATGTCGCATACATCATGATGGTGAAGTCAAACCAGTTGAAACGTACTGGAGCCCCAATGAGAGTGAAGGTATGACGATAGCAAATACTCCTTAAGCAACTCAATTAATTCCAATATAACAATGCAGACCAGATAAAGACGGCTTATATCAGAGGCCGTAAGCTTCATGGCAAAGTTGTGAAGTTGCCGGAAGGTTATTATGGCTCCGTGGTTGAGAAGTCAACGCCAAAGAAGCCAGACCAAAGTCGAGAGGAAATGGTTGAAGATCTTGAAATTATAGAAGACCCAGAAGACCAGCTCGAAGTAGGTGTAATGCAAGGAAAGGGAACTTTTGATGAATTTGTGGTCTGGAATCACGAGACCTTGGCCGACTCAACTGAAGATCCGTACTTGAGAGGTATGGAAGAGTGGATATCTTTTGCAGGACAGGTTTGTTGACATGACTATGTTACTAAAGAAACAGGAAATAAGCTAATAGTTGACATGCAGATACATTCATATCCATCTGGAAAAGCCTCAGATAACTAAACTCGATTATATGATATTCCTTGGGATTCGGAGACTTATATTATATTATATTGTCTTGTAGGGAATCTGGCATACGGGTCACTCTTGGTTTAAGGGCATGGTGTTCAGGAGTTCACTCACCCAGGTGACAGTCGAGACAATGGGTAGATACAAGGAACTTATATGTCTTAATAGAATCCAAATTTAAAGGTTAATATACTAGGCGGCCAATATAAGAGATTGTATTGCAACTTGATCAATTACAAGTTCCAAATACATATACGGAGTTAAGTACCTAGGTACATAAGTGTAAGCCAATGAGTGCTATGATTGGTTGACTACTGCTGCAGGTACCACAGCTTAGGGAGTCTTAGTTGCCGACTACCGGTATCAACCAACCTTATCGGGGAGCTTTAGTTTCTCTGCCCCTCCAAAATAATTCCAATCACTTACATCTTCCTCTTATCAACCGTACAACCGTACAACCATTTCATCAAAACTAGACTCGCCGCCATTAGATTTCATCATGAGTCCAAGCGCACTCAATACCGAGGCTGCCGTGGGCCCCGAGGGACCCCGGCAGAAGAGCCGTGCCACCGCCGATACGATACGGGTGGGTTGCATCGCTATGGTCGAGAAGGACGGACAAGGTCGTCGCGCCGAAATTCTGAGCATCAGAGATACCAAAAGCGGCCGCCAATTCTACTGCAACTTCGACAACTTCAACAAGCGATTAGACGAGTGGGTACCCGTTAAGAGGATAGATTTCGATCAAGATGTCGAGTGGCCGAATCCCGACAAGGACAAGCCTAAGGAAGGGAAAGGCAAGAATTCTACCGCGCCCAAGAGGAAAACCGTCGGAAATAAATCACAGAAGCGACCTGGGAAGAGGGAACAATCGGTTATGTCTGAGGCCGTCACGCCTATTCAGTGGAACGATTTCGCCGATAGTCAGTCGCAATCGAAAGCCCCGTCGACGCCGCGCGATCTCGAGCCGAAGGCCGGAGAGACTCCCGCGGCTAATGGCGACGAGATGGACATAGATGAAGATGAACCAATACACGAAGTTAAGAAAGAGAATGGTTTCAGCAGGGAAGCAGAGATAGAAAAGCTGCGGACCGGTGGCTCCATGACACAGAACCCTACCGAACTCGCTCGAATACGAAATATATCCACAGTCCAATTCGGTCAATGGGACCTGTTCCCCTGGTACTTCTCGCCATATCCGGAGTCGTTTACCCAAGAAGACATGATATTTATTTGCGAATTCTGTCTGAGTTACTATGGCGATAAGAAGGCCTTCTCTCGGCATCGACATAAGTGTACTCTCCAACATCCGCCCGGCAATGAGATATACCGAGACGACTACGTATCGTTCTTTGAGATTGACGGGCGGCGGCAACGGACCTGGTGCCGGAACCTATGCTTGTTATCTAAGATGTTCCTCGACCACAAGACTCTCTACTACGATGTGGATCCTTTCCTCTTCTACGTCATGACACAGAAATCCGAGAAGGGCCATCATCTCGTAGGCTATTTCTCCAAGGAGAAGGAGAGCGCTGACGGATACAACGTCGCCTGTATTCTCACCTTGCCCCAGTATCAGCGGAAGGGGTTCGGTAGATTGTTAATCCAGTTTTCCTATGAGCTCTCTAAAATCGAGGGCAAGCTGGGATCCCCCGAAAAGCCGTTGTCTGATCTGGGTCTTCTCAGTTATCGCCAGTACTGGTCGGAGAATATACTGGAACTTTTGCTTGAGTGTAACGAGCGGGATGAGAAGTCGAGCATTGAACAGATCTCGACTTCGCTCGCCATGACCACTCAGGACGTCGAGCACACCTTACAGGCGCTCAAGATGCAAGTGTATCATAAGGGAGAGCACAAGCTAGTCATTCCGGACTCATTAATCAAGCAGCGAGAGAAGTCTAAGCTAAAGAAGAAGCGATATATTTCGCCCGAGCGCATCCAGTGGAGACCCCCCGTGTTCACTGCTTCTTCGCGGACTTGGGGTTGGTGAGGTGTTTAATATTGGGATGTTATTATAGCGTTAGAAAGGGAACGTGTACACTACTGAATACCTAGATACCCCATTTTCGTTGCGGACTGCTGAGAGTTTTTGTCAGCTTGTATGTGTGCTGTTTATCGTGATATTCAACGTTTTCAATTTCGATCACTCCGCGAGACGGCCTGCTTCGGCAGTATTCAACGAAGGGAATGAAGTATTCAATTTGAGCATATCTTAGGTTGTTGGTTAGGTAACTGGTTTTCAAAAGAGAAGACAGTTTGACAATGTTATCCGCCCCGCAGGTAAGAGGTAGTAGTGTTCTCATCCAGTCCAAGGAAATCTCGTAGATGAAATCTGAATAACAGGTACGGAATAGGGGTAGCAAATGAAAAACCACAAGGCAATCTACCCGTCGATGTTTCCCGTCGCATCACAGGAATCTCTTTCGTCTCATCTCATCTCATCTCATCTCATCCGACATCATGTCCCAAAAGAACGAAACGTAGCGCAGCAAACCACCCTAATAAACATAAACACCATCGTCCTCGCCCTCCAACTTGCCCTCCTCAGCCGCCTTCTTCAGCGCCTTGACGGCGCGCGCGGCCAACTCCTCGACATGCGCGGTTTTAGCAACCGCGACCGCATCGGCACCGACGGCATCGCTGTTGCCGTCGTACTCGCGCTGCTTGAAGAACGGCACGTGCAAGTCGTTGGCGGCGAGGGCCTGCTGCGCGCTGGCCACGAAGGCGTCGTCGAAGGCGGGGCCGGCGACGACGACGATTGCCTTGGGGGCGCTGGCGGCGGTCTCGAGCTTGAGCTTGTCGTCGGGTTGCAGGTAGACGGGGGCTTGGCCGCGGAGGACGCCGGGGAGGGCTTTGATGGCTAGGTCGGGGATTGTGGAGAGGTATACGACTAGGGGGGGGAGGGAGGGTGGTTAGTTTTTAGCTACCTAGGTAGTCTTAGGAAAAGGGGAGGGGAGGAGGAGAGGAGGAGAGGAAGAAGAAGAAGGTGGTAGGGGTGGGTTTATATAACGACGAGTATCTTGGGTAACTGGGTAGGTAGGTAGGTAGGTAAACTAAACTGCAATAGACATACCATCGAAATCAGGCAGTACGGCCTCGCTGAAGGCTTTAGCTGTTGCCTCGAACTCGCCTAGGAGGATTACCGGGATGGCCGACGACGGGATTTCTGCGTTGGTCGACATGACTACCGTGTTGGTTGGTTGGAGATGGAGATATTCCAAAGCGAAATCGTTGTAAGTGAGTGTTGGTGTGAGTCTTGACTGCTGGCTACCTTAGAGATCGTTTCTGCTCGACAAAAAGGTAGGTCTTAAGCCTCAGGGGCAGATCCTATTTATACCTTACTTTACTCCTGCTCTCAGTCACAACACGACACGTCGTCACCATCTATTCTCGTCATCCAGAGCGGAAACCCTAAGTTTGTCCATCGTGTTCGCTCCGAGTATTACACTCACGAGACACTTCGTTCTAGTCTTGTTCTAGTCCCCCCCAGCATCACATCATATATTCGTACACTCGTAGCCTTGATCGCCTCCCAACGATGTACCCCTTGAACAGGCAGCCTTCCTCTTCTCCTCCTCCTCCTCCTCCTCCTCCCAAACATGCGACCAAGACAAAAAGTTCCCCTGACCCTCTCGAACGAATTACAGAAACCATCCAACACTCCCACAGTACCACGCCATGCCAGCATTTTCGTGCCCCCTAAACGCCTAGGCCCTATTTACCTACATCAACCATATCGTGCAACAAACCATCGGGAGCCCCGCGCCGCGGGGAAACAAGTAGCCTCTGCCCTGCCAGGCAGACGAAGCCCTCCACCGATACGTCCCACCTAAGCCTCCCTACGCGACGAAGCAAACAACCCGCAAGCGAGGCTGATGGCCCGGGCCGTCGCACGCGAGGTGGCACCGGGGCACCGCGACCTTCCGACGTGGTGCCACGTCCTCGAGTCCGACTTACGCGTCCTGCCGTCTGACAAGTCGGCCAGCGGGACGGCAACAAACCAATCGCTTCCAACGTCGTATTCATTCCCTTTTCATACTTTAGGTAGATAGGTACGCACCTCACCTACAAAAAGACCAGAGGGCCATAATTCACCCGAGCCGAGCCTTCTGCCACCGTACACCGTGTCATGTGGAATATCGTCGCAAGGCTGTGAGTCAGACCTTCGGTGACATTGTGCGAGGCTTCGGGCACGACTAAGGAACAAATAAGTAATAGGTAGGAGAATTATACCTGCTCGCCTAGCTTTGGAAGCTCAGGAGATCTGGGGTTTGTGAACTGGCTACGCAGAGCTGAGCATCTGATATGGAAAGATGGATGGATTGCTACACCTAGAAAACTGTTGGATATAATCAGTCATTCGGCGATCTTCGTGTAAGGCGACTTCGTGGCCTAACCCTAACCTTTTTCTGCCTCTCGTAAAAAGCTTGAGGAACAAGACCTATGTATAACACAAGGTCGAATATAGTCGTGCTGCCAAACCCTCAACTACTAGGAGCCATGCAAAAGTAAGTGACGTCTCTAGACACAAGTCGCAATCAAATCAGTTCTCTTAGTACTTACTATCAAGTAAAGCACGCAGTTCATAAATCTATCGCAATCATCATATCCCGATTCTAGTCGTCAGCCCCTAAAACAAGGGGCGAACCCAGTAATAGATTACCTAATGAGGAGAGAGACATAATACTCTAGTCCGATTTATGTTTTTGTTTCCCATGACCGAACACCGAAAGTCAAGTAGATTCACCATATCCTACCACTCAACATAAGCATCCCCGCCTACTTGACGTCCCGAACGATGGCGTTAATCGCCTTGGCAACGTACTCGACGTTCCGCGTGTTCAGGCCAGCCATACTTATACGACCGTTCTTCGTCATGTAGATGTGATAATCAGAGCGGATCTTCTGAACTTGGGTTTCAGATAGGCCGGTAAAGCTGAACATGCCAATCTGATCTGTGATGTGGTTCCAGGTGCCCGGGGTATCTAGCTCTTCTATCTTCGACCGCAAAGCCTTGCGCATAGACATGATGCGGCCGGACATAGTCTTCAAGTTCTCCTCCCACTCAGAAAAGAGCTTTGGGTCATTGAGGACGATGCTGGCGATACGCGCGCCGTATAGCGGAGGATTTGAAATCTCGGATCGCTGTAGAATAGATAACTGAGATGCGATTCGAGTGATGGTAGCCTCTGCATCCGATGCGGGAGCAGTCACCACGTGGAAGCAACCGGCTCGCTCACCGTATAGACCGAAATTCTTGGCGAAACTCTGTGCTACGACGAACTCGAAGCCCTGTTCGACAAAGTATCGGACGGCCGCATTGTCACGCAGCAGGTCACCCGACGCAAAGCCTTGGTATGCGGAGTCGAAGAAGGGGAAGTGGTTCTTTAGGCGAATCACCTCCGCAATCTCCTTCCATTGCTCGAGGGTAGGGTCGACACCAGTAGGGTTGTGTGCGCAAGCGTGCAGCAGAACAACTGATCGTTCTGGAGCACCGAGCAAGGCGGACTTCATACCCTCAAAGTCAAGTCCTCGTGTCTCCTTGGAGAAATAGGGGTAGCTGGCGATAGGGAGGCCAACATTGGTAAAGATTTGGTGGTGGTTTGCCCACGTAGGGTCAGAAAGATAGACCTTCTTATTTCCTTGGTAAAACTTGGCAAGGAAGAGAGCTCCCAGATGCACGGCACCGGTGCCTGAGATGGTCTGGAAAGATGTAACACGCTTCTCCTTAACAGCGGGAGAATCGGCACCACCGAGGATCAACTCGGCGGCTTTGCTAGTGAAAGAGGCAATACCAGAAATAGGGGCATATTCGTGGTTTAGCTCGGGATCGTCATGGAGAATATCGTCTGCCTATTTCGAAAGGGGAGTAAGTAATCAATATTTCATATATAGTATAAGTCATTAATATGAGCCAATATAGGAGCTTGGGAGGTATGAGATAGGCAGTTTACAAAGAAAAGACAATACCTTCTTTACTACTGATAAGATCCAAGGCTTAGCATTATCGTCACGATAAACACCGATACTCTTAGTTACTAGTTAGCAATAATATCTCATCAAAGTAGCAGAGGAGGGGCGAGATGCGGTGAGACATACCAGATCTACTTTGCTGGGATCTTCATCAGCTCGGAAAGCTCTCACGAGTCCGAACAGAGGATCCTCCGGAGCTTGAGGAACGACATCAGCCGTGAAGCTGGTTGCTGATGGTGGCGACATTTGTTTGGCTAAGCTTTTGACTCTGGATACTGATTGACCGTGGTAGGATGGGTCAAAAGGCATGTTCTTGAGAGGGAGGAAAATAGAGATATATAAATGTGTTAATGCAGATGCGTAAGGTTGCAAGGTCGCAAGGTCGCAAGGTTGCAATATAGCAGGGAGCGCAGGACACCGGGGGAGGGGCGGTCGCCTGAAGTTGCTTGGGGGAAGTTTGTCACAGTGGGCTGATGGATATGAAACGCGGTGGATGTTATAGGTCCGTTAGTAGGCGTTAGTAGGTCTGCTGCATGAAGAATGGTCCAATTCGGTGCCACTCTCACGTAGGCGTACCTTGGTATTGAATAATAATAGAACGAGGAAGAGGTTCTAGGCGTCCAGTCGGAGGGGAACAGCAGATATGGCGGGGTTCAAACGGGCCAAGCTAAGGATGTACGTCAGAGGTTTAGCGGCGGGGAGAACGGGAAACTGCAAAGTACATGTATGTATGTATGTATGTATGTATGTACTTACATTGGGTATACCTGATTGAGTAAGTCGGATAGAAGGAACAGAGGATGGAAGTCACGATGGGTTAAAATTTTAAAGTTAAGGTAGTAACTATAGGCAGGTAGTAGGGAAGAGAGGTTCTAAGGAAAACAAATTGGAGCTGAAGCCGGAGTTGGAAAGAGGTCGCTAGTCCTAAATGTATTAAATGTATTAAATGTCTTAAATGACATAACAAAGACTTTTGATTAATAGATAGATCTACTTGCTAGTGCGTGCATCTTTATTTTATATTTTATAGGAATCTACTAACCTTAGGTACACAATTATACCTAGGTAGTTTCACGTTCAATATAGCTGATCCGGCTAGAAACCCAAGGCTAAAAAGTTTCAATTCGCTCTCCTTCGACCGAGGTCCCGCATCCGTAACAGGTTGCCTGACTTATACGGGAAACTCAGTATTGTCGTCATCGGCCAAGGTCACCGGACCCATCACAAGTCACGGCCAAATACGGGTCGGTTCGAGTAGGCCGAATCCTTTTATGTAAGCTCGGCATGGGATCTACTCTTTAGGTATTCTTTAATTAGAGCTTCCTTTCCTAGACTCATCTCCTAATATTGAACCTGCCATTTCTGCTTGCGCACCTATAGTAGCTTTAATCACATTGATTTTGCATCAGTTAGATGATGCCAAGAGCCTTCAAGTCAACCCAAGGAGTAGTTCGACTAGGTGTTATTGACTAGACTATAGAATAACTCGGCATGTGATTTCTTCTATAACCTTCAGCCTCTTCACATGCTTTTTCTTGTCGTACATTACTTTATCACAACATCCATCCGCATATAAGATAGGTAGTCTTATATAACTAAATCCCATACTATCAAAAATGCGCATAAGCCGCAAGTTGCAAAAAATGTGTACCTGGCTGGGCTTGCTTTCCGCGTTGCTTCCCCGAGCTGTCTGTTAGCTCCCCCTATATTCTCGGTTGTCTTTTCCGAATCAGCCACCAGCTGCTCAATACCCGCCGATTGTGTCGTTAACGTGTCTATGAGTTGCGTTTGGAGCTCTGATATTTCAAGCAGTGACTTTTCTGCAGTCCTAAAGTCCATGTTAACTACGCTCAACCACCTCTATCACGCAATCAAACTTACCTGACTTGATCTAATGTGCTCTCGTAATGTTTGAGCATATCTTGGTTGTCCTTCTCGAACATTTGTATTTGTTCCGTAGTTAAATCTCCTGTAGGGGCGTAGGTCGGTGCCTCGTCGGGAGGCAATGCCTGACTTGCCCTCCTCTTTGACTCCGCTGGACTTCCCGCCTCTTGCACACTCGCTAACGCGCCCAGGGGAATATCTTGTTTTCGTGACTTAGCCAGCACGCTCCTACTCTTCTCCATTTCTCTCATTAACCGTATCTCCATCATATCTTGTTGTGTCTTGACGCATTCTTGGAGTCGGTGCCGTAAAAGCCACAATACGCTATCTCGGTGATTGCGAATGGTCTTCACTTGTTCTTCGGCTTTAACGTGTTCGGGTGGTTTGCTAATTGATGCGCCACCTGCCGCCCATGCTCCTAACGCGCCTGGACCGCGAGCGAATTTCTTCTCAATTATCCTAGACTCGATTTCCGATCGTGCTTTCTCGACATCTTCGAGGCGGCGGATGCTCGCATTGAGCTCGCGTAGCATTTTCTTCGCATTGGCATCTATCTCCTCGCGCTCTCGATCCGAAAGCGGCCTCGATTGTTTGTCTGAGTGCGCCGATCGGATCAAGGTCTTTCGCGGTTGGGCAGTTGAGAGATACGATTGTCTTATATTCCTAAGGTCGGCGTGGAGTGAAGCTATGTGTGAATTCTGAAGTCTCTGGTTAATAACAAGTTTATAGGGTATATGTGTGTTCAAGCGCGAGTACTTGCTATTCTATAGGCCTCCTTCAAAAAATCGTCCAAGCTGTCCAAGCTAAAGCTTCGTTTTGTAATAGAAGCTTCATGTTGCTTAAGGAAACCATTGAAAACGGGAGTGAGGTCGGTCATCATGAGTACTGAAAGGTGTGGAAGTTTAGCAATACGACATGCTTATTATTGTAGCGTTGAGCATTTCCAGCTCTTTTCAGATTGCGAACAGTCTAACAGTCTATTGTGGCAGAAGCTGGCAACCTGTTCAATTCAATGTACAATTCCCGATAATGCACATAATGATGCTATCTGTTGGTCGGTAAAAAAGCAGAGTTGATGCCGACGTGGCTTGTATTGAATGTGGCTTTTATTATTTAGAGGTAGGTAGCAATGAGGCGCAGTTCGAAGTACAGCAGGTGCAACTGTGTTTGACCCAATGCCCTGGAATCGAGTTGATGACCCGATTTTGTACCGATATTAGGTATTCCGATTCTAGAATTGCCCAGCCTTCAACTACCGACCCGGCTTTAGCCTGCGTCAAGTACCTAACCCAAGGAAAAGAATAATGCTGAATTCACTATCAAATGAGGCTCCTGCTATTGTTAAACGTTTAACAATTAATAAATAGTTACTGACGAACAGAGTCGTATTTCCACGGTTAGCTACATAAGGCGACTTTAAATATATTCCCTAACACAATATATATTCGACGTTATCGCCCACCATCCCGACTTCGCAGTTAAATTTACTGCCCGTTTTTTCGAGTTCCGTAAATCGGTTAAGACTTTGCCGTCTCAACCCCCCCAACATTGAGAAAATGAAATCCGGCAATGATAGCACTGCTTATTGGAGCAACCACCTGCCTTAAATTTTCACGGGAATAACACCGATGGGGAGTAACCGCCGTAGAAAACTGCGGGAATAACCATTAGGGAAACCTTAGATAGCCACTTACCATGCAGCAATATCCACTTTCCGTATACTGAACCTTGTTAGGGACCGCCGAAAGGGGGAGGATAAGAGGTAGGTAATGGGTACGAGTCCGGTCTTGCAAAAGTCCTTCTACCCTATTCTCACCGCCGCTGGTTATGTTGATGTAATCGAATCGTGATATCGTGGCAATGAATGACAGTGAGAAACCACCGACGACAACATCAAAAGATCATCATGATGAGACACGAGATCGCCCTTTCAAAGAAGAGGAATTAACATCCCAGACGCTTCGCCAAAGTAGTGACCATGCCCAATCAGGAGACACGGACGATGACGAGGACATTCCCGGCTCTGAAGATGGTGCCGAAGAAGAAGGCGAACCTCGAGACCTCGAAACGCTCTCGCGAGTGTCTAGCGGCCCACCTTATAGTGTCTTTTCGCCCTCCATGATACGATGGTTAGTTTTTATGAACTGTATCTCGGCTTTCATATCGCCCATTACGGCGAACATCTATTTTCCAGCCATCCCAGCCCTATCGCGAGACCTCGGGGTCACCGTTGCACAGATCAATCTGACGTTGACGACTTATATGATCTTCCAGGGCTTGGCGCCTACTTTCTTCGGCGATTTTGCCGACGTCGCCGGAAGACGGCCGGCCTTCATTATTGCTTTCACTATTTACCTTGGCGCCAATATCGGTTTGGCCCTGCAGCGGAATTACGCTGCGTTGCTTGTCCTCCGGATGCTGCAGAGTAGTGGGAGTAGCGGTACGCTCGCCCTCGTTTATGCCGTGGTTGCGGATATCGCCCCAACCTCCGAACGGGGGAAATATATGGGCATCGTCGGGGCAGGTTTGACGATAGGACCTGCCCTCGGTCCAATTATTGGCGGGTTGCTATCCCAATACCTTGGATGGCCAGCTATATTCTGGTTCTTATGCATTCTCGCCGTTGTATGGATGGTTCCCTACGTATTGGCGGTCCCGGAAACGGGGAGAAAGGTGGTAGGGAACGGATCTATTCCACCACAGGGTTGGAATATGACACTTCTTGACTACATCCGATTCAGACGCGAGGCCCGAAACCGACCAACCGGCCAGGTGAAACAGAAGCTCCAGCTCCCCAATCCGTTCAACACTCTTACTATTGTAGGTAATAAGGACATGGCCATGATCTTGTTCTACAACGCTTCTCTCTATATAGGCTTCATGATCGTCACGTCCACTCTCGCTTCTCAGTTTGCCGATATTTACCACTACAACGACATCCAGTTAGGGTTGTGTTATTTGCCGATTGGTGGAGCAACTACAGTTTCGTCAATCTGTAATGGTTATATGATAGACTGGAATTTTCGACGTATAGCCAAAAAGTTAGGCGTCAACATTGACCGGAAACGCGGAAACGATCTCAAAGGATTTCCCATCGAGAAAGCCCGTCTCCAACTGGTTTACCCGCTAGTTATTATTGGGGCTTTAGTATATATCGGCTTCGGCTGGGCACTGCATTACGAGGTCCACGTAGCTGTTCCTCTCGTACTATCCTTCTTTATCGGGATATGTGTCACCGGTCCTTTCCAGATCATAAACGTTTTGATTGTCGATCTTTACCCCGGAGCCCCGGCAACGGTGACTGCTGCGAATAACCTGTGCCGATGCTTGTCTGGTGCCGTAGCAACGGCAGTAATACAATACATAATCGACGCCTGGGGAAGAGGATGGACTTACACGTTTATCGCCTTTATATTTACGTCGTTCTCTCCTGCTCTTTGGGTTATTCAGAAGTATGGGCCTAAGTGGAGAGAAGAACGCGTAGAGAGGATGAGGCAAGCCGTAGAGAAAAAGGAGATAGAAGCTAAAGAGAAGGAAAGCGTTGCAGCTGAGCAGAATAGTGGTGTCCTTGGAGAGTCACAAGCTTCGTCCGGTTGATCCTTGTTGACATTATCCAAGTTAGACTATGAACTTCCATATAAGAGCATGGGTTAAAAATTCATACGGGCTATGTTCTTGGTGGGATCCTAATTTAGAACACGATAGAATTTCTTTAGGAAAAAAATGGTAAATTAATCTTAGAACGTGAGAATCTTACGTGTCAAGAGCTTATTTATTAAGGATAATTTCTTCTGTCTCACCGGCATTTGGTGATTATGTTACACAAGGTAAAGATGCAAAGAAGAAGCTGGCTATATATGAGACCATGTACTGAACTTGAAGTAAACCAAAGAAAAAGTTGTATCAAAAACTCCGAAGCCAAGGCAAATAGGGGAAGTTCAAGTTGAACAGACGTCAGAGACCGTTTACCGTTTATATGAATATTTACGGATATATAGATATACTAAGTTCGTCGCCCCGCTATCAAGATGTTCATCTGAATCTCTTCTAAAGGCCCGAACCTATCCTTGTTTTCTTAAACAATCAACTTTGTGAAGCACAATTTCATAATCCTTGAAAATGTAATCGATACTTCGTATCTTGGATATGACGCGTAAATTACCGTGGAAAAGAGTCGAAATAGGCTCGATTAGCACTCCACGATCACTAACGTCGACTCCTATTAGCCAGCAAAAAGCAAAGCGCGAGAATACTGACGATGACGATAAGCAAGCCACAGCTTCACCTACTCCTGCTAAAAGGGTGAAGAGCTCCCACTCTGTACCTGCATCCCCGGCACCTAAAATTACACCTCAACTTGGATCGTCACCGCCTTCTCTAAAGCCACTACCCGAAAGGTACGTGCACTCATCGTCACCGATCATGAACTCGTCTAACTTCATATTTAGCTATATGATTGAGGGTCTTGACCATGACGACTTATATCGCATGGTAGAAGATGAATTCTTATCGACGGCCCAGCAGTTCACGGCCCATCTTCATGCAGCCGAGTATCATCGTCTAAAAGCAGCATCTAAGTCTCAAAATGCGGATACCATCAGGGATATCTCGAGACCAGTGGTTGGGCAGATGACCGACCTGGTCAAGCAGAAGCAAGAACGCAAGGCTCGTCTCGAGAAGCAGAAAGCAGCAACGAGAAAGGCGAGGGCCGACATAAATCGGAATGATGACTCTACCGCGAGTGAAAGTGACCTGTGGCGTTCCGCGTCTTTGCACGGACTCATGGAGAGCCCAAGAAAGAAAGCGGCTCGCCTTGATAAGTTGACCAAGGTGGTGACTACGACTCGTGCTGCCGCTGGTTTTAGCACAGCCAAGTCCGGACGGTTATTTCCTACTTCTCATCCAATTCGTAAAGATATTACTGGTAGTAGACCTATACCTAAATCGACGCCGCAGCAGGATAGTGAAACAGAAAGTGACGACGATGAAGACCTAGACGGCCCTTCTACTAAGATGTCTACGAACTCGGTTAAGAAACCCCTACCATCTATGGCTCAACTCCCAAAGCCAAGGCAAGTCCCAAGTACTACAAGTAACAACCACCCCCTACGCCGCTCAGAGAATATCCACCCCATCATCCAGCAACCAGAGGCCAAGACCACTACAGAGGCCGCATCCTCATCCTCCTCCGAGGCCGACGGCAACGGAGACTTCCTAAGCCGCCTCAAGCAACGCCAAGAAGACCGCAAGCGCAACCGGGAGCAAAGAAAGCAAGCAGCGTCAAACAAAGCACAGTCGTCAACAACAGATGATATCATTCCAGGCTTTCTCTAGACTACCCAAGTTATAGGTACCTAGTATATATACAGTACAGCAACAATCACAACGACTCAGACTCAAAAGGCGTCTGGAACGGCTGTTCCGCCTGCGGCGTAATACGCGCCAAATGCCTGCGCTGCCCGGTCTTCCAGTCGTGCAGCGCCGAGTGCTGCGTCACACGGTTATCCCAGACGACGACGGTGCCCTCTTCCCACTTGACGCGCGCCTGGAAGTCGGCGCCGTAGGCCAGGTGGTCGTATAGGAATTTGAGGATCGCGTCGGATTCTTCCTTCTTGAGACCGACGATGCTGCGGGTGACTGTTGGTTGGTTGGTTGGTTATGATTAGTGGATGCTTTTAAGTGGGTGTGGCGTGGTATTAGGGGGTGGGAGGAGGGGAATAGGCACAGGAGGGACTTACATTGGGGGTTCACGTAGAGCGCTTTCTCGCCGGTTGCCGGGTGTGTTCGCACGATGGGGTGTGCGTTTACAACGGGCTCTCGTCTTCTGATGCCGCCTCTTGCGCTTGAAGCGTTGGCTTGCTCGATCCCAGAGTGAGTAGCCTTCAGGCCGTGCAGACGCTCCTGGAACAGCGGGCTCAGACGGTTATACGCCTCTGCAGCATTCACAAACAAAGTATCGCCACCAGTTTCGGGCTTGTCAAGAATGTACAGGAAGGTCGTTCCAGGCGGCTGCTGCTCGTACGATACGTCCGAGTGCCAGGCCACAGAGCTGACGGTATTCTCGAAAAACTCGGCATAGCCCTTGTCTCCCTCCCCGCGGTGCACGAGGTGGATCTCCGGGTGGCCTTCAGGCGAGCCGGAGGTCGGGTGGATGTGGTGACGGCCAAAGTAGCCGCCGAACTCGAGGGCCTTGTCGATGGGCAGGTCGGCGAAGTCCTGGTCGCGGAAGGCGACGACTTTCCTCTCGGCTACGTAGCGGGCGAGCTGGTCCTTGCCGGCGTCGTTAAGAGAGCTTAGTTGGATGCCGCGGATTTCGGATCCGATGGTGGGCGTCAGGTCGACGATTTTGGCGCTCGCTGGGAGGAGGTCGGGGTATGTGGTGTCGGCGTCTTTGCCGTGCTCGTAGTGCTCAAAGGGCTTTAGAGGCTCGTACTTTTGCTCGGGGTTCCACGTTGGCAAGTAGTTAGGGTACTACAGGAGGAGAATCAGCATCGATCTATGTCAGAGGTTAGAGACTCAAAAATAGGGTTAGTTTACCTTTGCGGCCCTAAGTCCCGTCCTACCCTCCTCGACCTCCTTATCGTACTTTAAGGGAGCAATCTCCTTATACGCGCCGAAGAATCGAGTCGTCTTTAGATGCTGCGGCAGAGCCGGAGTCTCGGTAACGGTGGAAGTAGCAGAGGGAGCCATAGTTGCGAATTGGATATGTTAGATACCTAACCTATCTAGCTTTGGATTTCTCTATATATCACTACTATGTACTAGGAAACCAGAGCAGAGCAGATCTATCAGGTCCTAGGTACAGCTAGCTACCTTAAGTAAATATATATATAATCCCCGTAGTGTACTCGACCACACCAAGCTAGAACTAATGAACTGATGTGCTCGCAGGGACAGTATCACGCAACCCATCTCCCGTTCCAATAGGAAGTCTCATATCCTCAAGTATCCCACAACGTCCCCATCCCACGGTTGCCCACACCCTCCCTGATCTCGACTTATCAGATTCCGATCGGAGCTTTAGGCGGTTCTGTCTGGCTTTGGGGGGGGGGCGAGAATTCGACCCCGCGCTTGGAGAACGCGCATGATGTTGCTATCGCCAAGTTCGATCACGTCATTTCGTCTGGCTGTTTTGCAATCTCCCCTCCCTGCTCTAACCTAGCCTTGCTTTGCCTTGCCTAACGAAGACAGACATAGTATGTATTGCCAAAATCAATGTGTAACGCGATATCGTATCGCTTGGCAGACTTATATTTGATTTATTAGTGTTTATATCCATCCTCGTTCTGCGGCGAGGAATATCCGTCTAGGCGGAGGAAGACGCCATCTTAAGGAGTATTGCGATAGGGCTTAGTCTTGCGGCCAACTAGCCAGTCGTTGACTTATTCTTGCGAGAAGTGAGCTCGGGTTCGGATCCAGACATGTCCCCGCCATCGGTACGAGTTCCGAAGTCCGTTGGAGACAGCCGGGGGTTCCCGGGGGAGCGGCAGCGGTAACGGAATATTTCGCGTGCGGGGGATGATGAGGTCGAGCGCAAAGTCCGGGGACCTTTTAGTCAATAATAATTTAATAAAATACCTAGGTATCTATATTGTCTTAATACTCTACCTTGACCATCTAGAAATAGGCGGCTATTAACACTTGCCCCTTTACACGGTCTCTTTATACTATTTAACTAGGTTAAGCTTATCTCATCACGATCTTCAAATCTAAAATCCTGTCTTACATAGTGGCGCTTATATACATGGAGGAGCGTATGTCGTATACGGTATACATAGTATAAGCAGAGCTGTAATTCAGGTGCATACTTCTATTTCGCATAACACATTGCCTCGGACTGGCCGAGCGCTTACATTTAGCTAAGGAGCGCGGCACAGCTCGTCCTTACCATTCAGATATTTGGGTCTGATGAAGACTTGATACTGAATACCCAATGCCCAATGCATAGGGCTGAACAAGGAGACCTCATCCCTAATCATGGCGCGCTGGGGCGAATCCGACGAAGAGAATAGATGATTGGTTATTTATTAAAGGCTAGCGAGATACTATACCGTGAAGATGTCTAGCTCGGCGGGTCCTCATAGGTTTGCCCCTGGCCAAGCAGCCAAGGTAGGTCTAAATAGATGAGGTCTAAATAGATGCTTGCTTGCTTATACGGCTTATGCATGGGCTGCGGTAATCGCGAATTCGACGTCCAAATCATCGCGAGTCTTAATCTTATCTCGTGTATTTACCCATTAGCTCAACATGCGTCACGTTGAATACCGCTAGGTGGGACCGGTAAACAATTCTCAAAGGTTGACTACAACAACACACCCTACATACCTAGGTAGGCATCATCGACGGCCATCTTGAAATGGCAAACGACAGGATCTCGCACCGCAAATATGAGTCTCTTCAAGAGCGGCCATCTACACCTAAGTTCAGCTCTCATGATAGGATAGACATGGACGCCTATCCTTCCGGTACCAAGAGGGAGGGGGACGAATTGCCTGAGCACTTCTTACCATCAGAAGTTATAAACACTCGTCAACATCATGTTTTCCGATTTTGGCCTTGGGAGATTGGTTCGATATTTGTTGCAATAGGTTCGATAGCGGCTACTTACTCGATTCTATCCCACTTCGACGGACACGAGGTGCCAGAATGGCCGTTCAGTATTAATCTGAACACTCTCATCGCCTTGATCTCTACCGTTATGCGAGCAGCAATGCTTGTAGGCGTCGCCGAAGTCATTAGCCAGACAAAATGGACCTGGTTCTCCCGACCGCGACCGTTGAGCCACCTACAGTATTTCGACGAAGCAAGCCGCTCTATATTCGGTTCCCTGAGCTTACTATTTGTCGCCCCTGGAAGTATGCTAGGCATAGTCGGCGCTCTTATTACCATTCTATCTCTCGGGATAGGCCCGTTTACCCAGCAAACCGTCAAGTCTGTCGCATGTCTTCGGACACATACCGAAGTAAACGCGTCATTGCCCGTGGCCCAGTACCTTCCTGGGAACGAAACCTATTATAGAACCGCGCCCGGACGTTGGGAATTGTCAATCGACACGAAGGGAGCGCTAGTCAATGGAATCGTCAATCCGATGGGCAATGATACCGCTATTGTACCGACCTGCCCTACTGGAAATTGCACCTTCACAAGCCACAACGGTATCACGCACGCTTCTATAGGCTTGTGTAGCTCGTGTATCGATACCACTTCATTCATTAAGAGAATAGCAACCAACAGGACCGGCGGGTACGATAATTATACTCTTCCTACTACCGGTATGTGGGTGAGCCCGGATACAGACCAGGCGTATCTGAACGTGGACAACGGCTTGCTCCAATGGGCAGCATCCCTCTTCACTCCCGAATTCGAGTCGGTGTGTCCTGAAAGTCTACTCAATGTGACCGTCTTAGCGCTCACAAAAGCGACGTGTTCGAAAGACGGGGACAAACTCGATTGTCCCATTACCCATGGATACAGCGGACCGACAGGTATCGTAGCGACTTCGTGCACTCTCTACCCGTGCCTGAAGAATTACGATGCCACCATGATGAAAGGTGTGCTTTCGGAGAAGATTGTCTCGACGGAGCCCGCGCGTACTAACTGGGTAGAGGCGAATATAACTCAAGGAGAGATTTATCCTACCATGAATTGGACCACGCTTCAGAGTCCGTGCTTCCTTGATGGCCAGTCGTATGATCTATCCAATTTCTCGACGGTCCTTGAAAAAGAAGGGAGGGTATTCACGGGTATCAACATCGACGGGACAAACTATACCGCACCAGACGACTGCATGTACAAGATGGGCTATCCGTACTGGTCTGCTCTAAACAAGTTCACGAGCGAAGACTTGTTCAAGGGCATATGCACGTACAACAGCCGACAGGGTCAATTCGTATCGTGCGATTCGAAGTGGTGGCTTTCCAGCTTTTATAGAAATGACGAGGCAAGCTTCGAGACGCTAAACATGGCCTTTGACCAGTTCTCCACGGCCGTTACCAATAAGTTCCGTACGACAGGCTCGGATATCTATGACTGGGGAACCCAAAAGACGGTAACAGGGCTGGTCAACGAGATGACGGTGTGCACTCAGTTCCAGTGGCAATGGCTCCTGATGCCAACGATCTTAGTCGTTGCTACGGTTGTGATCTTGATTGCTATGATAACGCAAAACCTACGCGACCATAAACAGCCGGTGTGGAAATCATCCTTACTGCCGTTATTGTACTATGGATTCGGACAGCGAGCGTACCAAGAGGATCCAAGTAGACCTGTTATGGACCTCTCGGAGATGAGTAAAGCGGCTGCGGAAACAAAAACTAAATTCCGGAATGGTGCCAGGGCAGGTTTCGTCAACGTTGCTCCGAGTATGGACGAGTTAGTTATGCAAAGGGGGAGAAACGTTGAAGTTGACTCCCTTTACGGGGGCCGATAGTTGAAAATATGTTGTACCTGGTAGATTTAAAATAAACGAAGCGCAATGGATTTTATAAATTGTATTGATGTTTATTACGATAAATCACTTAGCTGCATATACCGATTACTATTTACCGCTTAAAGGTATAATGCTCTACTACATACATAGGTAGTGTATGTAACTAGTGGCGATACGATAACCCACAAGTCCCTGCTTATCAATCGAGGGGCAATTACATCTTTACCTAAACCACATTTTTCCTTATCCAAAACCCCCACCATCACTTAAAAGTTACCAATATCATCAACCATCACATAGGCATACAACCGAATAGATCGCCAACATGTCGATGGATATAGATGTAGATGTTCCTATTTCTATAGCGCCTCAGCAAGGCTTAGAGAATGCTCCAATTACTGCTACCATCTTTTGTTGCGACTGCGGCGCTCCTATAGATGGTACAACGGCTATCGACGCCAAATGTTACGATTGCTTCAAACTCACAAAAGACATCTCACAAGGCATTCAGCGCGAAGCCACCCTCCATTTCTGCCGAGACTGCGATCGATGGCTTCAGCCACCGTCCAGCTGGGTAACAGCCCCGCCCGAATCACGCGAACTTTTAGCCCTCTGTCTAAAGAAATTAAGTCTTAACCGAACGAGGATAATCGACGCCAGCTTCATATGGACAGAACCCCACTCGAGACGAGTAAGGGTGAAGCTTGTGGTTCAAGCTGCCGTAGCAGACGACCGAGTTATGCAGCAGGCCTTGGAGGTAGTGTACGTTGTCGCATATCAGCAGTGCCCAGAGTGCGCCAAGTCATATACGGCCAACGTTTGGCGAGCAAGCGTACAAGTGCGCCAGAAGGTGCTGCATAAGCGAACATTCCTCTACCTCGAGCAGCTTATCTTAAAGCACGGCGCCCACCGTGAAACTATCAATATCAAAGAAGCCAGAGACGGCATCGATTTCTACTTTGCGGCAAGAAATCAAGCCGAGAAGTTTGTCGACTTCTTAAACTCGGTCGTACCCGTCCGAGTCAAGAAGTCCCAGGAACTCATCTCACAAGATTCCCACACTGCGAAGAAATCATACAAATTCACCTTCTCCGTCGAGTTAATACCCATCTGCAAAGATGACCTAGTTGCGTTACCTATCCCCCTCGCCAAGCAGATCGGCAATATCTCCCCGCTGGCTATATGCCACCGCATCGGTACCTCTATCAACTTGCTCGACCCTAACACCCTCCAAACCGCCGACATCAGCGCGCCCGTGTTCTGGCGCACCCCCTTCCCCGCGCTGGCAGACTCTCAAGATCTAGTCGAGTTCATCGTGATGGACTGCGAACCGATCGGGCCGACGCGCGGGAAATGGATCCTCGCCGAGACGCAGCTGGCGCGGGCCTCGGACCTTGGCGTCAATGACAAGACGTACTTCGCGCGCACACATCTCGGCGGGCTCCTGCACGCTGGCGACTCGGTTCTCGGGTATATGCTCACCGGAACCAACTTCAACAACCCGCAGCTAGAGGCGCTCGAGGAATCCAACGTATACGCGTCGCGCATCCCCGACGTGGTCGTCGTCAAGAAACACTACCCGAACCGCCGGCGCAACCGCAAGCGCGTCTGGAAGGTCCGCCGCATGGCCAAGGACGAGGGCGAGCTACTACCGCGCAAGACCGACCAAGAGCGACAGGATCGTGAATTCGAGCAGTTCTTGCGGGATATCGAAGAAGACGAGGAGTTTAGGCAGGGCGTACAGCTGTACAAGCAGCCGGCTCGGAAGAAGCAGGCTGATGAGATGAGTGTGACGACGGCGGCGGAGGATGGCGACGAAGGAGATGATGATGTGCCCAGGGTCGATATGAATGAGCTATTAGAGGACTTTGATGAGCTTGCTATAGAGGATCAGCAGTAGGGAGGGAGTGAAGGAGGACTGTTTATTGACTCGGTGTTGGAGGATCGGAAAATAGAGATATAAGTTCGCGATGAATGAATCTATAGCTGGTAGTTGTGGCTTCTTACATACGGTACGGGATCGCGTTTCATATTCGGAGTTTGTGACTCAAGTGAAGTTAGTCTAAATCCACATATGAAAAGAATAAAAATAAAATGAAATCAAGTCTAAGATGTCAAATGAATGTTTATGGAATATAAGCCGCATCTACCTATTATATCGTAGTTTCTCTTATCCATTTCCAATTTAAACGCTTTATTGATTCTCTATGAACATCGAGAAATACAAGCCGTAGGAAATAGGCCAGCTTGGAGAATTACGAATTTACCGGTTTTATCCCTTTTGCTTTTAAAAGCTAATATGAGATTAACCCAGGGCGGTGGACAAATATCTTAATATAACTACCCCTCTTAGAAGAAGCACTTTTATATCGTATAGTTATACTCAAAATGGTGAATAATAAGTCCTACTTTAGATACTTATCTCGCTATATCAGAATTCCCAGGCCAAACATAGCCGCACACACCGTATGGCTTGATGTTCCTAGTACACAAGTATGTAGTCTCCTCTTTAGCGATAGTTACTCTCTTACTCTCTAGATAGTTACGTATATTTATAATATACTAAGTGTGGATGAAGGGGTTACTTCCCAACAAATCAAGATCTTACCTATACCCAGTAGAAACACCGGAGCTACAAATACGCTCAAACTGGCGACTATGACATTCTACTTGTCTTACCACCCCTTGATAGAAATAATCTGGGTTAGGTAGCACTCCTATACAATCTAATCACAATAGGCGAAAAGACTATAACCTGGTTGAACTCGAGTTGTATAGTCAACTGGTAAAGTTAAACACTCCTACACACATACGTACACGCCGTCCTCACTATTTCACTTTGTTCACGTCATATCTCAAGAGCACCAAAACTTCAGTGCGAGGAGAAAGATTTCTCTATTAGTGCGTTTTCCGATTAGAAGGACTTATAGCTGCCAAAGTGCTAGCATAGCAACGAGCGGTGATGCAAGGACATCATCGTCATTCTCTCCGTATCCGTGTTAGTGAAAAAGGAGGGTTTGACTGACAGGCTAAGCTGACAGACAAGACTTCTCCTATTCGGCCCTATCTACATCGCCCTGAAAACCTCACTCGTACTAGCAGGAAAGAGAAGGCAGTACACGATCCACGCGTTTCAGGTATGCCGTACGCAATTCGTTGTTTACAGATTGGCTGTTTGGTCTGTAGTTTGTAGTATAGAGGTCTTCTCTCATATCTAGTCGCCCGTAGTTGGGAAACCTTTTCCAAATCCTTCATTCCGGCAACGCCCCGAGGTTCCATTATCCGGCAAGTTCGATGTCATATATGAAAAGTCATGATCCATCAAGTATCAGACCCGTACAATAAAGTTCCATGGGCGTTCTTGCTGAATATAGTTTGGAACAACAACAGGGCTGAAATAGAGACCTGACGATGAACACCAGAGCTTCGAACGGACTACTTCATTATTACTTTATCCGTAACGAGTCTGAAACCCGGGGTCGCGGCATCACGATGGGAAAGGGTCACAGGAGTTTCTGTCATACGAGAAGTGCGCACCAGAAGAGATGCGTCGAAAAGTTTAGTTGTACATACTGCCGTCCAGGGATACACTGATTATCCGTACGGCTGCGACGAATGGATGAAATTTGCAACACTGCGTTGCAATCGAATATACGAAGAGACATAATTGGGTGGGTGCTGCGGATGGATTGAGTCTGATCAAACCTAAGGAGAGCAGCTGCTAAGCGGGAAAGGTTGTACTTTGTTCCATCATTTGACTCTAGAGAGATAATTACGACTATGCCGCCGGGGTAGTCGGGGTGTGTCTGCTCCAGTTCTCGGTTCGGGGCCTATAACTCCCACGTCCGCTCCGGGTGGATGGACGGCCGGGGGAATGTGACGAGGCGTGATCTCCGGCGTGGTCGGGATGCTCTCTTCCTCCGCGCTGCCCACCGCGGCCTGATAAACGACGAGGGGTTCCTCGAGGTCCAGATCGACGCGGGTTACTGGTAGACCTATTGTTAACAAAAGGCACTAGAACGGTCTTTGCTTCCGACATGAAGGGAGTAGAAATTCTAATCACGCTCTTGCCGTTTGATACTTCTGGTAGGAATCTCAAAGCTTCGGCACCTGTGGGATCGACTCGTAGTTTAACGGGTATAGGATCGTAGTTTGGTTCGACGGCTTGCCATAGTGCATCCGGTGCTTCGTTAGGGAGTCGGACAGCCGGGAGCGAGCCCATCTCTTGCTCGCCAAAGCACTCTTCCGCCATCTCCTTGCTAGTGTAGTCACTATCATCAGAAGCTATAGAGCTCACCGAGTACGAGAGACCAGGTAGCGCAACAGTTGCAGGGTCATACGAATGGGTATGCACTAGCGCGATCTTGCTCGAAGAGTCTATAGCCATAGACTTCGCTTGATGGATCGGCTTCTTGCCCATTAGATTGTTAATCTTATCCTGCCAATTCTCCTGAGATGCTATCTCGTGCGGCTTTTGAGGGATTCCCGCATATCCCTTACCTCTGCTAGAGGGACGGGGAACTGTAGCTTGTGCGTTACCCCGGACGGGCGCGGCAGCGGCGGCAGCGAATGAAATCGGTGCAGGCTTAGCAGATGGTACAAGAGGGCTAGGGGCTGCAGAATTGGTCGGGGGTGGTAGCTTGACTATCGGACGAGCTGGTGGTAGAGCCACATGCGGACGAGTGACGTCGCCATCAAATGCTGGGTGGCCATCTGCGGTTGGAGGGGGCGGGGTTGGGGACTTAGTACGCGCCTCCTCTTGAGCACCGTTATCTTGTGTGAGCGCGTCCCGCGCTGAGGGGAAGAATCGAGAACTGCTTCTGGGTTGGGTCGCGGGCCCAGGCACATTTCGTCCGGTGTGGCCGACAGGGGGCTGCCTACCAAACTCGGGGCGTATACCGTTTGCTTCTTTAACGGCAGCCTCTCTAGCCGCATCTCGAGCAGCAAAATCGGACGGCATAAGACCTTTGCGTTTGGCAACCTCGTCCGCAGACAGATCGGGACGAAGTCGCTCGTCTCTCCCGATATGTCTAGAACCGTTGAACGAACCGCTTGGTTGAGCCTCATTGTGGTTGGTAAATGGGTTAGCCGAACCTCGCTTTGTGTCCTGTATATTGCCTCTAGGACGCCAGGTGTCTTTGATCGGAATGGTTGGGTTTTTCTCGTGGCCATGTATGAGCTCTTGCATCTCTGCCGCTCGTCTGCGATCATCTTCTTGAACGTTGGAGGTGAAAGTATTCCATGAACTTGAAAGCTCTTGTTCGGGAATATTGGAAGAACGGCCGCGGGGCGGGCCGATTGGAGGTATCCGGTTACTAGACATTGTCTCGGGGCGTACGGGCTGCTGCGAGTTAGAGCGGGGGGGACCGATCGGTGCCGGGCGATGGATACGTTCGGTGATCGGAGCCGGGTGGGCATCAGGTAAGGTTCCTAGGTCAGGATTAAACGTGCCATTTCCAAGGGAACGGTCGTTTCCGGGAGCACCCCAGACATTTCGAGAACTGTTTTGAGAACTTCCAACCCACGAGGTAAAACGTTCTGGATGTTGCGGAGCCTCGGGCCATGATGGTGCCGACTGAGATTTCGGCGCATTAACGGTTTGCGTAGCCGGATGTTTAGCATCACCGTTGACCTGGCGATCAGAATTGGACTTGGACTTATTCATTGTGGCAGCAGAATCAGCTGTAGCTTCGGAAGGCACTTCGAGCTTTTCCTCCGAGGTAAAGGGAATGCTTGTCCGTCCAGCATGTGCGGATTGTGTAGAAGATTCGTTCTTTCCTTCCTTTTTGGCGCTCTTGCGTTCAGGCGGAGGGCCCATTGCCTTGAGCTTCTCGGCAATTCGGGCCTTGCGAGCCTCTTCTTCACGAGCTTCTTGTTCTAATCTACGCTTAATGGCTTGCTCACGACGCTCACGCATCACTCTTCTTTGAATAGCAAATTCGTCTTCGTTGGATGGTGCGTCCGCACTAGGCGGGTTGTATTGAGGTGTAGCATATGTTTGACCGGGGGAAGGACGGGGTTGGTATGGATGACTAGGCTGGGGCCGCGGCGTAATCTGGTTATTCACCGGAGAGAAAGTTGTGGAAATAGGGCTCTCGGCCCCAACAACGGAGCCAGCTTGGGACTGAATCACCTCGGGAGGCGGCGGAATATCGTATGGCTTTCCAGGTCTATGTGCCATAATGCCACTCGTACCACTAACATTAGAAGAACCGCGACGGCGACCAAATGGAACTTCGTGAGCACTAGTTCTGCTTGTCTGAAAAGCAGCCGATGGTTCCGCAGGGCCTTGCTGGTCGTGGTATTGGGGACGCTGGAGAACAGCTGGCTGGCGTCCATGAGCATCATTCCTGGATCCTCTACGATCCGTCACCGGCTCGTATCGACCGGAGTGCGAATTAAATAGTTGGCTATGGTTGCCTGTATGACCTTCTCGGAAACCGGATCGACTAAAGTCGTCTGCCGCAATCTCCTTAGTTAGCGGGGGAGTCGCGCTCTTAGTAGCAGCATCCCGTGCCGGAGGACGCGAAACCGATGTAAGGCTGGATAAATCTGGTTGCCCGGGAGGAACTTTCTCTATAGGTGGCAGGCGTGCCCATGGCGATTTAGCAGGTGTTGGTGGCGCAGGTGGTTTTGCAACGAGAGTAGGCTTCTCAGGAGCGCCTTTCAGCACAAGGCTCTTGCCCGAGGCCAAGGTACCGGGTCTGACCGAGGGAGACTCGATTGCGCTCGGGGTCGGCGCAGGCGATTTTGACTTGGGCGGTGCGGGAGCTGGTTCCTTGCTAAGTGTAGCGTGGACGGTGACGGGACTTGGTACGATTTCATCGGCTGGTGGTAAGGTGATCTTGGTCCCGTCGGTCCACGTAATGGTTTCGGGTTCCCACTCTTCGTCATCATCGATATCCGCCCAGTTCGACTGACCCTTAGTATCCTCCGGTCCTAAACGGCCTGCCATGTGGATGCCGTATTTATGCATGAGTTCCTCATCAGATAGCTTCTTTTGCTCAGGTTGAGCAGCCGCTGTGGAAGTTAGCAGGAAGAGTTAAAAATCACCGAGTTAAGATATCTTCCTATGACTTACGTCTATTGCGATTCCAGACAGTATTTGGGTCAGGGGCGGCGGCAGGTTTACCGTTGCTACTTAGAGTCTTGGTAGAACCACCTAAGCTGCTGCCGGATTTGGCAACAAGCTTCAGACGCGAAGCGGAGGCACTTGGAGTCGGCAGAGGCGTAGTAGAGGCGGAGTTGGCAGAAGAATCGGGACGGGAGGTCGAATTCGTAGTAGATTTGGCGGCCAGAAAAGTGCGATTTACAGAAACCGACTTGAAGCTCTGGGGCTTCTTGAGACTTGAAGATGTACGCGCATGGTTTCTGTCACCGAGGCGTGCCTTTGATGTTTCCGTATCCGAACCACCACTCACACTAACTTCAGCAGAGTTCACTAATTCGTCGACGATTTCTGCGATCTGCCTATTCTCGACGTCGGAGGAAACACCGTTTAGTGTAGCACTCGAATGGCTGGCATCCTGAGTGTCGTTGCTTGCAACAGCTGACTGAGCCTATAATGGGATGCACGTGAGCAGGTGATTTGCGACAACGGCGCAGTTCAATAATCGCATAATACTAGCAGGCAAGGGAAGAGAGGGTAACGGGAAGGAGAAGAAAGGGGAGAGAGGAGAGGAGAAGAGGGAGAGGGGAGGAAAGGGTATCAATCGGATCACGAAGGGAGGGCGACACGGCTATACACTTACGAGGGTGGGTTCAGTTAGAGATGCATCCGGCTTATTGAGGGTTGGCTCAGTCGCCATCATCCAACTCGAGATGTCGTGGAACGTAAATGTTTGCGTCGCGATCGAAGGGTAACAGCTGCGTTGCGCTTTTCGATCGAAGAGATGGGTTGGATTAATGAGGCTGGCAGACGAGTTTGAGGTGGTCAGTTCGAGGGTTTCGTACTTGGCAAATTGCGGATTGAGAAATTCGGGGTCAAGTTTGTTAAGTTACTCACTTCGGTACCGGCAATGTAGGAAAAAAAGAGGCAATGTTTAATACGTCGCGTTCGCAATAGACGCGATCGGTAAGGTTAGTACAAAGCCTCGCTCTCTGTTTGGGGATGGTGAGAGCGTATTATATCGCAATACCTCGGAGTACAAGTGGGTTGTTGCAGGTTGAAGGTTCAGAATGTCCTAACGACTGTTCAGCGTCGTGTTGTCAAAGTTTACAAGATCCCGAGCTTTTGGGGCTTGCGCAGAAAAGAGTGGAGACTGTACGAGGAATTGGAAGACTGGCAGAACGTTTGAACGCGGCTGGGAAAACGGAAACAGTACGTAACGAGGCCTGCCAGGTGACGGTGAGGTGTGGTATGTAACTGGTGAAAGTGGAGATATGTGGCTAGTGGGCTGAACGATCATACAAGGAAACTACTGGCGGATGCCTAGGTAGCACTTCCCCGACACCCGACAGAAGCCGATTTGACAGCTGCAAGAGAGATGTACAAAAATATAACCTAACCTAGGTAGGTAACCTGGTTGAAATACGTACCTATTTTTATGGGAATATAGAACTGCCTGGGGAGTTGTTAGTTTGAGGGTTAAAGTATCCGGGAGGAAATGGATATGTAGGTAGAGTTGAAAAATAAAGAGTAACAACTAGAATTATATTGATGACGGGAGGCAAATCGAGTAGTCATTTGAAATTATGACTGTTGCCGAGGAGATTCAAACACCTACAACATTCTACCTAGTTACATTATATATGAGATACTTATGTACATGGAGTCATAATGGATCATGCTTACAAACGGAATCATGCAACGCAGAGATTAGGTGGGTATAAGCATAGACATCGGCAGTCTATTATCCAACTCTTTATAACTTTACATATTAATATACATATTAATACAACAGAGAATCACTTAGGAGCAAAATAGGAAACTGTAGAATTCTTTTAGTGAGGCTAAGCTCTGTTCTGTTCTAGTACACGATGACTAGCTGTTATGCTCGGTACTATCTATCTTATGTACAAGTTGCTTGACTCTACCCCCCGTTTTACTGAGTGCCTCAATACCGAACCTGCTTAATGGGCATTGTTCTTGTGGTGACCTATGATTTGTTAGTATATATTATACATCTTACGAGGAACCGTGGGAACACTTACGTAGGTGGTAGTAGTAGGTCATGGGGTATCCGATGACGAGAAGGAAACCAATCGCGTGGAAGATAGCTATGAGAATCCGTCAGTATAAATATCACTTTTACACCCGAGTACCAACCATAGAACGGCTATGTAACATACGCTTGGCAGTAGGGTTCTTGCCAAAGTGCTTGGCCTGGTATCGTCCGAGAAGACCGGTAGCCTGGATCTCGGGGGCGGGTCCTCGGGGGAGTTTCTCGTAGAAGCTGACGACACGCTTCATGCGAACAGCATCAGGAGCACTGCCGATGGCCTAGTCAAAATATCCATCAGCGATCCTTCAACTTTTGAATTTTGCAACATCCATTTCCAATACTATCCAAGTATTACGACAACACCAAAACTAAGCCCCTCCCCTCTCAACCGCACCATGCTGAAGTCTAGAATCGCAATATAATGGGAGACTGGATAGCGCCATATGGAGGAGATCAATACGTACATTCGGGGAAGCAACCTGAAGAAACTCAGTCAGTAGAGACACTTGAATATTCATAGAACCGGACAAACCTTAGGAGGGATAAGGGTCGAAAGGGCCCTGCGAGTGACGAAGCTCATGATGACGGCTGTAGTCGCGACGAGGAAAAAGAAGGTTAGAATAAACCGAAAAAGATCACAGAGGAGAATCAACTGTGCCAAATATTGACGCAATTGGTAGTCTGCGATGCGATGCAATGCGATACTGGCGTAATTCGACGAAGGATTTAAGCTCAAAAAGCGAAAGTCGTCAATTGACGAAACGACAAAAAGACCTCGCCCAATTACAATTTCACATGGCCCGTGCACAGCCTTCCATCCTATGTATGTACAACACACTAGCGCGGTAAACTTGCCGCCCCGATGCCGACCCTCGACCAATCAAATCCCTTGCAACATGATTATCTCAACCTCGAACTCTTAAATCGCCTCAATACAAGAATTAATTCAATCCAGCTGTCTAAAGCTTAGGTCAGGTTAGGTCAGGTACTTAGGTCCAGCAGCCCGCCCCTTCCTGGCATTGTCCGGTAGTCACACCCACGTCGCCTTCGCAGCTGCCGGACTCTCCCAAAAACATCACACACAAAATGGCATCCCTCAGAACCCAAGCGGCCGCCGCCACCACCACCATGCTTCGAAGCGCGAGATTGGTTCCGAATAGGCAGGCTTTGGCCATGGCGCAGCGGCGCTTCAAGACTGACGACTCGAAAACTTCTCTTACCGAGACGACCGAACAAGCCGCTATCCCCGAGGAGAAGCCTCATAATGCTCCCGACTTTGGTGCGCATATCGACCGAGCTACATCGTATGTTCTTCAATGCCAATTCCTATTATATCGCCAGAAGCACAGGAACATAGTCAATGCTAATTGGGATGGATACCTTTAGAACATTCACACCCGTTCCGAAGCGAGTAATGGATGGTAGCGAAGACCATGCCGTCCTCCCCGCCGCTGTGCTCTCCGGCGCACCAGTGGAACTGCAGGCCAGAACCGTCCGGTAGGAAATGTTACCTGTTCCGTCTACAAGCAGCTTGTCTAATTTCGCACATAGAATCTACCAACCGTCCAAACCCGCCACGCAGTCAGGAAACTGGGGTAGCCACCACTGGAGAATGGACTGGGACGTCCTAGCCAAGGGACACCGATGGGAGAACCCTCTAATGGGCTGGCAATCATCCGGTGATTTTATGCAGGGCACCAAGCTCGAATTCAAGAGCAAGGAAGACGCTATTGCTTTCGCCGAAAAGCAGGGTTACGAATATTTCGTACAAGAACCCAACGTTCGAGCCTTTACACCAAAGGCTTATGCTAATAACTTCTTGTATTCGCCCAAGAAGCTAAAGCTCGTGCGAGCTAAATAGACGGCAAAATAGATCAGTCTGGGAAAGTGACCATGGTTTTGTACGTGTATTTCTAGAAAATGGTATCTCGAGTATTCCTGGCCACAATGCCATAATGCCGTACGACAGCCGTAATTTCTATGACGCTTCCCTGTTTCCCTAAAAGCTCTATTGTGGATCATGCCTTGAAGTGGTCATAAAAGCCCTTTATGTGTCTAGGTATAGACTTCCCTCAAGTACTATCAACCTAGAACCTTAAACGCCTAATAAGAACTGTGTGCTCAAAGCCGATGAGCCTTCAACTCCGAATACCGTTCCATAATTCCATAACGCCCTGAAAAATCTTAATGAACGCCTGATATAAAACGCCTTCCCTTCGCACACTCCATCCAGAAGCTGCTTTCATTGAAATTGCTTGATCGAAAAAAAAAATCGACAGCACAAAGACATAACGGCAGTGATTTACTGCGTCATAATCATCGACTCGTGGCCATTCTCTACCCTGAACCTCTCAGAGTCATCACCATCTAAGCCTAAGTCGATCCGTGAAGGAAGATCTTTCTTGCCCTCTTTGCGGACAATTTCCTCACTCCAGGCTCTCATCTGAACTAAATGACGAATGGCAGCTTCTCTCCGTTGCTTCTGACGTTCTAGGATTGCTTTATTAACTTTATCCGCAACATCCCGTCGAAGACCTGGCCGCAGAAGCGCCGACAAAGTAGGATCCAGATTGTCGTGATCAAACACTAGAAGGGACATCGTCTTTTCTAGATCCTCTAAAAACTGTGGCGTGCGCGGAGCCTTGGGTCCTAGTTGAGTTTGCGCAAATTCCAAGGCCGGGCCGATGTCCCCGCCTGGTCGGGATTTTCGGATTAACTCCACCAGTTGGAGCCGAAGAAGCGCGAAGTGGAGTGGTTCATCTTCGTCAAGTATCTTTTTCACTAGTTAGCTGGTGCAGCAAGGAAGAAAAGGAATTCAAGATTTTATTGAGTGGTATGATGCTCATAGAAAAAGTGGTTGTTCCTCATCAGTGACCCGGAGGCCATATGAGTGGTGCATGTAAACTCGTGTTTTAATCACAGCAAAGCAGTGTGTAAAGAGATATCGTAGCAAGGAATAGTTCTTACCGAGGGATCAAGATCATTCAAAGCATGTAAGGCATTTTCGATCTCTCCTCTATGTATAAATGTCTGGATTTGTTGCCTTGCATAGATACTGGACGAGGGCTGTTGAGGTGACAAATTCGCTTCAGTTGAAAATTTTGCTGCAGCATTAGGATAGCCGGCAACGGTCAGGTAATCGAGTATCAAGGCATTGATATCACTTTAAACCGCGTTAGCAAAGCAGTCTTCCATGTCTATCAAAAGAATACGTAGGTAAGGAGCAAATATCAGAAAAAAAGAAAAACGATCTCCGCATAAAATAATATTCTCAGAGAGATTCCCATTGTGTTATTTGTTACATCATAATAGAGCTCCAAGTTAGGGAAAAGAAAAAAGACAAGGGATTACCATACCTCTTAGGCGTTTTAAACTCCTCAACCTGCCGTATGAAAGGATGCTTCATTGATTTTGTCGTCGACGCCGACGAAGTCTATTCGCGCAAGATTAGTATGTAATGACCATAATTGTTGACTTTCGCACCGATTTAACGTACCATTTTGCGATCTAAGATCTCTGAGATATACCTTGCGTGACGAAGATGGTTCTGAAGTAGCAGGTCGCTTGGTGGCAATGACATGCCCTGTTGCGCCCGCCTAGTCACAGCTTATACTGAAAATTGAAATGGCACAATAGAATCACGATGTAGAGTTTAAGAAAAGAGGGCGCCCTGAAGGATATTCAGGAGTTTCCGCCGAAAGCCTGAGCTTGTTGTTGATCTGGTGGTACATTGGATGGAAGTGAAGAGTGGAAAGTTAAGAATAGAAGTCAAGGATTTTAGAATGCGGGTAGGGACAGAAAATCCACGTGCAGGCTGGAACCTTTCCATCTTTGTCTGCAATCTCGGTCTACGGGTCCCGACTTGTGGCTTACGCATAAAGCCCTGATCAAATGCAGGTCCCGCCGTTTCATGTCTACATAGGTACTTAGGTACTTAGTAATGACTTGTGGCAGCTTGTGGCTTTCGCCTTGTCATCAATACACACCCCAAGTTCCCAAAATGACCTACTAAATTCGAACTGTCCACAACCCACACAGTTTCTTCCTAATCATGGTTGGTTTTACGAAGATCCTCCTTTTTCTCTTATTGTTCTTATAAATGTATTTTCGATTTTGTTCGCTTTTACTTGCCGAGAGCTTTTCTAAGCTCTATTTATACATTTCGAAATACCCAGCTATCTATTAATCCATCGGACGGATAGTTTAATATTCACCTCCTCTTACTCACTTATCTATAACCCTGTCATCTGCCTAGGACACACCTGACACTAGTGGGCACGCGACATCAGTGGCTTCGTTTCTTCAGCTTCTAGACTCCATATTACCCTCTTAAGTTGTATAAGAGCTTCGCATATTTCATGTCTTTTTATATATGATATTGAGATCGAGTAGATTGTCATGAATACCGGTATTGGGTCGCCGGCCATCGTGGCTGATAACAACTCTGACACAATCGCTAAGAGAGTCCACTACAGTCCTCCATGGGCCGATTTGAGCATCATTGGCATTGCGGGCAGTTCCGGATCTGGGAAGTCGACTTTATCGCACGCCATTGTCAGTAAACTGAATCTGCCATGGGTTGTCATCTTGTCAATGGTAAGCATAATTAGAGAAAGGGGGTAACTTCTTATCTCACGAATCATAGGACTCCTACTACAAGCCGTTGGGCCCCGAAGCTTCCAGGAAAGCCTTCCTCAACGAATATGATTTCGACTCTCCAGAGGTTAGATCTTAGTATCCAGACCCATATTGCCATTGTATTAATACAAGGTTTGTAGGCGATAGATTTTGATGCCTTAGTTCAGACTCTCCAGGACCTCAAAGCAGGGTGAGTATGTTGTAGTCTTGCAGTGGTGTTTTCGTAAACATTTGCACTAATATACCTCTATTCAGTAAACGTGCCGAGGTACCAATATACTCCTTTGAGAAGCATCAACGTCTAAAAGAGACAACTACCATATACTCTCCCCATGTGCTTGTTCTAGAGGGGATCTTTGCCTTATATGATCAGAGGGTGATGGACCTTATGGACATGAGAGTACGTACCCCCCGTGGCTAAATGTAATCCGGGATACGGCTCTAACCTACTAGTAGGTCTATTGTGAGGCAGATGCAGACACGTGTCTCTCGAGGAGAAGTAAGTACATCCCACAGGACTAGAATCGAACACACACAGTCTAATTTTTACAGTCCTACGAGATGTTAGAGACCGAGGTCGTACGGTAGAAGGCTGTATTAAGCAGTGGTTTGGCTTTGTAAAACCGAATTATGAAAAGGTAAGCCGTCTAGACCTTGCCATAGAGCATATCTAATATTCCCCTTAGTATGTCCTGCCACAGAGGAATAATGCTGGTAAGTTGTCATGTAGTAGAATATTTGTGTCATTTATTATTCACCATCTAGCCCGTCATCCTAACTGAGTCCTCTATTTCAGACATAATCGTGCCACGTGGAATAGAGAATCGAGTTGCGATGGGTAAGTCGTAGTCCTCCCCCCACGAGAGACATGCGCTCATCAGCGTAGCTATGGTCACCCAGTATATCGAAAGAAAACTACTGGAAAAGTCAACACGCCATCGAGCTGCTCTAAGAAGCCTAGAGGCCGGATGTGAAAGCGAGCCTCTTTCCGATCGAGCCATCGTTCTTAAGGAAACCCCTCAACTTAAAGCCATGAATACTATAGTTCAGGACATTGACACATCGAGCGAGGACTTTATATTTTATTTCGATAGGTTTTCATGCCTGCTCATCGAAGAGTAGGTGTTCTGTTTAAGTTCTACCGTTGCTATCAACTCACAGTTATAGGGCCCTCAACAATGCTCACTTCAAAGAATTGGCCGTCGAAACTCCCTCTGGCAAGCTATATAATGGACTGACTCCTAAAGGCGAAGTCAGCGCAGTCATCGTCCTTCGCGGAGGCGCTGCCTTCGAGGGCGGGCTGAGGAGAGTGATTCCAGATGGTCGTACAGGACGCCTCCTGATTCAGTCCAACGTCCGTACCGGAGAGCCCGAACTTCATTACCTGAAACTTCCCAAGGATATTAACACGCATGACACCGTGTTACTTTTAGATGCCCAGATGTCTAGCGGAGGCTCTGCGCTGATGGCTGTCCAAGTCCTCGTAGACCACGGAGTCCCGCAAGATCGTATCGTCTTCGCAACATACTCGGCCGGCTACGTAGGTGTCTATCGTCTAACGAAGGTGTTCCCAGAAGTCACCGTTATCATCGGTAACATGGTCGCCGATTTTCAAGATAGGTGGGTTGAGAAGAGATACTTCCGCTGCTGAGATATGTACGCGTAAGCCCTAATACATGAACCTCGACGGAATTCGAGAACATCTCGATCGCTGTGGATGTCAGATTATAAGTCTCATTCATATATACTCGTTGCATATAAGGGGTTACATATATATCTCTCTCGGATACCATCTTATATTCTAGAATGGTATTAGAGATCGGTAAATTCAATATGCATCAATAACCAATCATCCAATCTGAATGTCCCCTATTGCGATATTCTTCAGGGATTTCACCTTTGAATTTGTCAGCCATCGGTTGTGAAAGATTGTACGAGACAACATTATTTTCCCTATCTGGTATTAGACGCATACTCGGCCGTAGTCTCGAAAGTGAGGGTATTCGTCCGATAACAATAATAGTAATAAGTAATCATTTACATAATATCCTGTTTTACACGTTCTTGGAATGGGTGTAGTTGTCATATGGGATGGTGCTGAAAGAACCCCTATCTTATCTAAAATGGCCAATAGAAAGCCAGTCCTAGTTCTCAGTCCTGGGATGTAGCACACGCCCGAATACTTCTAGCTAACAATATCACGCCTCATAAAGGCAGGTTTCACCTGCGACACCTTATACCTGCCGAGCGTAGGTGCGTAACTGAAATCACCAGAATGACCATTAATACTCCAGAGCTTCAATCCAGACATCACGGCTATACGCGAAATAGTTCTCAAGCACCTAGATTCTGGCCGTCATGTCATGCTTATAGTTCATAGCTACAGCGAAGCCATGCTCAGGGTGCTTTTAGGAGTCCTATCACGCATGCGGCGTGGCGGGTTATCCTAACTACGTATGTTAAGGCTAGAGAGGACCCGCTGGCGGATCTTTTGGCAAACCCCCGGAGAGGAAATAGGTTTGAGGAGCTTGTGTAGGTGGATGGGGGGCATGTTCCGTTTGTGATGGCTACGGAGGAGGAGGTGGGGGTTATGAAAGGGGTTGCTAAGAAGACTACGAGAACCGCGTAGTTTGTTTTACGTTGAAACGACTTTCTTTTATTACTTATTTGCCTCAAATATAACGACTAATAATACATCCAATTCAATAATGTGTGTAAACAGCCTTATCACGCAACAGACTTGGAAATGGTTTATGTTTGTATGTGCCATAGATACTGTACTACATTAGGTCCTTATGGACTTATAAAAAATATCCTGTAGTTTAACTCATCGATAAATATTCTTATACATAACAGCGTTCTCCTTTCTTTATATTGGAGCTGTATTAAATAATAAGGAGGCATACAAACACACTTACATTGCGCAACTGACTGATTTGCTAGTCTAATATATACAGTTAAATCTATCCAATTACCCGAAACCTACTCCTGATGTGTAAGTGGGCCGCCTAACAAAGCATCATTCCCAACTAAGACGAAGACTTTGGGGAAATTTGTTGACATACCCAATAGACAAGTAGATAGATGCTAAGCCGTGAATATTTCATAACATTCTACACAGTCGTTGATATTCCCGAGGTTAGTCGTAAGTTACCAGATAGCTTCGTGGGGATGAGCATCCGCACTTCCCAAAATGGCATCTCCGTCACACATCTCCGACTTCAATTTAGACCGCTGCATTTGGAGACTATATTTCTACTTAATAGGTATGCCCGAATATAAAATAACTTGGTTGCCTGCCTATCGGATTCACAGATACAGACAGTTACAGAATAGACGTCCCTGTTGATGTCACAAAATGTCACTGCTTCTCCGCAGCCGAGCCGTCTCATTCGGTGGGCGTCGTGCCTTCGCATCTCTTTCTCAGCCTAGACGTCTACGACAGATACCTACAGTAGTGAAGCCTTCTCAAGTAGAAGTTGAGAAGGGGTTTCTCGATGCTCGAAATTTGGAGAAGGCGGCTGGTGCTATGCACCGGGATGGCCTTGTTGTCGTTGAGGATGTAATCTCTCACGAAGCCCTAGACCACCTGAACAAGAAGATGGTGGAGGACGCGCGAGTTCTGCAAGACAGAGGTGAAGACGGTCCCTTCAATTATAATACTGGGAATATACAACAAGACGCCCCTCCCGTAGCCGAGTACTTTAACCCTACTATCTTTACAAGTGAGTGTATTTTATAATGTACCGTTCATCATGTAATATCTATCTATAGAACTAATAACCTCTAGATCCCATCGCAACTCAGATCACAACTGCAGTGCTCGGTCCCCGTCCCAAGTGGACGTTCTGCTCGGCCAACTCAGCCATGCCGGGAGGAACCCCGGCACGTCAGCCAGTGCACTCCGACGCAGACTTCCAACACCCGGACCACCCATTCGCGCTGGTCGTCAACGTCCCCCTCGTCACCATGACACCGGAGAACGGCTCAACGGAGATCTGGCTCGGAACCCACAAGCACGACGCAAACGTAGACGGGCAAGAGGGCGCGCACGGCGAGAGAGCCAGTGGTCGCATACGGGACAGTCTTCTAGCCGAGCGTAAAGATGTATGTCCGCCATCCCAGCCCGTCATTCAGAAAGGCAGTGTTGTGATACGAGACCTGCGACTCTGGCATGCGGGTATGCCGAATCTGGCCCGCGATGTCCGCGTCATGCTTGCCTTGATCCATTTCGCGCCGTGGTATAGGAATTCCATGCGTCTGCAGTTCTCCGAGGACATCAAGCCTGTGCTGGAAAAGCTGGAGAGCGAGGGTCGCTTGGGGTTGGAGGTCCCGGTGGATTGGATAAGTAGAGAGGAGGCGCTTAGGACGTACCTGAATAGGGGGTTTGGAAATAGTTATGATTTTAACCAGGTGCCTTGAGTTGTATAGTATAGTAATATCGTGAGTCTTTCATACCAGGTGGCAATATTATCGACTCATATTATAACGTCTTACATGCCTCCTTAGGTTAGTTCGAGTATTATATTGCTCAATTATGGATCTCAGACTCAGATTGTCAGCCGCTCGAGCCAAACACAGCTAATCCATGGATTTGGGATTCTCACCCTTGATTTTATCTACATGAGGTTAGCAGTCCGGCAGTCTAGGCGGAAACCAAACGCAGCAACATGACGAATGCAGGGTAGGTAATTAAAATTTAACGCAAGGGAACCCCACGCTGTCCCGATGCGTCGTTTCTCATATTTGGTGTAAGTGAGCTATCGCATCTCACCAATAAGTCAATTTATACCTAGCAGCTTTCATGCAACCGTAACAATAATGAAACTCACGCGCAGCATTTTCTTGTGGATTCTTGCCGCAGTAATCCAAGCGACCGGAATTGCGGCCGGCCCCGACTCAGCGGCGCCACCAACGATCGATCTCGGGTACGCGGCTTACCAGGGCTACTACAACAACACGTACGACCTTAATATTTGGAAGAGGTAAGTGACTTATACCTAGGTTAAAGCTTTAACACATTTTAGGCTGAATTTTATTAGTATTCGTTATGCTGCAGCTCCTATTGGAAAGTTGCGGTGGCAAGCGCCTCGGCCTCCCGTCTGGAACAATACACAAGTGACACCGGCGGTCAACCAGCCACCTCTATGCCCGCAGACGGGAGCCTATGGCGTCCCTAAAGCCTACGGCTTCAACTCTGGTCCAGGCGATGAAGATTGCCTCTACCTTAATGTATACGCAACTCCTAACGCCTCGAATCTGCCTGTCTTACTCTGGATACGTATGCATCCCACTCTCATCTCCTGGCAAGGCGCAGTCCGCCTTATTGGTGCACGTAATTCTGACACTATCACTTAGATGGAGGTGGCGACTCTGTTTTCGGAGCGACATACGACCCGAGTGCCTGGATGAACACCAATGACAACGGCTTTATTGCCGTCGAAATCCAGTATCGATTGGGAGCATTCGGATTTCTCGCTTCCGCCGAAGTCAAAGCACGTGGCCGACTCAACGCCGGCCTTCTAGACCAGCGCTTCGCTCTGCAATGGGTTCAGGAGCACATCTCTAAGTTTGGCGGCGATCCTACCCGCGTTACTATTGGCGGGGAGTCGTCAGGTGCTGGCTCGATCATACACCATGCTTTGGCTTATGGCGGTAAAGAGTCGAATCTCTTCAAGAATGTTGGTGTGCATTTCACCATAGAAGTCAAGTTTCTAGATTACTGATTTGCATCCAGATCATCGCCGCAAGCCCGTATCTTCCACCAGTGTATCGGTATAATGATACGGATCTAATGGCGCGCTATGATAAGTTCGTCGAATTGGCCGGCTGCAAAGAGACTTCTTCTAAGTTTAGCAATTACTCCTGCATATTTGATTGCTTGGTTGATGCCGATACTACTGTGTTGCAGAATGCGAGCGGCACTGTTTCTACGACGCAGGGCTATTTCGGCAGCTTCGCATTTTTGCCGGTCATAGATGACGATTACATACAAGAACGGCCATCTGTGCAACTCTCGCAGGGGAAGGTTAATGGGAAAAGACTCCTCGTTGGTGTATGCACCCCCTTTTTGCTGGTATCGGGTATCATAATAATATATACTAATATAATACAGAATAACGCCAATGAAGGCGTACCCCTGACGAACCCCGATGTCGATACCAGAGAGAAATATGACAGCTTCGTCTCCAATACATTTCCGTTATTCACTCCGGAAGACGTTGCATCCCTGAATACTGTTTATAGTATTGATTCATTGCCTAGTGACGATGGTATTCCGTATGACACGCTCGGTTTCTCTGGTCCAACTGCGTTATATAAGTCTGGCATGGCCACGGGTATACAGCAGGCTGTCTTCAACATGGCTGCCGAAACGACGTTTGCCTGTCCGGCGCAGTGGATTGCCGAGGCATTCAGCACCGACTCTCGGCATGCGTGGAAATATCAATACTCCGTTACGCCCTCCTACCATGGTGCCGATCTGAATTCCTACTTCTCCATCGGGACCACATTCCCCAACCCGGAGTTCAAACATGCGATGCAGAAGATCTTGGGGAACTTCATCATCCATGACACTCCCGTAATTTCTGTTATAGATACAACTGGCAGTTACTCAAATGCAACGGTTCCGATTGGCTCGGATGGAAATATCGAGTGGCCGAAATTCACTCTGGAGAATCGGATACAGATGAATTTAAACACAACCGGGGGGGATGTGTCTAAAGTTACAGTGCCTCCTTACCTGAGTTATTACATAAGAAATGGTCCTGGTATTGTGAATACCTTTAACCTCACTGATTCGTACACCTGGGAAGCCGGCCGTGGTAGGCGCTGCGATTTCTGGCGTGTTGTCTCCGAAAGAGTACCGCAGTAAATACCCTGTATTATTAATTTAATGGTTGCGTATTGTCGTAAGCTTACTTCGTGGTGATACTCCATAGCATGTTACCCACTCATAGAAAAATCTTACAGTCACCTTAATTCTGATATACAGCCCTCCATCTCAACAAGAGAGAAGACGCTCGAAGGAAGCGTTTATTCGTGAGAACAAAAACACGGCATAAGCTTTCCTATTGGCTGGCGTATCGCTTTTGGTATCGGGGTATATTTTCATATAACATCTCAGGTCCAACAAAGTAAGGGACATTTAAAACAAAGGGTTCATAAGAACCTAATAATAGGCCAAATAAACAGGCGAATCAAGTTATTTTGCAACCTATTAAAACAAATGGGAAGCTGATGGATATGATAAATCATGTTACTTATAGGACTAATACCACGTGTTGGTACATTGATCATGCTTCAGCTCAGCTAACATAGACTCAGTAACATGACGTATCGCCATCTTCCTCACATTCTCATAGCCTTAGGCTTACGCAGGCACCTTAACAAGATAGAATATTTAAGCCATACCCACCCTCCCTACAAAATCTTAGGTGGACTGGATATTTTCATCTTTTTCCAACTCTGCATCTTACGCCTGGTCTTGGCAATACCACTGAACATCAAAACCGCATAAGAAAACAACTATAAAACTAGCGGTGATGCATCGGGGCGGAGCAGAAAACTGGTGGCATAGAAATCATATGGAGGGATGGCGGTTCCCTAAAATGCCAATCAAGAGGGAATTAATCTATCGCATCTTCCGAGCCGCGTATCCCCATGGCGCAGTAAGCAATTATACTCTTACACACACATCACAACTCAGCCTCATCATTTAAGACACCATTCGTACAAACATTTAACTCCGAAAGCACCATAATTTCCTCTTCGTCCCTCTATACCCCTATTATCATCGCATAGCGCCAGGTCACCAACTAACTATTTCGTAGTTTGTCGACGACAATCTGAGGATGGTAGAGCTGCGAGACAAGGAGGAAGTCTGGCAAAACCTAAAAGCCGAGATCGACACCGCGCGCGCCGACCTCGAGCTACTCGTCTTCGACACGTACGAGACGCACGGGATGTCCCCGAAAGACATAGCCGCGTTTAGGAACTACTACACCCTGGTGCTGGACGACGCAGAAGGATCCCTGTTCCGATCGCAGAACGGACGATATCTTGAATTCAGATGCATGGAGGAGCTGCTCGTGCGCTACAAAATGAACTGCAAGAACATGTGGAAGTTGCCGTCTTTCAGCCCGGGTTTCGTCATCCCGCCGGTCGGGGGATACAGATACGCGGCGGATGCTCTGGAAGTGAAGGCGGGCTCCGACTTACACTTTCTGACGATCAATTATTCGAAGCTTGCAGGAGATGTGCGGTTCCCAGTTCTGTGAAAGGACTGATGCACACTGGAAGGGTTGTGAGTTATAAATAGGGGTTGCCAGGGGGCAAGTGCCTGGTATTGATATTTTAATTGTTAATAGCTAATTGAAACCTCTGCAGTACGATTACGATTGCTGATACGGCTCTCTTTGCCAATATCGTCATGAATAAATTACTGAAATGTCTTCTGTTGTTACCGTCCGGGTGAGTAATGGGTAGCTTGGTGGGAGGAGCTTAGGTCGTAGGTATTAGAATATGCAAGAGTATGATGATGTAGGCACTTCTATGTCTGAAGTACTATGTAGTACCTTCAAGATGGCGCGCCGGTCTTTAGGGTCGGAGTATAAGAGCGAATAGGGGCATAGTTTCCAGAGTCTGGTATATAGAGCTTCCGGGGTATAAGCAATATCTTATAATAGTTGAAAATATCGACTATTTTTAAGAACAAAACGAACCATGCTACGTGACATTTTGGTAACTGCCGTAGAGCCAATACGAATTGTAGTTGAATTTTATAATAGAAATATTGCGTATTTAGCCTTTCTTATATATGTTAAGTACCTAGGTTAGGTAGATACCTTAGGTACCTAAGTAGGGGGTGCAGCTTAGGCTAGATATAAACTACAATTGATGTTTGCGGTAGTTAGGAGACCTTGTACAGAGTTCATAGTACGCGATATAGGAGATTGTGTTATTGTAGTCATTATAATTTCGTAAACCCAACGGGAATGTCGCTCATTGTAACGATGTATCGGACGCCACTCAAATACGACCTACTCCTCACTTCGCATTTGTAATACTATTGCGAGGCTGTTTGGACTCTTGAAAAAGCTATTTTTCGATACATGGCACTTGGCCCTGGAAAATCGACTCGATTATAAAGTCCCGGTGACCCCTTCTGAACAATATCGTCAGAATATTTTAGCCCTGTCCTAGGTTAGCTGATTGCCGAATCAAGAAAAAGTATGAAATATCCTAATAAATGACCATTCTTTTTTGACTTGAGGTTGTACGAGAAGGAAGTCGGATCTTTCTCCTCTTGTCTTGGTAGTTGGCTAAAAATGCTGCTTTACATAGTTTGAATCATCTGTGTTTCTCCCCTAAAGTATTTATAGCAAACATCGTATCTCTGACATATAAGGTGACCATTATCCGGGTAGTGAGTTATAAGCCAAGATATTTCTTATTGATAAGCGATTTCGTTGCGGCATATACGGGGTAATAGTCGATAAATGAATGCCACCTATTCCAGGTATTAAGTCATAAAAATGGCGTTTTTCAGCTCTCAGCTTCATCGGTAAAACCGTTATCTTGCATTAAACTTACAACAATAAATTGCTAATATATTCCCGTTATACGGGCTAGACTTTCAGGGCAGAGATTTAAATATCGCAAGGCTATATAGAGGAATATATTCAGCTCTTCTCGGTACTTACTAGCCTACCACTTCCTCTGCGAAATGCACGCGTGCTTTTCCCGCAATCTGCAGATTCAAGCTCTTAGATAGGCAAGTAAAATGTGGCGTGAGGTATTCTGTAAGACATCAAACCGGTTGACCGATACGGAGTATTTGCTCGCTGCAAGGGATACACGTGTTTGGTGCTTACCCGGCGACGGAGGGCAAACAGAATGCCACCCCACCTTAGTAGAAGTCAGCTCTAGATAGGCGTTTATAATTCCTATCCTACTTGTCTCGGGAGGGCTTTGAGATTGTATGACACGAGATTGGTGAGATTTGCATAAAATCTAACGATCTGCGTAGAATGCCAGTAAGCGCCTAGCCTTGTAAGACCTAATGAACGGCATGGCGCTCGATCGGGGTCTGAATTGTTTTTTTATCTGTGCAACGACGGAGCACGATCAAGAAATATTATAACGTGTCAAGCGCCTGCTCATCTTCCATTTTCCCATGACCCGTTACTGTTCATGTATCTAGATCAGCATCAACTAGGTACTATCTAACTACAATCGCTATGGTCGCAGCTAACTATAGCCCTGAGTATCTTGCTGAGTCTAGAGTGGCATTAGTCAATGTGTTCTTCTCAATCCCTATCCCTATTGAGGTCTTAAGCACAGTTTTCAGGCTATGGGTTAAGACAAGGTTGTCACCACAGCGCCGCCTAGCTTTCGATGATTACTTTATAGTCTGGGCTACAGTATGTATATCGATCATATGTATAGCTCGTGAATAATTCTTACCCTTCTCTTAGATAACCGCAGTCGCGGTGTGTATTGCGGGTTTAATTTGTGGTTTGTAGGATCCCGACTCTTGTCTTGAATATAATTCTGATTCGTGTTATTGAAGGAGTTTCTGGTGGTCTTGGACGCCATATGGAAGCTCTCCCTACAGAAGTCATAGAAACTTTCCTCTTGGTAAGCTTTGAAATGTTCTTGCTTTACAACTAATGGAATGCTTAATAGTCAACAGGTCGACTATATTTTCAGCCATTTCTACGACTTTGCCATTGCCAGCACGAAGCTTTCGGTATTAGCTCTATACTACCGCATCTTCGCCGCAACAAAATTTCGCATTTTAGTTATTGCTACCGCCGTTTGTGTTGTCATATGGCTCATAGTAATGGAAATCATACTGGGACTAGGATGTCAACCTGTCCAAGGCTGGTGGAATGCCGGCGCTGCTGCAACGGCTACCTGCGTGGATAAGTTGGCTTTCACATATTCCACCAATATCATAAACTTGATATTTGATATGTGGATCTTTACTATGCCAATACCCATCATTCTTGGTTTACAAGCCAGCATGGAAAAGAAGATAGGCCTTTGCTTCCTGTTTTCGATGGGGTTGGGGACGTGTGCTATCAGCGCTGCTCGTCTGTCAGTTGTCATCTCAGTGAGATCTAAAGATATTACATGTAAGATTTCGCACTCATCGTGTGATGTATTCCTATCTTACTGATATTGGTTCACATTAGGGAGCGAAGCTTCCTTAGGAATACTGTCCGCATGGGAACCTTGCGGCAATATCTTGTGCGCGAACTTGCCCCTAGTCTACAGGCCCTTAGCCCGAGGTATCCAGCAGATTCGGTCAACAATGAAGATCTCGCGGCCTCGCAGTCACGACCTTGGTGCGCGACCGTCTTCATCATACCACGACTGGACCCGGCTTAACAATAGCACCCTTAGCAATTATGCTACGTCGAAAGTCACTGCGACTAGAGGTAACTCAACTGAACTAGTCATGATTGGACGTACTGGGATCACGGTGGAACGGGATTTTAAACAAGAGGTCCATCATGAATAAACGAGCGAAAATGTCTTTATTAATTAAGAACTTACGACATAAATATTGCTGGAGAAAATAATAGGGTTAGAAGTTGAACTCGAGACCAATTTACGAACCACAACCTTGGTTTTCGCTTGAGTACCAATCACGTCTTTCCATCATGTAAAATAAACAGACTAATTATCCCCTACTCAATCGTCTCAATCCAGGACTGGATGATCTTATTCACCGCGGTTGGGTCTTCGAGCATGGCCCAATGTTCAGTGTCCACGTCTGCCCTCGTCAACTTATCGAAGTACTTATCCATGCCTTTGGACAGGGCTGGGACGAGCACGAAATCTCTGAGTGCCTGGACGAAAAGGGTTGGCATGGTGAATCTGTGGCCACCGGCTTGAGCGATTGGCAATTCATCCTCAAAATTGATTTTAGCCGTGCGGTACCAGCTCAGAGGACCCCTGATACCCTTGATTTGGTACTCCGAGACATAGAGATCAAGTTCTGTACCGTTAAGGAGAGCGCTGGGTTGCATAGAAGGTAGATTTTCGAGTATCAGGCCCTCGTTGGTGAAACCAGGCTTGCCGTCAGGGGTTAGGCCGCCATGCGTCGCTACTAGAAGCTGTCGGATCTCCTCTTCGCTCTGAAAATGCCGGTCAAGCGATGGATCTCGTAATTGTAGCTGATATTTGAAGGTCGGGAACTTGCCATCCTTAATTTGGTCGGCTAGATCTATGTATTCGGTCACCGGGGGAAAGTAAGGATATGTTAACGCGAAGATCCCCTTGAAGAGCTGAGGGTAATATATGGCGAACCGCCATAGCACTTTCAAAGCGAGTCAGCATTTTTTATTCAGGAGTCGAAATAGGACAAAATGAGAAAAGACGTTATCACTTACAACCAGCACCCCAGTCGTGGCCGCCAAGGATTACCTGCTCGTCAGGAACGATTTGGTCTAGTAACGCCGCCAGATCATCAGACATGTGCTTGAAGGAGAATGCGTCTAACTCGCTCGGCGAAGATGTCTGTCCGTACCCCAACATCTCGGGGACGATGACTTGATACCCGAGCGAGGTAAAAAGTGGCACTTGATATTTCCATCCGTATGGAAGATCTGGAAATCCATGCAGGAGAAGAACACTTCCCTTAGGTTCGCCGGAAGGCCGAGCTCGCAGATAGTGATAGGTGTTTTCCCCGACAACAACAGAATGGCTCGAGTTGAAAGGGGCCGGGACGGATGGCACCTGAGCCGCTACGGCTGCAGGTATCGTCAAGCTTAATAGCAATGCTCGAAATGGATTCATGGTATATGTAATGTCTCTAGAACTAGTCGACTGCGGTGCTATGTAGTAATATTCCCATAGATATAAATCGGTCCATAGCTTTTATATCACGAGGCTTTGATGCCATGATGTTGATTTCTAATTCATACCTTACAAATCTATATCCCTACTACTGACCGTCAGACTGACGATATTGAGGCTGACTTCATTCTATCACCACCGGCCAAATTAGTCCGAGGGCATTCGGAGGATATATGATTACAAAACATAGGTACGGTACCTAGGTAATCCTAGCCGCACCAAAGCTTGGTGGGTATCTCCATTGCGGTTAAATATCTAATAATGACTATGATTATATCAGCAAGGTAGAGATATAATCATTTAAAGTGGCATTGTCTTAGCTTAACCTAAACAGTCTAATATCAATTGTGAGGTTTTTAGGTAGGCTACTGATTAATGCAAATATATAATTCCGTACTTAAAATTCGTAATTTGAGCTTTGTCTTTCGCCATTTGCCATTTTAAAGCCTGACTTAGCTATACGACAAGTTTGACGTGACTATTGGTATCTTTTAGTATCTTTTATATACAAAGGCATAAATCAATCCTGTATCACTAATTCGTGAAATATAGGGTATTAGGACTTATATATTGACTTATATATTCACACGATTTAATTATAAGCATTCCTAAAGTATGACCTCCTCACCCATCTACGATGGGTAGCAAGGAAATACTGAAATATTCTGAAGGTCCTAAGGTAATAAGCGACGTGATCGAGCCTCACACTAGCTGGAACTGGTTAAAAACCGAAGAATTAAGATCGTGCTCGTTTTCAAGTAATATTTTAAGTACCTGTTGATATGTTTCCATATACTGTTGAATCGATTAGGATAATGGTCAGAGAGAGATTATACACTACAATATTTGCGCACATTGTGTCCTGTTTTGCAAGTTACTGAGAGAAGACAGGGAGCTTATATGTAATACACTACTCTTCTCGTGTTATATGAAATGATCACTTCACCCGTTTAAAGTCTTACATACTTCATAATATCATCACATGGACAACATTGCCAAGAACTGTTGGTTGCAATACGAATGCGGCAAAGTGCCGGTAAGGCGATTAGGATAACTACCTATTCTAAGAATTGTTGGATGAGACTTATCACGAGGATATGCAGGTAGAATGCAGGATAACCAACATCCGATTTAGTACGGAGGTTAGGTCTTAACATAGGTACGTACCTTAGATTGTTTACAAATAGGTCTTGATTCCTTTCTCTTAAGAAGGAAAAGGATTGAGGACCATGAGACCTAAGAGAATTATTGGTTAATTTCAATATACGTTCCAAGCACTTATAGCCCTTGTTACAAATATCTAGGTTTAGTTTGAATGGTAGTCCGTTACAGGAGGTCGGGTATATGCGCTTCAATTTGATAGCAACATAAATAATTCCTCTTAAAATCGAGTTTACATAGTTGTCGTGTGGCATCTATCTTTGCTACTGAAAACTGGAGGGAAAATTCTTGTGATGGTTCAAAATGAAGAAACGATGGGTTATAATGGAAGCTGGTATAGCAAAAGTCGTAGAACAAGCATCAGTGGTTTAGTGGTAAAATCCATCGTTGCCATCGATGGGCCCCGCGTTCGATTCGCGGCTGATGCATTTCTTTTTCTATTTTTCTTGGTCTGTTTGCGCAATGTGCCTCTGAAATTTCAAGTCTGATTCCATTCCATATGAGTGAAAGCGAGTTATAGTATTCGTAATATTGTTCGTTCATCTCACAGTGAGACAAAAATCTTTTTTATTACTTCCGATCGTCACGGAAATGTGCGGGTAATATAATCTGACCGGAGTGGGTCTATAATACTTCACGATGCTACCATTAATACAGCATTGGTACTATTCTCTTAAATACTCAATTAGCTTTAAGTGTAACTTTAATAACTATTTTACATATAGCGTTGGATTGTGTTCACGTTAAGAACTTTACCTCTTCGTAACTATTCATGCTGGAACATGCTGGCTCTTAACCTGTCCAAGGGAATTAATGTAAAGGGCGGCTGCTTATCCATGAGCGGATTTGGAGCTTGGAAAGCGGCCATTTGGTTAGGACATATACACAAGAGGCGTGTATTCGCCTGGGGGATTATAGGCTATAATTCACTGGTAGTTAAGACGCTCATGTCGCAGGGTCAATGCTAGCAAGTAATTTAAATATCAAGAAACTTGAAAAGGGCGGTTTTGTTCGATCTTTAAAATCTACAATTTCACTTGGAATTTGTCAATGATGCTAAGAGTAATATCTTAAGTTGGCGAGGTTAGGTAGGAGCTCACAGTCAAGTTTTGGCTTAAAGGTGATTAATTAATCTTAGTATATCTCATCTTTATTAACGCTGGATAATTCTAGTTCCTCTGAGGTCTAACCTTTTAAGCTGCATCGCTTCGTGATAAACACCGAAACCGCCCATAACACCATTCAATCCAACCCCCAATAAGGTAGATCCAAGTCTAAAATATTCCCCACAAGGGTTTCTCAAAGGTATAGCTCATTATTGAGGGCTTACTACCTCAATATAAACTCTAGGGTCATATCTCCCCCCTATCTTTTTCAGTATACTTAGAAGCTCATGAGATCTATGGATATGTTAGTATAAACCCTTGATTAGGAGTTAGGGGGATGTTGGTAAAGTAATTCTATACCTCGTCCGAATAGGCCGCGCTTCAACCAGTCCATAGCCATAAGTACTCTCGTCCTCATGCCAACACTCTGTGCGAAATATACACTACGCCAGGCATATACGGCCCACAAACCGCCGGTGACGCCCCAGCCACCTCCAAGGTCAAATACGGCACTGTTGCCGACGTAGGCTAAGCTACCAAGATGGTGGTATTCGAAAGCCTTGTAGCAAGTCTCGTCAAGGTCGCCATCAATAATATCATTGGCACGTAGGCCAGCTGCAGCGTGCGCCAACTTATTGAACTTCTTTGCTAAATACATACCCTGCTGATTGGCGCGCTGCGCCGTCGCCGGCAACGATGTTAGCTTGCTGTCAATCTGTTTTAATAGTTCCCTCAGCTCCCCAAAGTCTAGAGTCCCTGATTGGTCCTTGTCGAACTGAGAAAATAGCTTGTCTAATCGCTTCAAGTGCGATGCTGCTTGCGGGAACCGCCGCTTGACATCAGATGCCACGGCGCGCCAGTCGCTAAAATGGAGCTCAACGGTCTCGGGGTCTTTGCCCTGCTTGAAAGCATGTCCTCGTAGGAAGGTGATGACGTTGTTAGCAATATTGTTCTGGACAGTCGAGCAGTCACCAATAGCGTAAACATCACCTAGAGGAGTGCCGTTGAGTCTCAGGTGGCTATCGGTTTCGAGAGCATGGTGGTTGTTTTGTGCGGGCCCTAACTTCGCCGCAATCCGCTGGCATAATTCGGATTGAGAGACGCCAGTCGACCATAAACAGAATCCCATCGGAAGTTCCTTAGTAAGAATTCCGCCATCGTCAGTCTTCTGTGTAAATATGATCTTATCCTTCTGCACCTCTTTAACCCTGGAATTAACGAGAACCTCGACCTGGTCTCGAGCGAATCGGTCCTCAGCGTACTTAGATAGTGCCTCATCGTAAGTATTAAGAATATGGCCTCGGCTCTGTATTAGATGGACCGAGATTTCATTGCGCAAGAGTCTAGGAAATCTCCTAGTCAAGTCTTCGTTCAACAGATCGAAGAGCTCAGCAGCAAATTCGACACCCGTAGGCCCGCCGCCGCTAACCACGAATGATAATAATCTCTTGCGCTCATCATCGGTTGTTGTTGGAAGG